GTGGGATTCAAGCGACGTGTCTGGGCCGCGTGGACGGCTGAGCAGTAGCCGAGGATGGAACAGACGGTTGAAGCTCAGCGCAATCTCTTGGAAAGGAAAGTAGAGCAAGTAGGCCCAGGCAGCAGCGGAGAGACTGCAACAAAGCGCCGCGTTGGAGTTGCGCGCAGCCTCGGAGGGGGGGTGGCAAGTGCTGTGCGGATGGCGCAGCAGGAGCTACTTCAAGATCCGCAGCTAGAGAGCTACGCTGGCGTGGCGCTCGCGGCAGGGGACCCTGTCTCTATCTAGCGGCAAAAAGGAGGGATGCTGCCCACGATGATATGAGACTTGCAGTCGGCAAAGAGGATAGATGTCGGCTGCTATGCACGGCGCAGTGGAGGAAAAGCTTGTAAAGGTGTGTGGGCTTGGTTGGGCGGGTGATGCGGCCCGAGGTGCTGACTGATGCGCAGACGCCGACGCGCGCACGGCTTCGAACAGGAGCAAATTCAAGCTGGTTCTGAGGGAGCGACGAGAGCGCAGGCGTTGTCGCGATTTGACAGGCGCGATGATTGAGACGGAGCGGCGCGCGGCAGTGAGGCTAGCGTGCAGCGGCTACTCTGGTGGACAAGGGTGTGGGCCGGCGGCCGGCGCGGCGCGTGGAATCAGCTCGTGCTTGGGTAGGTGGGCAGGCAGCACCATCTAGCAACTCGACAAGCTGCAGCTCGTCAGAATGGGCTGGCCACTGTCCTTCTCGTTACGGGCACCAGCCAGCGCAACACCAACCCCTCCGAAATCCTGCTGGCGGAGGAATCCAGCCCGACCATCTCTGCTTTGCGTGTGTGCCCCGTCATGCTGGCCACCACCACAACGACCTACAGCCAGTTTCTCAATTAAGGCACCGCTAAATGCAGTAGACTATGCCGAGTGTTATACTCACGCTCCAATCACTCTGGACCTGCAGAGAGATATACAGAGGCCTAGTTCCTGACAACACGAAGTCCCGATGATCATTACCAGGGCCTCCCGGACGCTTGACAGAGCTGGCATGCAGACCAGCTACGCGCTGGAGCTCGGCCATGTCCGGCCCCACTCCGCATATTCGGTCACCACTTTTGCCGCCATCTTGGCCTCAAAGTCTTGACCTCCACCGCCGCCATCCGGCCCCGGCTCCGCCCTTGCATGCGTGGTAGCTTGCCCGCTGCCGGCGTTCCTACGACCCAGTACCGCGTGCGGTGCATTGCCGACGAGAACGACTGTAGTCGCACTTCTTTCCAATACGTGTGGCCTATGCCTGCCGAACAGTCCTTTTGGCCGGGATCATGGCTGACCGCCTCTCTCGCCCGGTGCTTCTGAATCTCTTCCCGCCTTCTTGTCACGAATCAGCACGCTATACAGCAGAATTCGGAGTAGACCTGCAGCTCCGTGATAGTTGGACTGCCGCCCACTGGGGGCTCTGCCTCGTATGGGTCCACGTGCCTTTGGAAGCCTTCTGCTGCTGCTGCCGCTGCTGATTTGACCGCCCGTAGCTGGCCACCCTTGAGCCGGTGCCTCGTAGAACCCAGAGCACCCATGCATACGGAGCGAGCCATTCTCCACACGCTCGCAGACCAGATGCTTGGCCATCGTTTGCAGGCAACGTCTCGCTGATCACGGTGGGCCCGCTTTCTCAGTCTCCCGCCCACCTCCGTTCAGGACACCAGCTATATGCCGCTCGAATAGAGAGTCCAGTAGTGGATTTCTATGGAATTCAAAGAACACCAATGAGTCTAGAAAACCCAAAGCTATCGTATATTATGATGGGAGGAGGATGCCGTGAAGACCCTTTTTAATAGGTAGGTGCACGAAGGCGTACTCAAGGACGACCTCTTCCTTTTGGAAAGCCCCACTGTGCTGGGGTCCTCGCGTCGTGTGTTGGGCGCTCACGATAGCCCAATTACAGGTATGATCCAGCGTGTTCTATCTTTCAAGCATATCCATCGCGTCTATCACTCTTGGACGGCAGCTTGACATTTGGTCAGTGCACCTCTATCCTTGTCAAGATATCTTCCGTTGCCGCACACTTGGTGGCGCAGCCTAAGGTCTCGTCAAATGCTGGTGAACTACTATGTATCGTACCCGGCTTTCTAAAGCGATCCATGACTCCGAAGGCACTGCAACCATACGCTCTATGGCGAAGCGAAAGTTGTCTGGTAAAGGGGACATAGGATTGGTTGCTGAGAGTTGCGAAGAAGCATTCCTCCAGCGATATCAACAGTCCGACACAGGAGCACTTGCCCGGCCTCACCAGTAGTGCTGGCTCGGATGCATCTTGGCGGTGGCTCCGAGCCCCGGGGGTCCTCACATGTTCGAATTGGTGCTCAGAAGCTCGTCCTCTTCCACTCGTCCAGGTATTCGCGGAATGGGAAGCATCAACATTACTCCAGTCTTTGTCGCCCCTGAGAGGGCATTCGCAGGGCTGCCAAGCCGATCTGGCCACATGGGGCGCGTTCGTGGCCTGTAAACCCCAAACGTACTCGACCTTGTTCTGCCTGCGTGCTTCGCCAGTAAGCCGGTCCTCAAAGTTCTGCGCGTTGTTCACAGTTGGCCTCATCACCCATATCAACCTCGAGCTGCTGAATGACTAGTCCTCGAATGTGTCGACATAGCTCGATAGCGACGTGGCGATAGTCAGCCACGCTCAGCTTCACACCAATACGCGCTGTCGTGACGGCTACATGCCTGACGGTCATTACCAGAAGCATGAACGTCATACAGGAGGGGGGTGACCACGTAAACTCAGCGACGAAGGACAAAGGTATATGGTCAACCGGATTCCCTTTACTCTAGATAGTCACCTCCTTTGTACTTCAGCGATCAATCTAAGTATCAGTTTCACACACACTTGCAACTGGTCACTCAATTGCCGAGACTATTATCTCTTCCAAGAGGCACGACAACGCCCAAAGAGAGAACGACAGCAAGAGTTAGTGATATTACAAAGGTTCAACCTACCTTTCCAGAACAGCAACCTAGCGCCCTGCCAGTCGGTTGACCCCGGAGGCTGGATCGTGACACTGGGCTCCGTACAGTGAAATAGCGTGTCGGCAATCGGGTCTACAGCAGATGAGGACATTGTATGTTAGGTCGGCATAAAGCTGTAGGCATGTTAAGACCGGGTCGGGATCCTTTCTGCGTTCCAGCGTGGTCGCGGAGTCGGTTAGTGACTGGTTGCGCATCGTTCTACTAGAGGCTATCCGGCTGCTGTCGGTTTTTTTTTTTTTTTTTTTTTTTGGATTTATCGGTGGATCACATTTAGAGAAAAATATGGGGGTAGAAAGGAAATCTATGGTAAAGAGTGTTAAGTAAATTCGCGGGAAAAGGGGCTAGAATAAGATAGACCTGCTCCATGCACAGACCTTTCGTTGAACATGACATATCCAGAGACAGAACGAGCGAGACTTCACGGTGGCAGGGATGCTGTCGGAGATGTGTAGCGCGCGGGTCCCATGGATTCAGCTTAAAAGCTCCCTGGAATTAGATAGTAGGGTATAGTACTAAGTTCCTCAGGTATAGGTTCCTAGTACTCTTCTATTATCGCTTACTAGTACTCTTTTTTTGTCGCTTAATAATTCGGCGCTGAGTCTGCAATGACGGACGGCTAGCGCACCGTGCTCGGGGGCGGTCTCATCCGCTGTGTTTTTCATTCTAACTATATAGTCTTGGCGGTTCCGTAAACATCCCTTTGGTCAATGTTAGGTTAGGGATACGTGACATCGTGTGACTCAGTAAAACCTTTTACGTGGAGCTAGTTCCTTTTTGCCAAGTTGGCTCGCGGGTACATATACCCAGGAACCTACGCGGCGGAGGAGTACAAACGGGTTCAGCTGAAAGTACTGGTTCTTATTAAAATGCAAAACCATGTCACGCAAGCTTTTCAAGAGCTTGTTGCAAAGGATTGGACTGAGATCCACGAGTTGGCAAGCTTTAAAAAAGAACGAGATCAGGCCTTGAGAAGGGCCAGTCAACTACCGCTGGAATCTCTGTTGCTGAAGCTTAGAGCTTTTGCCGAGAATCAAGACGTAAAGAAACTGATCGAGGCTGAAGTTGGGATAGATCAGATCAACTTGCGGGCATTTTTCACGCTCGTTACTAAGCACATTGCGAGAGAATACGCCAAAATCAGCATTGAGGACGCAAAGGCATACTACGCCCTTGCATCGCTAATCAAACTCTGGATTCGTTCGTGCATCAATGGTCAATGGGAACAAATAGGAGTTCAACCATGGGAACAAACAGAGTTTCAAGTATCGGAAAACTTCCGGTTTCTACAGGTTATGGACTCAATTGGAAAAAGCAGCCTGCACAAGATTAAGCGACTTGAAGCTCATACGTGTATGAAAGACTTGACCCGCGAACTAACTGAGATAAAATGGTCCGGCATTAAAGCACTTCACCCCCTTTGGAAGACTTTCAAAAAGTACCGCCGGAATCTAGCTCGGGAGGAGTTGGATCCGGATGAATTGTCCAAAAGACTCGATAACATAATCAGAAAATGGAAAGTGGGAAATAGAAAGAACAAATTCGAAGAGATGCGCCACAAAACGAGCCAACCCTATCTACAGCTTGCAGCTCTCGTGGGTAGATTCATACTCGAGCGACCGGGACTATTGAGGCCGAACGCCTGCTGCCACTGGCCCAAGCGGTGAATAAAGTTAGCCGTAACTCCTGGGTGATAAAAGACTTTATCTTGTCTCTCCAATCGAAGAGTGGTACGGAGATAATCAAAGAGAGCGTTCCGAAGACTAAAGGAACTGCGAGTAAAATGAGCCCTGTGAGGCTCAATGTTGTACCAAGAGCTAAGACGGGCACGAAAACGACGAGGTGGAGAGCATTGCCAAACAAGAAGCACATCAAAGCAAGGTCACGGATAATCGAGAACTTATAGAAGAGATAGGGGAGGTAACAGGGGTCCTAAAAAGAGCAGGTTTAGCGATTTTGGTGGGGACTTGGTGGTCGCGAGGTACTCTGGTCGCGAGACGGGGGGCAGACTTACCTACATGGGAATTTACGCCTTCACACTAGCCAGTAGCAACTACTTCACACCAGTCATCTGCGGTTTGATTGCAGAGTATCACCGTTGGCAGTGGGTTTTCTATTGGCCAGCGTTATTCCTTGCGTTTGTCTTCATACTGCTGCTCTTTTTCATGGAGGAAACCAACTACACCCGCACGTGCCCGTCCCACAAACCGGCATCCACGACGTCCCCTTCCACAGCTTCGGGAGCCGGGTCAAGTGTATAGGGGAAGAGTCTGTCAGCAGCTGCGACATCGCCAGCTGTATCAGAACCCGGGGAAACATACCCGGCGATCAAGACTTACATGCAAAAGCTGTCCATTTGGCAGCCGTCTCCAGGCCAGGGAATGCTTAGCCGTGCGTTACGGTCCGTCAGATTTCTGTCGTGGCCCATTATCTTCTATGCTGGGTTTTCCTACGGGACATACCTGATCTCGTTCAACGTCTTGAACGCCACGGCATCAATGATCCTTTCCGGTGAGCCATATAACTTTCCCCCTTCCCTGGTCGGGATCAGCTATTTCTCCTGCTGCGTAAACATGCATTAGTTAAGTTAACCCTAAGCAAAGTTTTAACCTTACAAACTTAAACGTTAATGAGGAGCATGTTGGTGGATAATTACCAATGTTTACCACAACGTCTCCCACGCACCATACTCAGATAGCATCGGCACCTGATACGGAGATTCAAATGGCTATTTAAGGCATGCATAGAAAGTGTAATGCTCTATTCAACGAGGAAGCATCTTGATCGGAGCAATGAAGCTCACGCACAGTTCGGATCGTTCTACAATAACCTGCAATATGCGAAGCGCGAGCCACGAAGCTGACGCAATCCGAGCGCATAGCCTCGATTGCTGTTAAAGGAGGCTAGAGTCAGTGCGGCGAGCGCACGTGCGGCTTCTCCTGATTACAAACGTTGGGACTTCCCCGCGTAAGGAAAAGCTGACCACGACGCGAGCTCTTGGCTGCGCGGCGGAGTGGGAGGTGTGTGTGCAAAAAAGACATTCGCGTTACAATCATCCCACATCAACAGGCACAAACAGGCTTTTGATGGCCTGCGTTGTGTGGAAACTGTTATACTGTGCCGTGATCCTTCGGCAGGTATGGTGAAATTTGTCCGACGATTCGCGATGGTCACCATTGCAGATAGGTTGACGAAGAAACAGCCCCCAACTGCTGCATGTCATGCTGTAATCCACTTTTGGAGGGTACTTGTTATGGGACAGTCTGCACAGTGTGCACCATTATGTGCCACAGTTTTATGGTCCGTGCGGGAACATCAACTACAGTCTGAAAAGCGGACACAGTTCTCGGTCACTGCTGTATGATCGAAGCGCTCAGCAACTCATTGAAATGGCCCAAGCGTGAAACGAGCGCCATTGGGTCTTCAGCGAGTGGGATTCACGGGCAAGGCATCAGACGCGAGGTCCAAAATCGGCTCTTGTCGTACGAGCTTTGTGCATTCGGCATCACAGGATACACAGAGAGGACCCCTGAGGGAGCCAGAAGATGCCGAGGAAACCAGGTAAACGATCGAAGATCTCTAAAGCCGAAAGTGGCTTGTCGAAGGGGTGACGTTAGACGGCAAGGGTCGGGTTATCATGGAGTACCCTGACATTTCATATCTCAGGGATGGGGTGCAGGGTCCCAGTCTGCTAAACAAGGGCCATGATTCAGTGCTCCGCAGTTTAAGTACCAAAGCGTTGTGCTCCATCCATGGAGGGTACTGCGCGGGTTCCTCAGGGTTGCCGAGAGCGAGGGAGACGCGTTCTCTCTCGCAGTTCCCACGCCCCATAGCAAAGCTCAGTTTCGCAAGCACCCCAGCTGTCCTGAGTCTGAGCATTGTCGCACACTCGGCGTCCAGGATAGACAGGCAGAACACCATTCACGTCAAGTAAAACCATCATGCGTAGGCACTCGCAGGAAAAGGCCAGCCGCCTGTATCTCGCCACCTCAAGAGTGTTCATTTCGTAGTCTACCTATGTCTCAGTGGCCCCCTTCTTATCTGCTAAATGCCGAGAGATGCCCAGCCTCCTGATAGCTAAATGAAGTGCAGCTTAGGGTCAGACGAGGGTCCAACTCTGCACAGGCCGCCTTGTTCACCTTATCAGCTGCAAAGCCCTTTGTCACGAACTCGGAGCAGGCAGAAGGTCGCAGCGCGGAGGACCTGGACGCCGCGGTGGTCGGCGTGATGACGTGGCTCGGGCGTGATGACAACCGCGACTGGCTGCTGGTGTTTGACAATGTCGACCTGGACCACGATCGGGACGGCGCGGAAGGTGGCTACGATGTGAGGAAGTACGTCCCGTGGGATCACGGCGCAGTCTTGATCACGACGCGATTATCGCGCCTAGCACAGCTAGCACCACCGGGCTATTCACGCAAGCTGGTCAAGGTGTACGGCTGGCTCGGGAGGGCCATCCTCGAGGCATGGTATGGTGGTGATCTTGGTGAGTGGCGTATTGGCCGATTTTGGTTGGTGTATTCTGACTAGATCCAGGCCCCGGCGCCTCGTACCTCCTGACCCTCCTCGACGCGCTGCCGCTGGCGTTGGCCCAGGCCGCCTCGTACCTCCGAGAAACGGGGGCTAGCATCGCAAAGTATTTGGAAATCTACCGGCGTCAGTGGGACAAGCTGATGGCCTCTGGAGCAGGCCGACCGCTGCTGGACTACGATCAGGGCAGTATCGCGACGACGTGGACGGTCTCGTTCGGCCAGATCGAGGCCAAGGACGGCCCCGCCGCCAGCCTGCTACGCCTCTGGGCCTTTCTCGACAACAAGCACCTGTGGCACGGGCTCTTGACAGTGGCAGGCCGGGATGGCTCTGGCAAGCGCAAGTGGCCACAGTGGCTCCTGGGGCTCGCCGTCAGCGAAGTCCGCTTCCTCGAGGCCGTCGGACTCCTCCTGCGCTACTCCATGATCGAGGCGAATGAGGACGTCGGAGCTGGCTACTCAATGCATCCGGTGGTGCACAGGTGGGCGTCGCATCTGGACGAGGGCAGCCGCAAGGCAGACTATGCACGGCTGGCCCTCACAGTGGTCGGCTTGTCGGTACCCATGTCGACGGAGAGAGACTATTGGGTGTTGCAGCAGCAGCTTTTGCCGCATGGGCAGCGTTGCGCCGAATGGGTGCAGAGTGATGGGACTAATAGCTTAGGGTTAGCCGACGAAGACCAACTTGAGGCACTTCACAACCTGGGACTTCTCTACGCGGACCAAGGCAGGCGGGCCGAGGCCGAGGCGATGTATCAGCGAGCGCTGGCCGGCAAAGAGAAGGCCGTTGGAGCCGACCATCCCAAGACGCGACTGGTTTTGCGTAACTTAAAATTACTGCAGGAATCAATAGGTGAGACGACGCATTCTGCTTTGGGCCCAGTAGCTGACTTGATTACCAGAGGGTCTCGAGGGAGGGAGGCTCTGGAAGAGGGCTAAGACGAAGCTCCTAACCCTTCTCCGCACTGACCGTGTCAATGTGCCAAAGGGTCAGGTCGGCGGGAATGACAACAGTTAGCGGCAGGCTGTCCATGAGATGGACAAAAATGTGAAAGGCGAGCTACATGATCGAGTGCCCGCGATCTGGTTATTACGACACTCACTCTCTACGCACGTGCTCGCTGGAGGGGCGGACAATGCGATGTCACGATGATGCCCACGAATGGACTGACCTGCATGTGTTTAAAGGAGTACGGCAACAACATAGAAGCTGCATCTCATATCTTCCTCTCTGCGTGTGTCCATCGGGCTAGACGCTCCTCAACGCTGGCGCCCCCTTGGCGTAGCTTCTATCCGTCTCTCCGTCCCCGAATAGCTCCTTGAACACCGCTGCTTCGGGATCCACGGGATGGGATGCCAGAGATGTGGAATACCAATCAACGCCACCAAACGAGCTGCATAATCGTCAATCCAGTAGTGAGCACCAAATCCGTCATAACTTAAGTCCGCCAAGCAATAGGCAGGTTCACCCAGAGCGGTGCTGTTTACTTCTTGTTTCATCCTTCTATCACTTGGCTCTCTCGTCACTGGAAGATAGCCTTCTGGCTTCCACCGCTGATTTTGACTCCATACTAGCTGCTCTGCCACCGAGTCTCGAGTCTACGTACTCGAGCTTCGTTGCCAAGATTCTGAAAGACAATGTGGTTAGTGCACATCGACTGCTGAGTCTGATCCTGGCCAGTTCGAGGAGCCTACGGGAGGTTTTGCTCGGTTCTCAGGATGGCGCATATTCTTATCAAGCACACCTGGAAATGCCTGCCATTACCATCAAGAGCGCCGCGCTTCATATGGCGAACGCTTGCATTCTCTACCTTCTTCTCAAGGACTTTCAGATGACTACCTCATCGTCCGAGCCATTCCCGATTGACGAGGTTTTCAACACGAATGTGGTCGGTCCTGATCATGATGATGTGTTTCATGAACATACGCTGGGACTGGCGGCACCGGACTTAGATCAAGTGTTCCAAGACAACGAACTTTCACACGCTCTGAACAAGCAGGGGTCTCTGAGCCGCGCGAGCCGCGTCCGCTCTTGTTGCCCCAGCGCTCTGGAGGCGGCACCCCAAGCGGCCGCCTTCCCTCACTTCTACACCTCCGAACCCATGGATGGTCATCTTCTCTACTATGCCTCCTAACTTCCAGCGCAATTCCTCAAACCACCGCGATCCCCATTCATGCAAAGTCTGAAGCTTCACCTAGCCGAACACGATCGCAAATACAATCAGCGACTCTGAGCACTCGACGGCGCTTCAAAGCCCGAACAGCACCTCCGTCTCACATGACTCGTGGCAGCTGGCGAAAGAACATGCGGCATCCCGACCATATATACGATTCGAGACACAAATCCACGACGAGGAGAAGCGGATCATCGAAGCAGGCGCAACCCGCACGAGCACTTGTCGCATTAAAGCTCACGCACAATTCGTATTGTTCCATAACTACCTGCAAGACGCGAAGCGCGAGCAACGAAGGTGACGCGAGCCGAGCGCATTTCCTCAATTGCCGTTATAGGAGGCCAGAGTCAGTGCGCCAAGCGCACATGCGGCTTCTCCTGATTTCAACCGTTTGGGCTTCCCCGCGCAAGGAAAAGCTGACCACGACGTGTACTCTTGGCTGTGCGCCAGAGTGGGAGTTGTTTGTGCGTGTGTGCAGAATAGACATTCGCGACAAAATTATCCCGCATCAACAGGCACAAACTGGCCTTTGATGTTCTGCGTTGTGTGGATCGCGTCATACTGTGCCGTCATCCTGCGACGGGCATGGCGAAGATATTCCGACGATTCGCGATGGTCACCACGGCAGGGCCACGAAGAAACGGCCCTCCGTTTGTGCCAACTGCTGCATGTCATGGTGTAATCCACTTTTGGAGGGCACTTGCTGTGGGTTGTATGCACAGCACGTGCTACAGTGCGAAACCGGGCACTGGTCCGTGCGGAATCGTTCTTTGATACTAGAAAAGCGGACACATCTAGTGGTCACTACTGTACCCTAGCAACGGGAGAAAATCATGATACTGTGGAACAGGAAGCTTTGGCAGCACCCCAGAAGTCTGAGGCGGCTCACAGGAGTGACCGTAGCCTCTAAAAAGACACGTTATCCTTAGCTGATGCCCTTTCCAACAGACTGAGAGGCAGAGGCTCAGAACTTACCTCCAATGTTCCCAGACTGGTGTCCGTCTCAATTCCGTCATGGGGTGACAGAAGAATGCCAGCTAGATCCCGTTTCGAGTCCTGGAGTTTCATGACCTCCTGCGACACATGTCAGCCGTTGAGCTTGAGCGAAAACATTCTAATTCCGTAATCTAGAGTCGACGGAAACATGTCCAACACTGCGGTCTTACTTCTTCAAAGGAATTGCGCATGTAGAGACGAATCGTCGTCACTGGCCGTTCCTGTCCAAGGCGATGGACTCTCGCCAGAGCCTGATCCTCGAGCGTGGGGTTCCTACGATCAATGATCAATATCTGGCCCTCAAGGTGGACCTAGAGGGTGTCCAGGAAGTGTTCCCAGCAGAGAGATGGATGACGACTTACCAATGAGGCTCGAGGAGATAAGCTCGCGAGGCGGCAGTCAACGTCAAGCTATATCAGGCGGAGAGATCAGTCGCAGGCATACGCAGAGGGCATCAACTCTAGCCTTCACTCACCCGACTGCGCCGCAGGATAGCGTGAGCAGCATCACGCGAATACCAGGATCGTTCTGGAATCTGTTGACGATAGGCAGCCGGTCTTTTTGCGCGACTTTGCCGTCGAATCGAACGGTTGTGACGGAAGCTTGATTCAGCGCACGCTCGACCAGATCGAGAGAAAGCCTCCAGCTCGAGAACACGATGCTGATGTAGACACCGGTATGTCAACAAAAGCCTCGTTGAATATATTAGATGGGTTCTGCAGGAAGAGCTCACCATTTCACGTGTGCAGGGACTGTATGAATGTCAGCCACCAGTGCCTTTACCTTGGAAGACATGTGCGTGAAGTTCTGAGAGTCCGATGTCTCCAGAGTATTGTGAGCAACGACTGTGTCGTCGACCTTAGATGTTAAGCTTGTCGATACGGAGGCGAAAGCACACGACTTGGTGTGCCCGCACGGAAGCGAGCGCCTAGATCGGCCGAGATTGTCGACGCAATCGCTGCATATGAAGCGTAGACAGCTGAAAAAGCGTGCCCTAGGTTCTTGCCGTTTCGACGTGTTAGAGGAAAGCCCATCATCGCTCGCGATTTCTGTCATGTCGGTCGCAGACGAGCACTGGATACAGATCACTGGTCCCAACTCGCACTGGCGATAGAGCACAGCCTGAGCTTGCTGCTCCCACTCTTCGGAATCGGCCATGGCCGATGGTCGGGAATGGTAATGGAGGCCAAGGTCGCTGAACAGTCTCAATGCTTCGATCTGCTGCAAAGCATTGACATGAGATGAGCCGTGTGCGCGTTGCTGTTGGTGCCCTTCATGCAACGCGTCATCGATACGTGTGATGGCATGCTCTCTCATCCGCTCGTACACTTCGCGCTCCTTCTGTGTAAAATCAACAGGACATAACAGGTCTTTCCGTGGAGGTAGTTCGATTGTTCCTTGACTTCTGCGGAGGACAAGAGAGGCGGAAAGCAGCTTCAGACGTTCGACTGCTTTGGTACTTTGTCCTGACTTCCACAGCTGAGAGATGTCGGCATCAAAGCATCGGGGGTCGCCGTAGGGATGCGGGCGTACGAATTGTAAGAGAGTGGCGAGATCGCTCAGACGGTTTTGTATCGGCGTGCCCGTGACCGCCCATCGAGCGACGGCCTCGAGTGCACACACAGCTTTTGTGATGCGAGTGTTTCCATTCTTGATAAAGTGCGCTATGGCCCAGCCTCATTAGCTTTTGTGCAGTGGAAGAGATTGAGCAGGTGCTTACCTTCGTCGAGGATGATTCTTCTCCAACAACGCGAAAAAATGAAAGATTCGTGCGACGTCCCAGCTGGCTTCCAGTCAGCTGAAACAGTGTGGAATGTTGTCAACACGATATCGCCCCTCTTCAATGTCGAAGATTCTCCCAAACGTGTTTTCCTGTGGTGAATGTGAACATTGATACATCCGGGTCTCACGTGCCTGTCCTTCAAGTCAGCGTATGGTAGGACAACCATGGGCACCAACGTACTGGTTGATCTGTTCCTCCCATGTGCTCAGAACTGAGAGTCGTGTATTAGATTGTTGCTCGCACGATTGGGCTCGGCCTTTGCGGGGATATAGTACTTACGTGGTGGTGGAACAATAATGAGCGTTGCGGACGTGGTCGGTCTTCCGCAGGATTCTCCATTGTCGAAACCCTGAACATGGCAGTGCTGTTGGTCGTTCTCGTGGTCGGTGGTCACTAGAGAGATCATAGTCAAGGTTTTACCAAGGCCCATTGTGTCTGCGACGATTCCGCCATAGAACTGTGGTGGCTCTTCCGCCTGACACGAGTTTGAGACCGTGTTAAGAAACCTGGCCAGGCTCTATAGTGAGAGAGAGATCGGTGCGGAAGCAGAGGCAGCACTTACACCGGGATGCGACTCGAGTCAAGGACTTCCCAGACGTCACCTCCTGCACTTCGGTAATTCCACCCCTTTTCCCGTTCAAGCATGAAAGTCAATGCCTGCTTTTGGTGCCTGGATCGCAGGTCAGTTTGCGAAGCTTATTCACTACCACAGAACAACTCCTACTTCTTCAACGCCGTCAGAATTGCTGCTGGCTGGTCTGCTTCTTCGAGATCTTTCCTCGTGCTGAAGACATCAAGAACATCTCGACGGTCGGTAATCTCCTCAAATTCGAGGACGGTCTTGTCTGACACGTAGTCGGACAGCCAGGGGCAGCTGTCTAAGTCTGATGATGATAGTCGATGAGGATTGCAATAGCGGACGTTTTGGTGGCAGTGTCTCGGATCCTGTAGATACACCTCGTAGTCTTGGAACCAGGTTCCTACTTCGTCCAGTTGAGAGAATGGACCGCACACCGTAATATCTATGGTGCATTGCTGAATGACCGACTTGCGCGTGCCGGACTGTTCGTCTGGATAACAGCGTGCGTGCAGGGAAAGATCAGGCTCCTCCAGCAGACTCTGAATCATCTGAGTGTGTGCAGGATTCTTTACCCGCCCAGTGATGCCGTTATCTCCGATGCCGAGAAACAAGCTTCCGGATTGAAGGATGACTTCGAAATCGGTGATCCCGTGAAGCGACCTTGAACAATCGAAGGTCGACGAGACATTCGTCACCTGTATCTGTCAGCGAGGCCGGCTAAAAGGTGCTTGCACGTACCACGCCGTAGCAAACAATACTGTCTTCATCCTGCCTGGCATCGTCTGCAGCATGCTTGAGAGGAACGCCGTCGAGTGCAAGAGCGTCCCACATCGGCTGTGAGCTTGCCAAGGATGTCTCCCATTCTGGCAGAGTTGCCACTGACGTGAAGTGTTGCTGATCGTTCCAGAGGCCTATGGCAACACAGTCCACCTGCTGGCTTTCCACTCCAGTCCTAGGCAGGATATGTTTGTAGCCAACCACGGCAGATCCTGGCGCGAATGGCTGTAGAATGCTGTTGCTTATGTTTGCCAGGTGGTTCCGAGCTGCCGTGTTTAGGTACTGATTCGGCTCGGACTGGTCGCACATGACCAGATCCGCCCATGGAGACGTTGTTGGTTCGCTGATCCGGGCTCTCTTGTGCGGTCTATGAAGCGTTTCGTCGTCCATGGCTGAATGAGTTATCGGACCGCAATTGAGCGCACGAGTCACGATGACCGCGGGTCCCCTGAAGTGAAATGATCAGAGATGCCCGAGTCCATGACTTGTAGCGAGAGGAACGATGGCCAGGCTCGCAGCACTGCCATGTCACCATTTTCGCCCCAGCTGAGAGGTGGGCGGCAGTGCAGACAGTAGTGTGCTCAGCTGAAACATGTTGGTGGTGGCATTGGCGCAGCGCCTGCATGGCTTGGGCATAATTCAGCGCCTGATTCCATGTAGGCAGACCTTGGGGCTGACACACCGCTTGCTGTCAGCTGCAGGAAATGCGGCCTGGTTCGCAATTCTCAGCCGCTAAATACTGCGCCATCATATAGGTTTCCCCGGGGCCCTCCGTCCAGTCGTCTCGTCTCACCTCGATTTGAGGCACCGATGACTGCCAACCGACGACGATGCCACTCAACCCAGCACCCTGCCCACAGGCGATACAGACCATCAGCAAGGCTTTCGAGGACCTAAGGCAGACAATCACTCCCTTTGACTCACGGGGGTTTAGTGAAACTCTGATCGAAGATGTTCGGCAAGCGGCGCTCAAAATCGAGGACCAACTGGCTGCTAGACAGTCGTTGAGGAACATGAAACGGCTGATGCCACTGTTCGCGAGCCTGGAGCACTATGGCAAAGTCATGGGTATCCTCTGCAACGGGACTCCATTTTTGTCGTGGGTCTGGGCGCCGATTACGTTGATTCTTCGCGTGGCTTCAGAATACGTCGAAGCGTTTGAGAAGATCATCAAAGGTTACTCGAAGATGGCGGAACCCCTGAGGCGATTCCAAATACTGGGCGCCACATTCAGCAAGAGTAAGGAATTTCAGCAGACGCTCGCTGTCTTTTACGCGGACATCTTGGAGTTTCACAAGCATGCCTACGTATTTGTGAAACGCAGTGGTGAGCTCCCCCACGATACTTCGATGCTGCATTGGTCCTGCTGACGCGCAGTAGGTTGGAAGCTCATTTTCCTCACTTCCTGGGGTCGATTCCAACGAAAGTTCAACGGGATCTTGGAAGACATGACTCGACACGAAGCTTTGATTGACAAGGAAGCAAATGCACGCAACATAGCCGATGCGAGACAAATGCGAGAGGATCTCCGATCATGGAGGGAAGAAAACCTCCTGACGCAGCGGGCGGCGGACGAGGAACTGTCATCGCGACAACTGGCGTTCGTTACGTCCTGGTTGAAAGTCGACGAGTCGGACCAACTGGCCATCTTTGACGCTCTATCGGTCGAGGGCGAGGCCTATCCTGGAACCTGCGACTGGCTCCCGAACGATGAGAGCGTGCGCTTGTTTCTAAAGCGTCACCCTTCAACAGCGCTTCTCTGGCTCCAGGGAATTCCTGGTGCTGGGAAGAGCATCCTCTCCAACCGGCTCATCCGCTTCATGGAGCTAGCAAAGCTTCCCGTGGTACGACATTTATGCAATCATTCTTTCGCAACCTCCCTGACCTACGAGAATACCATGCAACAACTTGTCCTTCAACTCATCCGGAACGATGTCGAGCTCATATCGTTTGTCTACGAAACCATGGTCCTTGGTCGGAAAACACCCTCAAAAACAGCACTGCAAAAACTCATCCTTGACATTGTGTCGGTGTCGTCCAAGCTATCAAGCCAGACTGACTACATGTGGATTGTGGTCGACGGCATCGACGAGTGCCGTGACGATCATCAGAAGGCCATCATCAACTTGCTTGGCCTCATCACTTCAAAGGCCGCGAAGTCGAACACCACTACCTTCAAGGTCATGATCTCCAGCCGCCACACCTCCACACTGGCACACTTGTTGAAGAAGAGTCATATCATGTCGCTAGGCTCAAGAAGTGGCAATGTTGATCATGCTATTGGAGCATATGTCACTGCACGCTTGCGCCCTGTTTACGAGCACCTGGGGGAGTTTGGCTCAACCCAGGCAGACATTGAGGCGATTGAGACATCGATCGTCCGCAAATCAGACGGTGATATTCACCTCCCTGCCCGATCTAAGTTTGTCGCTAACACTTCCATGCCTTGTAGGAATGTTCCTCTATGCGAAACTTGTGGTCGACTACTTGACACACAACATCATCTACAATACAGCGGAGATCATGAACTCTGTTAACGAGCTGCCCGAGAAGATAGTGGACTTGTATGTCGCCGCCCTCCGGTATATGAAATATCCAACGTTCGAAGCACTAACAATGTGTTCTGTAGCTATCAAAAGATACTGTCGCAGATTCTGACACATCTTGACGACCGCTCCATCACGCGCCTTCAATTGATTTGCAGCTGGATGTCATACGCGAAGCGCCCACTCAGGAAGCATGAGCTGCTGTCCGCACTCTCCTACCACTTCCAGGAGCCCTTCGTTACCAATCTCGCTCCGGCTCACATTTTGGTGATTTGCGACTCACTCATTGTGGAGAAGCCCAACAACACGTTCGCCTTCGTTCACGTGTCTCTGCAGGAGTAAGTCAGATTCTGCTTTCTCCCTAGGGACGACCAGTCTCCAAGCTGACAGTCTGATCCAGGTTTTTGCAATCGCCTTCCAGCCCGTTGCGGACAAGCCCCGCAGCTGCCGCCATCCAACACACACAGACAGTTTTGGCCTGTCTGATACACGGCATCAAATCTCTTCCTGGTGAAGAGACCTATGACAAGTCGCTTTCGGTGATCAAGGGCCTCCACGGGCTTCTCGTCTATGCCACAGAGTATTGGATAGACTACCTGCAGGAGACGTGCTCTCCAAAAACGGTAGTGAACCACAAACCGAACTTCTTGGACCTCCTACGCATTCTGGACGAGCATCTCGCCGTGTTTCACTTGCCTACGACTCCCACGAGAAATGACGGAGGGCAACTTGATGATGACTGGACCGACCAAGCGATGCCTCACTGGCCGAACGTGCGATTCCACATCACCAAAGAGCAGTCCAGGAGGTCTTCTGATCACACCAACCTTGCAGTTGGTTCCACGGCAGGTGAGTAGGCTATTATTCTCACACGGAGTCAAATACTCTGAATTGCTAAGGTAATGCAGATACTCAACACTCCCCGTCATCCCTCTCACCAGAAGGCGGCATAGAGACAACTCTGACTGCCTACAAGAAGACGATACGCAACTTGCTTGACAAACAATACTTCTCCGGAGTCTCCGCCGAGCACTTCGAATCGTTCAAGGCACAGTTCCGCACGACGGCGTTCAGCTGCCGTTTCGCCTTGTGCCCATATGCTTCACGGGGATTCGAGTCGTTCGAGAAATGTCGTCAACATGAAGCATCACACGAGGTCCGCATCAAGTGCGAGGCTCCGGATTGCCAGTACCTGGCGTTTCATTCACGTCAGGCACTATCTAGACATGTGAACAGGCATCATCAAGTATTGCCGCCTCGGAGACGGATCAGGAGGCAGCCTCGAAGTGTTGGACCATTGCGTGCCGTTCTCTCTGAGGAAGGTCCACCCAACAGTGTCCCTGATTCGGGGAATTCACCACCATGGTTAGCCGGGACTATCGATCGGCTAGATGAATCGCTTACTCAGGATTCCTTCTTCTCTCCCATGGGCCAGGGGTCGTCCACTCCTCCTCATTTGCTCGGAAAATCAGGTGAACCTCTCCCACAAACCATTGCCCTGATCGGAAGCACGCTCAATGCCTCACTCATGCACGCACCATCTCGTTTCACACCATGCTTTAGAGGATTGTACTGACGAGGGCGTAATTGAAAGGAAACGCTCCGGATGACCTGGACTTGCAACTACTTTTTTTCCAATCACATGATCCGATAAGGAACGGTTTAGATGCAGCGGGTGAGAAGTTGCTGTTGGACAAACTCACTTTCCCTGCTCTCTCTCAGGAGGCGAGCCAGCTTCAACACATGACGGACAACGAACTGCTTGACTCATTATCGCACGCGCCGGGAAGTCCAGTCAGCAGCAACGTGTCCCCTAAGTATCTTGGATCTGCTGCTCCAAGACACTTCGCTCGCGACGATACCTCATTCGGTCCCGACGAAGAATACCAAAGAGAATTGATGGCTCTAGAAGCGGAGAATAAGAGACGTCTGCTGATGAACAGAGAGAATGCTAGCAGAGATCATACCGGCCAGCCCACGCCGTCTTCGTCGGTAACCGAGCTTGCAAAACGATTGACACCCGAACAGGAAGCAAGGCTTGGCATGGTCGACCATCTACATCAGGTAAGTTACGTGTGGAACTCATGCAGCTCTTCGATGAACGTTGGTCATCTCCCCAAGCCTGATTACTAACACACATTACGAACGACACAGACAGATACATCTTTGGACGCTTCCGCCAGACAGAACCAGCAGGACGCCGCTTCACAGATGGATGAGAAAAACGCAGTAGGTCTACTCGGTTCTGGACAATTGTTAAATTCTGTTCTGACGTTCCTAGGCGTTTCTTGAACGTGATCCATCGTCTGGGGCCCAGTATCCCAAGCGTTCCACTCAGCAGCTAGATAACACATCTATCGAGGGGGCAGGGGCACCGGCGTATATGGATCCATCTTTCATTACAGGGTACTACTCAGGGGGCAGGAACACCATTGCCACCGATTTGGCTCGGCTCCCCGCCTATGGCGCCCCCGCAGCACGGCCAAGCAACCTCAACTACACTCTGGAGGAACAGAGCAATGAGCATCCAACGACGAGAAGCGGATCAGAATATGTACGTCAGCACCTCAGATACGAAGTGATTGATGCACAAGCCATTTGAGCGGATACACGACTTGAGTCTTGCATGGCGAAAATTCACTGACGTGACGAGCCTTTTCCCAGCATCCCTGCAACAGACCTTGAATGCAAGCTCCCGTCACGCTTTGTGCCCTTGTCGACAAGTGTCGAGGCCAGCCACCTCAGCCGTGGTGCATGCCGAGCATGCATGACCCTCGGAAGATTTCCTGGCTCCAGCCAGCCCAGTGTCCTTCTCCATCGGCCTTGCAAGCCCTGCAGGCAGGGCAGGTGGAGTTGCGACACCTGTGGACAAGATCTGCGCCGCCCGCGAGCTCCGGCCTTCCTGAAGCAGAAAGATTCAATTTGACGCCTGACCTAAATAGGAAAGGCGAAGCTACGCGTACCTACATAGTATAGGTAGTCGGTGCTATGTTCTTGAGGCCGACAAGCCTCCGCGACAAATACAGTGGGTAACGTACGGGCGTTTTTAGAGTACTTGCAAGCGTACCTAGTATTCACCTAGCTTGATGTACCGAAGATCATTGGTGGTACGGACAATCACACTACGGACTGGGCGCTAAGGCTGCATTTTTAAGTACCTCGATCACTGCTAGGATAACGTGGGTCAATTCTCCATTTTTTATGTAGCGGAGGCTTGTCGGCCTCACACACATAGAAACTTAGAAATTGCTACCTATATCCCCTGACGACCCGCTGAGCCAACGTACCTGTATTAGACACGTAATTGTATATATGTTCCAATCATCTTTCTGATATCCCTGGGATGCGGACGGTCGCAACACAATTGATTATCACGAAGAACAATGTCGCGATCAGCGACCTCCTTCCAGTCAGTCTGCCGCATATAACGGCGAAATTATTGTGCAGATGTCGTCTCTGTAAAGTTAAAGGGTTTGGTGCGTCGTGGGCGGTAGATAGATTGGGCATGCGTCGCCTGCGGACGACTGACGATGGTGACGACCAAGACTGGGTGCTGCGGATTGGACAAGCGATGCTCGGCAGATCTATAACCCGATTTCAATAAACTGATTCTCCGGCAATAACCAACAATCATGTTGGTGATCGCACGTAAGAAAAGTGCTCTATCTCTTATGCTCGGTGCCAGTACATCATGCCTGTTCCAGCCAGCTTCAGATATTGGCCACCAGTGGAGCATGCCGTCCGTTGGGTGTAAAGTTCGAGCCCTTGTCGTAGATCTAATGAGTAGCCCCACATTTGGAGACCAGCCTGACGAGGTGGCTCGGCAGCTCCCGTTGTGTCGTAGGCACCGCGGCCCATGTTTGATATCCCCCCGGACATGCTCCTGTGCCTTGGCATCGTAAGTAATTGACCAACGCCGACTGAAATGATTAAACGCAAGCGTGCTTCCTTGTAGGCGTCTTTCTATATATTTTGATTTCCAAAAGCCTGTGGCGCCGCGCTGGGAATGGCCCCTTCGAGGTGACGCACATCCGCACCACCGACTTTTGCATACTCCGATATAACAGATGCTCGAGCTCTGGGAAAGGGAGGGGCCACTTCAAGCATCGAGCACCGCAGGCCTAGCCTGCCGCACCTGCTAGCAGCCGGTGATGCGGCTCTTGCCGGTGCAAGGAGGGAGGGTTGGTGCAGTGGGAGCAGTAAGTATGTTGATGCATCGTCGAATGGGGCCAGCCGACGATGTTGAGGACCGAGATTGGCGGCTGCGGGCCGGGTAAGGGGTGCTCGAGGGGACGGAGGCTGGACCCACGGCTGGTGCGGGCGAGCTCGAGGTCGTCCAGAAGCCAGTCGCGCGTGCGCTCATGCGCGGGGTGGGAGGATGTGAAGGGATGACGGCGGCGATGCCTGAGCCAGCACTGGAACAAGAGTGCGGCTGTGGGGAGGAGGGCGACGAAGACGCCGACGATGGCGATCTCGGCTTCTGCGCTGAGGGTCGCCATGGTTTGGACTGATGTTCGCTGGACTGTCGCAGAGGCAGGAGGGCGGTTGCGTGGTTCTATGTACTCCCTTGGCACGAATGCTCTGGCGGCTGGAAGGAACCTAGAAGGGGCATGCTTCATGATTTATTTAAGCGCGCCCGTCGGGCGTCCCCTGGCTTGTGGCTTGGCCAGATACAGGCGCATCAGACAAGGGGGTGACCCTTTTTGACTGGCATAAACGACATCCTGGGGCTTGAGCAGATCCCGCAGGTCTAGTGCTGCCCATGATTTCCGGGTACAAGTGACAGACCCAACACGGTAGATGAGAAGTACGTACCTGGGATCCAGCTGATGGCAGGGCCCCAGATCAGGGTACCCTCTAGGGTCAACAGTGCCCACGATCTCAGACCAGGCCACTTGCTAGGCGCACACCCTCAGGTTTCACCCATGACCCCAGCCACCACCCTTGTTCAAGATACCTGTAGTCCTTCGGCTCCGGGGAGACCATGAAGTAATTACGAATACGTCTGTACCCTGTGCCGGGGAGAGCCGTGCTTGGTACCGCACATGGACCGGGCGGCTGGTCCCAGGTGGCTTTGGCAAAAGACGACCATGCCCGACGAGGCATAGCTGGCGAGCGAGAGCAGACAAGTACTGCCCTGTACATAGGCAGTATGGCGCTGTTGCGCGGCAGCCTGGGCAGGCTCAAGAGGTCCTCAGAGGTCCACTAGCGTACGCTAGCGTACGGAGTACGACGCTAGCATACCTTGTTAGCAACCACATGAGCCATGCTCGCGAGGGACATCATGGCCCTGAAGGCGCCCACCTTTCCTTCAAGGTCGACCCGACATTGGCTGATCAATGCTGACCCCGAGTCAGCCTGTCGGGGCAGTCTGTCCGTCCCAAGTACACTAGCTGCCAGTGACCCCTGACCATCTCTTCGCGAAGCGAACCTGGTGGAGCGTGCGCGTTGTGGAAACAGGCTCGGAGACGAGCTGGTACCCGGCCCAGGCCCATAGAAGCTTGTGGCGCGGAGCCAGGCTCGCCTAGAACTGCCCGCCTCATTATCTCACCGCAAGTGCGGAAGAAATTCGCACGCCAGCTCGGCACGAGTACAAGTGTGCCAGCTGACGGCACTGGTCTGTACCTGGCCGACACCTGTCTCTCCTGGCCCCATCGTGGCGAGCACCGTCCAATAAACTTCCATCCTGAATCCCTTTCCGTTCCCTGGACCACGCGGCTGCAGAGCCGGTCGCTTGGACGGCCGAGCGAGCGGGACCTCGAGCCCGCCACAGCCATACGACTTGCCAGCCGCGGTGGGCCCTTCGATGAATAACCTCATCTACGTAGCTTGTTACTATCCGAGGCCAATTGCGCAGTATAGTGCACAACAGTGCGGCAATGACTATGTCTCTTCAGATTGCTGTCTAGAGCTAGACCACTTTTCACATTTGGTATGGCGGCGTGCTTTAACGTCTGATTTAAACAAGTCAACGGCGCTTTCCGCCGGTGCCTTAACGAGTGGGCCTTGGCGGGTTGGGGATTCGGGGCAGGGGGCCCGCGGTAGCGCCCGTGGGGGTAAGCGGGTCGATTGTTTCGTGAGTCAAGAAACCAGCCCTGATTGTCACCACCAACACCCGCGACAGTGAGGATGGCGTTGAAAACGCCACCAATACCCTCACCCGCACTCAACTAGGCTTAGTAGGAGTCACGGCTCTGATGTGATGTATTATTGGCTGCCGTCATGCACATTCACCTTGTCGAGGATCATTTTCAGCCCGCCCGCTGGCGAGGACTGGAGGTGCAGGGGCTGGTGCTCGGACGACTTGGTTGGCTGTACCAATATCTGGTCCCACTCTTTCCCACACGACGGAACCGTGACCGCCAGCGGCTTGGAATCATCATGTTTACCGACGGCTTTCGCCTGCTTTTCACTTCAAGATATCTACAGATGATGGGAAACTCAGCCCGGATCAATGTCCGACGCCTAATCGCTTGCTCATGAGTAGTACTGCCCACCGTGGAGGGGGAGTCCAAGTTCACAAAAGCTAGCGGCCTTTTTCCTGGCTCGGCCAGCGAGATCCCGTAAAGATTGACTCGCTTGTGGGACCTGCGGTAGACTAATGGATCGGAATTAGGAAGGCAACAGCAGTTAAGAACCACCAGAGGCAGGGCCAGTCCCGCTTGCCTTGCATGGATGGTGCGGGCGGCTCAAACTTGCCCGCGCTCTTGCCCACGATGCTTGGCGGCCGGCACCGCAAGGGAAGGCTGCATGGGGCTGCAGCTGCATGGGGCAGCTGGAACCCAATATGGCAATTGGCCACGCTGGGTGGCAGCTGCACTTGGTCTAGCCAGTCCTGTCACAGCCATGATCACACAAGAACAATGGGCGCAGAAAGCCCCACTCCTGGATGGGCCGACGAAACATGATTTCTAGCATCCCGAGTCATCCATCAAGTCGGCAGCACGGCCTGCCCCAGGATATATACGTGCTGATAACCTAACAGACAAGCGACCTTCTGATTCAACGCCTGACCTTTTGCCCATAAATATCGCGAGTGCCCAACATGGCCAACTTTCTCCGATGCTTTCTTAGTGCTCGTCGACCATCAACGCTGCGCGACTCCTCATCAAAACTCCATAAGAGCGCTTTCAACCTTTATCACATTCTCTAATCCCCTGGTCTCTGGCGTCTCAATATGAGTTCATCACATACGAGAGATGACTCCAAACATCACAAGTCGAAGGCCTGTTATTCAGCTCGAACAGCTCGTTATCGCCAAAACCCTTCTGACTCACAGAACGCAGCCAGCAAAGAAGTCACTACTTCAGATTCCGTGGCAGCAACTACGAGCCTACTTCATCACCTTGTCGTGACGGAGAAACATCTCTCGCGACTCAACTTCCAAGGCAGCACGTACACGCTCAGTACAGTCGACCACCACACATCCCCACACGAACAAGGCTCGGCCACCGTGAACGATTCTGCCACCACACAAGCCTCCTCCCTTGACGACCCTCTACATTATCCCTACCAAGCCTACAATCCGGACGACGACGATTCGTTCCTTCACGATGGCACGTCCTCATACGGCCCCTTCTGCACCTCATTCCCCTGCCTCGATCCAACCTGCTACACCCACCCAACCTCGACCACGACGCTGCAAGAGTACTATATCACCGGCACTGGGGCATACTTCACGGACACCCACAACGATCCCGACGATGTCCATGACCCTCAGTCGAACACCTTCGATCCGCAGATACACATTGAAGCCGAGGACGAACAGCAGTACGATGCTCCGGCCAGACACTGAAGCAAGCTTAGGAGCCCGGAGGGTGATGTTGTACGATCGGTGTTGAAGGTAAGCCATTCTCCCATACGCGTACTACCCTGCCACAAGACTGACCATACCAACAGTGACTGGACATTGAAAGAACGTTGCGAAGAACTGGATCACTGGTCTCCGTCGTGCTGCTGCATACAATGCTGAAGCGCCTGTTGGCCCTCTCGCAGAAGAGCATTTGAGTTCCACTGCTGCCGGCCCACCTGCTCCCCACCGCACACCCAAAAAAGAGTGGAACAGCATTGTGACCCCCACCCGCTACGACGGCCGACTCGGGACTTAACACGGACAATTAAACTTTATTACGACCTCCATAGACTCAATTCTATATTTCCATATAATCAATGTAGACTCCTCCGATGCCGTAAAATGGAGACAGACACATGTTACAAATTGACCCCACCACCACCTCCTCCGAGCCCAGTGTTGCTGTTCCCACCAGTGTTATTGTTGTCAAGTGCAACAGAAGACCAGTCCGCCAGGCTTTGCCAGAACCCGACCTCGTAGTCCCACGTGTCGAGATCGAACTGGGACGACAGCATCGGATCATGCTGGTGCTGCTGCAAGTTCTGATCCTCATTATGCCCTGCCTCTGCTGGTGCTGCCATGGCCGCTTGGTTGAACGGAGGGAGTCGCTGTCCCCGATCGCTTATTCCGTCGTCGATTCCCCAACGCGGGAAGCTGGGAGCTGCTGGTCATGTGCTTGGCTCGTTTCATTGACAGCAATGGAATCTCCGTCAGGGCCGTGGTTATAGTTTTGGTGCTGTGTCTGGTTGTGCTGAAGACGCGCACGTTTCGCCCGAGTGCCGTGGTGGTTATCACTCTGCACAGCGCCGTCGTGCTGCAGCCCACCACCGACATCCTGCTGGACCAGTACATGATCGCTGCGCTGCCGACCAACGTAATTCGAGGCCGAATACCCATGACCGCCACCGCCACCACCACCGCCGCCACCGCCGCCATCGCCCATGAGCTGCACAGAGTTCAAGAACCCCTGAATCGTTCCGTCGCCGTCGACACCAGACCATAGTTGGGCTCGTCGGGCTTGGCGAGCGTGCCGGTCTCCAGCTCCGCGACGAGGACGATTAGCAGGCGGAGAACTTTACTCTGGTTAACTGGTGGCGCCGGTGCGGGTTGTGTTGCATCGTTCGTTGTGATGGTAGGAGCAGATTTGTGCCGCTAGATAATGGCCAGCAGCAGGATGCCCACCGCAGGGAGGCCGAAGTAGGTCACCTGCAGTGGTCATATCATAGGCCATGTCAGCAATCCAGATTGCTTAGAGCGAGCGCTAAGGCTGTACGGGAGGGGGCAGTGACATACCTTCCATGACAGGTTGGTGCCCGAGTTGGCCAGCTGGTAACCCTACTCTCACCAGCACAATGTCGACCACTAGCTCCAGGATCCCCTCGGAGATCTCGACCATGCTGGCGTCCGGCTCGGTAAAGGAGTTCATGAACACCAGACGCAGGAGGAATAGCACGTGGAGGTAGTCCAGGCGCACGCTGGTAATAAAGTCGCGCTGGAAGGCCGTCGTGCATTGCGTCGTTAGGGCGGCGATGCTGTCGACGGCAACCCCCGGGGTAGCTGGTGTTGGTGTGGCAGTGGCCGAGGGGCCAGTGGCTAGGTGCGGCTTGAGGGAGTTGTTCTCGAGCTTGAAGTGTGCGGGTAAAGCTGCCCATTGGGCTTGTGCGCGTGCTTGTGTGGCTCTGCGTTTCAAGTGATTGATTAGCGCTGTGTTGCGAGGATGCAAATGAGACTAGTATGAGACTGCTTTATATCCTCGGGCAGGAAGGTTGTAGCGGGAGAAGGACGTTGCCTAGCTCTTAGCAGACAGTCTGGCGCCTTCCTATTATTCAGAAGCTCTAATATCTCCTCTTTGAGAGCCGCACACATGGCTGACCACCGGGCGAACGCACGGTACGTGATAGCCGTGTCGGTTCTCCACGAGAACCACGTCCGCGAAGTCTCAAAGTCGGTCTTAGCGCTTGGCTGGTTACCGTGATTCGATAGATTGTCACCAGCACCAGCACCGCCGTACTTAACAGGTTCATAGAACAGCGGACCCTGAAAGTAACAGAACCGCCGGCTGATTCGTGGGGGACGGCCGAGGAAGATGGCGACATTCTTGTCCGCCGAGTAACTGTAGGCGAATGCGGTGCGGCGGAACTCGGCTAGAAAGAAGGGGGCCTCTGGGGGTTTGGTCTCGATCTTTTGGTGGTAGCCTAGGGTGGAGAGTGATGCGATATGGTCGCTGAGGCGGCGCTAGGCGTCGTAGCCTTGTAATATGTTAGCTTCATTCGTATGTTATATGCAGTTAACAAGGTAGATGTAAGACTTACTCTGATTACCGTCCACGTTTGAATGTAGAATAAACTTCTCTATCTATAGCATGAGCTGGAGGTCGTTTATGCAGTCCAGTGTAAGACAATATTCAAGGCACTTATCACTCATCTGAGTGGCAAACTTGCGTAGGCTCATCTGTCCAGCGCTGTCCTTGTATAGTGGCGGCAAGAAAGGCACGTCAAAGGTCGCCCTGCCGACCGCGGTGAAGAAGAGCCCACAGGTCTCCCATCGGGTATTGGCCGCCGTGAACTGCCGCGAGAATTCATCTGCGCTGGTGGCCTGCTACGAGTCCAGGGGCCTGGCGGTGTTGGTGAAGAGTTGTTCCGACAAGGCGAGGCGGGCAGCCTCGTCGGTGCCGAGGTGTGATGTTGGTAACGTGGTGACACTCTGGGTGCAATGCGGTACGATGGGCTCGGCGAGGAAGAGGTTGATGCCTTTCCCAAGCCAGAATGTGACGAGCAGCCTGAGCGAGTCGAAGCTGTAGCCAGTCACTATGTGCATCAATGTGTCTGCCCCACGATGGACGAGCCGACTGCTAGGTGCCCTCCTATGGGCAGCCTGGGGGCCAGGGGTTGAGAATGTCCGTTCCAGACGTGCCGGTCGAGATGGGAAGGCGGGGACTCCTCAAGCCCATCGGTGGGGATGTGGTTGAAGAGCGTGGCATGGCTGGAGAAACCCTGATACCCAGGGTTAGGATACGGACTGGGCCCGGGTGGTGGTGCAGAGGACGGGATGCGAGATGCCGGGGACGAGGCAGTGCTTGAGCCTATGCTCGGCCTATAAGTCTGGTGTTTAGTCGTTTGTAATTAGGTAAGCACGCGTGTACTCATCGGATCCAAAGCACGGACCTCGTCTCGAGCAGGGGCCGGGATTGGCGGCGCCGTTTGAAAGGGGTTGCGCGATAGACGCACTGGCCATGCCGGCCTCGCGCTCGGCACCGGGATATTCAATGAAGGTCCAGCTTATATAAGCTGTGCAGTTGTGGCTGTGCCTAGCCAGATGTGGCGTAGCGGAATGGTGGAGTCAGTAACTGGGGGTCGTGGAAGCGCGAAACCGACAGGCGGCGCTCCTGTACACGAGTTAATAGACCGCTGGACTAGTAGTTGGGTCGGTGACGACCAGCGAATCCCCGGTGTTGTACGTTTTGCACTTCATTTTTTTGTTGTTCGAGAGTCAGGTGGTGATGGAGAACCTAGAATAGCTCGTCAAGGCAGCCATGGCCGCGAATCATCTGTCAACCCTGCACCTCAATCATCTCAACGAAAGGAGCGATTCCAACTGCATACAGCCCTGCATCAGTGAGCACATTGACAAAATAGGCGAGCCTGTCTCCACAGTACTGCCAAACGAAGCAGAACGAAGACATGATGTGGCTTGATAATTTGTCACGGCACTGAACAAGGATTCCGATGGGAGGCATGCGGCCGAGGAAGCAGGAGCGTCCCGTTTGCAGAAAATGGTCACCAGAATACAGCAATTCAGCCAGACTGCAGCTGGGCCAGGCTCCCGTCCTCGCCTGTCCCTTTTGCCCTTGCTACAATAAATGCACACGTGTGTTGCCACTGATAGCTGACGCCTTATCACCATACTCTACATTGCCTTTGTAGCAAATGTCCTTTTCCATTAGCCAGTATCTCAATGGCTCTCATCAAGTGTCTCAGAAGTCGTATGCTTTCCGTCCCTTACAACGCCTGGTGCTCGGTGCGAGCCAGAAGCCATGATCCTTCCCCGCGTGGTTCCTGTAAGCATCGAGGGTTTCGAACTTCACTCCTGCGGAGGTACAACCAGGTACCACGCAAGTGATCTGACTTCGGCTCTCAAGTACTGTCATCTCCCGCAAGTGTTGTCTTTCGAAATGGTTCCTCATTACAGAAGCACGAGCGTAGCTGTAGTATCTCTGACTGTCGGGCAGTCTCCTGTCACCAACGCACCGTGGACAGACGTACTTGGTAATGGGAGGCTTTACAGGCAACCTCTGAGTCTCACTTGGTGCCGAGCTTGACAAAGGAAGCTTCGCTGATATTGGCATCTCGCGTTTCTGACACAGGGCAACCATCAGATCCGCGACTCTCGTCCACAGAGCATTCCGAGCGATACTTGATGTCGGTATCGCATCCTCAAGCAAGATCTCTGCAAGTTTCTGTCTTTCTGGTATGTGGAGGTTGATCTCCGGTTTCACTTCTTCCAACTCTGTTGTGTCCGCTCCAGCGAGTTGTTCTTCGATGTCCCAGTTCGGTTTGTTCTCCAAGTAATATCGACGGTATTGTTCTTGGACATCCTTGCTTCTCTTATCGCGCTTCTGTCGAATCTGTGTCGTGAGCTCACGAATGATATCCTCTTTAGGATTGTTGTGGATATCGTAATGGCCGGCCTTGAGCGTTTCTCGTTCTCTCTCTAACGCAAGTATCTCAGGATCTATAGGCAAGGAGTCCCAGACCTCTGGCGGTACCATATTCCGTTTTGCCGAAGGATCTCTGGTCAAGCTCATATGCCCCATCAGATTGATGAGGCTATCTTGGGTCGGCTCATTCAAGAATGCGCTCTGGACGTCAAATTTGACATGTTGATTGATGTACGCGCTGTTGAAGGTCGCCCACTCTGGGTCGTGTCGCATAGCTTGGTCACGGACAGCATCTGAAGCCTGGCCTAAACGCGGGACATGCTGTTAGTCTTCCCAAACATCCTAGGTCAAGTGTTCAGTGGGGCGTCCAACCATTGATGGCGTCTGAAACCCCACGACGGAACGCCCGAGGGGTGATAGCATGCTCAAACCCTGCCTCGAGGCTTTGTCTTTTGAGGTCCGATGATAACCAGTCGTAAGTCATTGGCGGTTCTGAAATTGGGTCGGACGTGCCACACATTCGAAATATGGGTCGTTTCAGCCACTCTTCCTTCCAACGGAGAGGCAGACACTGCATTCTTTTTGGGATTTGGAGGTTGTAAATGGATGCCGCTGTCGTCAGCCCTTTTGCAGCGAATGCTCCATCACGAAGGGCGGCCACAATGACTGTGTTGATTAAGCAGAATATGGGTCGACGTGCTCTCGGGAATGTGTATATCGTACTGTGGCTGATCAATTAGAGTGTGAACAGCAAGGGATGTGGAGGTTTGACTTGCGGCTTCGGCTTTCTATCCTCTCCTTTATGGTGGATCAGCTTCATTGCCAGGACAAATGTGGTGCCTCCATCCGCCTGATCGCGAAGCGCGATTAGGCGGATATCTTCATAGCAAAAACACTTCGGACGACCTCTTCCCACCGTCTCTTGGCGTAGCAGCTTCTGGATAGCCTTCGACGCGTCGTCTAGGCATTGTTCGTCATCGTCATCATCATCGTCGTGTCCATTATCCCCGAACAGTTGCTTTCTTAACTTCCCGTTTGGGACCCTTTTCTCGTTGAAGACGAACTCCGCAGGCCTAGCACCTGTGCCCGACAAAGCTTGACAGATTCCCGGGAGGTTGATGACTCGATGGCGTTCCGTTGCGAATATACCACGATCGAAGGCTATGTTGAAGACCAGGAGAGCGTGAAGGTCGTCGGCATTCACAACTGGCTGCTCTTTCATGTTGGGAGGATGCAGCTTGAAACGAGGGATCACGACTGTCTTGTGCCACTACAAGAAGTTAGAGAACTGGTACGACTCTCTTGGAACAGCCGCGGAACAGCCTACTTACCTTGTCAACCTCCATAGTGTCAATCTTCGCAAAATCCCGTCGTGTGGTTAACACAAACAACTGCTTGAAGCGTCGAAAATATCCCCAGGTAGTGCCGTAGGAGTTGATTGCCCCATTTTCGCAGATCCATAGCAAAAGGTCCATGGCAATGGCTTTGATGTTTTCAGTCTCTTTCAAGATGGATATCCAGTCGCCGAGGCTGTTGGATTCGCAGTAACTGAGGTGTATAACTTATTAGAAGTCTTCCAAGATATGGCATGTCCGATGACTTACTTTTTCCATTTTTTTGCTACGAGGTAGACACCCAGCTGCGTCGAATCAGCCCAGACAGGGGGAATGAATTTCAACTCGTCGAGGATTTTGCGCAACGTTTCATGCTGTGAGGCGTCGAGCACATCTGGCCGTTTGCTCCGTTGCTCCGCCTCCCTCTTTTGAAAGAGGCGAACAAAATCAGTGTGTGTTCGTGCAGCATTCGCCAACGACGGCATGGTGATCGTCTTGATGGCCGCATTGGCGGGCAAGCAGGCAAGTGAAGGAGGGCATGGCCGCGGTTATTATGGTACTGTGCTTGAAGCTTCATAAGTGGCACAAGGTCAAGCAGGGGTGCAGTGCAGGGCGCGGCCTGGACGCGCTGAAGCAGCCCCGCCCCACCCACACCTTTCCGCACCCCTGCCCGACAGAATACTGTTTCCTGTCCGAGGTTCCAGGTACATTCAAGGAACATCGTAGTGTTCAAGGGTCAAGGAATTGATCCCCAAGCCTGCTCAAAAATGATTCTTGGGCACCGCCTTTCATCTTTATTGTGTCATTCTAGACCCTGATGGCACGAAACCAAAATGACCTATCCCGAACGCGACCCTTGCTATTGTGGAAAGCGCCGGCACAAAAGCTTCTGTCGTTTTCTTGACTCATCCGGAACATCACTTTTGATGATTCACGAACTGTTACCTGACCGTTCGTGATTCCAGCAAGCAACCCCCGCGGCCAAAGGTTATAAAGTAGTCTCAGGAATGCTAGTTCGAGCAATGATGCACGATACTCCACAGGTGTACATGTACTTCGATTTCATTATTGGTATTCATAGTAAGCTGTATCCTATGTAGGATTAGCTAGCTGCAAATCTATCGGTATAAGTAAAGGTAGTCGTCCGAAGCCTTCCCTAAGGATCTTATACCACCACTACTCATTAGGGTGCCGTTCCGACCTACTCCCCTAGCCCGGAGGTCGGTACCCACTTCGCTCGTTGTTCCGGCGCGTAATAATTCGAGTGACGGCTCGATTCGGTGAACCCCTCCTCCTACTGTCGTATTCCAGGGCGGTTTAAGGTAAAAACCAAGGGACCCATGCGCCCCACATCTCTAACAGAATCCCTGCATGCCGTGAAGTCTTGCTCATTGCCTTCATGAGCATGCCATGTCCTACGAAAGGTCTGTGCACGCATCGGGTCTGTCTCATTCTAGCGCCTTTTCCCGCGGATTCATTTAATACCCATTACCCCAAATTCCTCTCAACCCCCATATTTTCCACTCAATGTAATCCGCCAACAAATCCACAAACCAACAGCAGTCGGGCGGCCCACAATAGAACGATGCGCAACCAGTTATCAACCGACTTAGCGACCACGCCGGAACGCGAAACCGATCCCAACTCGGTCCTACTATGCCTATAGCTTTACGCCGACCTAACATACAATGTCCTTATCTGCCGTAGACCCGACTGCCGACACGCTATTTCACCAGATGGAGCCCAGGTTACTTCACACTTGTGGAACAAGTATAGTGTCCCTCTAGCGCTTCGCTTAGGACTCCCAGAGCATCTACGGGATTACTACTCTTCGGGATTCCAGAACCCCTCAGAGGCAGCCCTACCGCCCTGTGGTTCCAAACCCATCCGGAACCCCAGACCTACGATGGCTTTAGCTGCCGCAAGTGCGTCTTCTTTACGACGAGCTTCCACGAGCTTACAAGGCACATCTCTCATGAGCACCTAGATGGGCGAACAGCGGCCCGACCACGGATCAGCCTATCCTACGACGATGTCTACCTGCAGACCTGGGGGGCCGGGCCGAATCGCCGTACGGATGGGTAGTCAGGTACGGTTCGTCCAGTGCCCGGCCGCCTGCAAAATAGAACCCTCTCGAGACAACCAAAGGATAGAAGGACTGCTATCTCGCAGAGAAATCCATGGCTAGACCGCACAGGCTGGCCCGAGATCTTCGAGAGCGCAAACTATGCAGTACTCATCGTGGTCTCTAATTGATGCGCCAGAAGGAGGGTGGCAGCCACATGTGGCTGTCTGCGCCACTCATGTATGATAAGCTGATAGCGCACTGGTGTGGGTCGCTGCAGGAAGCTGCAGAGTGGTCTGTGCGTAGCGCCCCCCACCTGCACTAACCCACCTGCACCTGCAGGACCGCACTCCGCCCGACTCTTCTGAAATGCATCACACCTTCACCTACTACTATTTGACCCCATGGGCACGCGCATCATTAATTCTGTCGATATGCTACAGGACGCCATTGTGGTCAACCTCAAGGGATAGCCGCGGCGCGAGAAGTTGACAACCGCCTCGTTGTCTGCCAGGTGGTCGAAGCTACGAATGGCAGCCATAATCTCGGAGTACACCAAGTACTCGCGATACCCCTGGATGAACTCTTGTAGAGGCGAGGATCCATAATGGCTTCAGAGGCGGTGAATCACACCTCATCCAGAATGACTGGCTCCCCAGATCCCTTGAGTGCGCCAGTAGTGGTGTTCTCCTCATTCTGGACCGCCCGCAGCCGACTCAAGGCGTCTGGCACGTAGTTGAGCCTGCCGGGGATAAAGTACACCTTGAACCGGAAATGAGACAGGTATATGGATGCGTTGGTCTATCTACGATTGCCTCGGTATGTCGAGGCCGCGCGCAAATTAGTCTGGTTGACAATGCCCTTGATGGCGTCGTGATCGGTCAGCACAATCGTCGGCAAGGCGGCGAACTGAATGATGGTGCGGAGGCGACGTGCTGCCCACACAGGAACAGATGCTTATCCTAGTCATGATGATATAGAGTGGTCTTATTGCAAATCGCGTGTTTAGCCACGGCGAAGCTCTGACGCTCGGCCTGGTTCGGCTCGTAGTAGGTTGAGCGGTGGTAGGCTTGACGCTTCTGAGGTTGTCGAACTGGCCGGATTTGCGGCCAGTGGCGAGTAGGACAGTTTTGTGTTTCTGCAAAGGTTCCACCAGTTAAGCATAGTAGGGCAGGAGGGTGTGCAAGGAGCCTGATACGCCAGGTACGGTTCTAAGGCCTACAGCTGCCTGGGGAAGGCGAGGGTAATTGTCAGGTACAATCATGCGGTTCAAGGCTCTCCAGTCAATGACCGTGAGGCCCTGCTCCTTGCCGTGCACGGTTCGCCACAGCACGAAGACGAGGTGTGCAAATGTAGATACTTCGTCCACCCATTCCACGCAGCCTTGATTGTGCAATCCATCAATGGTAACGTTAAGATTGGTCTCATCCTAACGGCTGACTGGGTATCGCTGTGAATTGAGCTTATGCTTGTGCCAGCCGTCGACGAGCGGCATCTTCAATGTTTGTTCGATTGGGACGTCGACGGTGCCGTGGTCAATCCAACCCTTACCCTGGGGAAATTGGTGGCCAGGTTGGCGAGGTTGTCCGCAAAGGAGGCCGATTCGGTGTAGACATGGATGCTGTCGTTAAGAACGCGTTCGGACAGATCGACGGGTTTCTTGATCCCCAAAGCGGAATCGGGTTCTGCGACGCGTAATGATCTGTCCCAGGAATAAAATAACCTATAACCTGTAAGCTGAAAGCCGTCGTAGCTAACTAGTCATACGGGTAGAACAGAAATACACCTGGCATATTGTCTTCCCCTTCGATCAGACACTACATTTGTTATTAAGGACAGTTAATAGCCACCCGCCCCAGGCAGATTACCGTTGCCTGGCGACGGCGATACGATACAAGACCCTGGTGGCCAGGTTGAAGCCCATGGTTCGGAACCTAATGACTTGGCAACAGGGAATGCCCTGTCAGACACACTTGCCCTCGCTTAGAAAAACGGCCAGATAGCTGTCGATGATCCCTCCTGCGGGGCAGGAAGACAAAGTCCGTGGCACGCCCTTGGCGAAAAGGCACGCACATATGGGTACCACCCTTCTGGACAGACACCAATTACAGATTTGGAGGCGCAGCACTCGCAGTGTTTTGGGCCGGTGGAGTTGAAGATGGGCCCAAACGGCGAGCTATAATTAAGCTGCCGTTTAATCTGGTCGTGTACCTTCGGGCTATAATGTGAGTGAAGCGCCTGTTACCGGGGGTAGCAGCAGAAGCTATTAGGGATGGCAGAAGTGCTCATATTGTGGCGCCTCAGGCGCGCGGTGCTGCATGGCGGTTGATATAGCTGTGATGCGCCCGGATTATTTGCCTATATACATGGACAAGCCTTATTGTGGCTCCATATCTCATTGATCCTCCACCCCTGACGCCCTCTATCTCGCCTAATTGGGGCCAATGGCCAGCATGGCTGTGAAGTACAGCAGCAGAGTCCTGTTTGGCTGTGCACTAACCTTGTCCGTGAGCTCGCGGTAAGAGAGCGTGTGGAATGCATTGGCACGACCCTCCATATTGGACAGGCGGCCCACCAGACATGACTGGATTGTGCATTCTTGATCATAGGTAGGGAGTATTTAGGCTGAGAGTGGATCGAAACTTGCAGGAAAAGGGCCTGCTATGAGACTGATCTGCTATGCGCAAAAGCCTTTCGTAGGACCACGACATGCCACTTGAGCATACATGATCTGATTCAGTGATTAGAGGGACTCGCTTTGTATCGCGAGCAAATCGGTACCGGCGTCGCGATCGATGTTGATGGCAATACAAAAGTCCATAAACCGGCCGACCACGGCATGTACGGTGTAGATGTTGCGCTGAAGCAGGGCGGCCAGATATGCGCCTGCCATCCCACCTGCGCCCTCGCGGGAGAGCCTCCCCTGGAATCGTTCAGGACGATGCGAAGAGCGCACCACAGCGACTATCCAGGCCGATAGATAATGGTGCAGCTATAGCACTCGAATAGTCATTCATCAAAGATTATGTTTTCGTGTTAGTACTGTTATTTCGTTGTATTCAGAGACAATCTACAAATTCCCGACAGGGATCTGAGTCACGTCCTCACATAGAAGTAGATGAATCTTACGCCGATAACTAAACATAAAGGCTAACAACTAGCCCTAATCAAGTAAAGGAGTAGCAAACGATGAACGGGAATGTCAAATGTGGCTGTAGCGAGGCCTGATGGTACAATGCAAAGGTTGTGAAAAGATAGTTCCATGAGCCATTTTCCCCACAGGATGTCGAAGTGTACACTGGCGACACTGTATATGTGGCGCGTATTAGACCCTGAAAGTTGACTAGATTCCGGGGTGGAATATAACAGTAGGCCCACCCGCCAAAGACTGTAATAGTAGGTGTCTAGGGTGAGTCAGAAACTAGGGCCAGAGCGTCCGATGTGCACATTCTCCATCAAACCCTTTGATGCTGCCCTTCACAAAGGCTGAGATGAGGAGGGCCGCCAGACTCAAGTACACAGCTGCATGCACCGCACTGAGTGCTATACAACCATCCTAAAATAACAACATCCAAATGCAACCGCGTCAGTCTTCTCCAGAAAGTGTGTGGCGTCCAGAAAGTGTGTGGCGTCCTTGCGCCGCGCTAATCTACGGCCTTGCAGCTGCCAATGTAACATTTAATAGCTCCGCTAAGGTGCAGCAGACGTGATTGCGGATACTTGACCGTAGGTAGGCAGTATTTGCGGGAAATCCGTAGCCGCGAGTGGACTGAAACTTGCAGGGAAAAGAACCTGCCATGAGACGGATCTGCTGGTTTGCACAACTTTGTTGCAGGACATGACGTGTCCTACACGGGAATGAGAGGGACATCGAGGTGTGCACGGTCATCCCGTATAACTTACCTCAATTATGGACTGGAATAAGACAGTAGGTGGGCGAAGGAAAGAAGGTAAGGTTGACCTCCGAGGATAAATGCTGAGAAGCAGTAGGGTTAGGCAGGATTGCGCTTCAGACGAGATATCCGTATGCGCTTCACATCATATGTCGCAGGGGACGAGGAAATTGTGAAGTGGTTGCTCGTACGTAAGCCATCAATGGCCCACCCAATTTGAACCTTACGCTTCCTTGCTCCTGCAGCCCAACCAGCAATTGGCTTCTGGCACCCACTGCTCCCGCGCGTGTCACACTTTTAGGAGGAGTGTGCAACTATCTGCGCACTCGCGCGTTTGGGGGGTTCTGATGGCTAATGCAACGGTGCACCATACAGTTCCGCAGGGCAGAAAGGCTAAGTCGTCATACGGATGGTACGGAATCGCAACGATCCAGGCAGGACACGATCAGCTCATGGTCACTACAGAGGAGCTGTAGATGACAACAGAGTACCCGTGCTTCGCCCCTTCGACCAGCCTTCCCGTCATTCAGGGGTCCGCACATCCCTGAACCCTCATGCAGACGCGGGGTCCATCACGGAAACAAGGCAGACAATGTCTGTTAGGCTGAATGCTTTGCCTGCTTCAGCCTCACCGCATCCTTGGTTTTCCCCTGCCTCGGTGCCCTCGTCTTCCCAAGCAGGAACCCATTCTCTCTATTGTGCTGCTCAGTAATTCAGATTCACCTTTGCCCGCAGCTGGCTGACGAGATGGCACAGTGGTCTGGTGGCGGAGCTCTCGCGAGAAACAAGCGCGCGCTCGATGCACCTCCGGCTCCTGAGAAGAAACGGCGAACGCGAGTGGAAACGCTCACCAGGGACAACTACAATATCGGCTGGGTCAGCGCGCTTCCGATACAGCTCGCTGCGAGTGTGGCTCTTCTCGACGACCGCCACGAGCCACTTCCGAAGCTAGATGGCGACAGCAACGCCTACTTTTACGGCACCATAGGCGGTCACAATGTCGTCATGGCGCACTTGCCGAACGATCTGCCTGGTTCTGGTAGTGCTGCTAATGTCGCCGCAAACATGTGTAGAAGCTTCAAGAACCTTCGGTTCTTACTTCTCGTTGAGATCGGCGGTGGCATTCCACGAACCGGCCACGATATCCGGCTTGGTGACGTGGTCGTCGGTCGCATGATGATTCAACATGAACTCGGCAAAGAGGATTCTGGCGACGGGCCAGAGGATACCGGCGTTCCATACATGCCGCCTCGGGACATCAAGACGACGCTGTCGGCAGTCAAGGTTCGCGCAGAAATGGGGCAAAATCCCCTACCTCGACTTCTTGACGAATTGGAGGAGCGCGGCCTGGTCAGCAACGAGTACTTCGATAGGAAGCGACTTGAGGACCACCTTTTCAAGGAAGACTATGACCATCCTGACGAGACGCAGGAGTGCGACAAATGCGATATTGCGCAACGCGTGCAGAGAATACCAAGGCAGAGCGTCAACCTGCAGATTCACTATGGCATGATCGCGTCGGGATCCCAGGTCATCAAGAACCCCAAGGTCCGGGACGACATAGGGAGACGCCACCAAGCGCTCTGTGTGGAGACGGAGGCCACCGGCCTGATACACAACTTTCCATTCTTGGCAATCTGTGGCATCTGCACCTATGCGGATTCCCACAAGAACGAGCGCTGGCAGAAATATGCTGCCATGACGGCGGCTTCGTACGGAATAGAATTCCTTCGAAATTGCCAACCCGTCAAGAACTAATCGAAGCCTGTGTCTACAATGCATACACGAGCATTTCGTCGTGTACGCGTATATGAGAAGGGTCCGTTACATAACCGGTCGACTTACTCTCCTCGGAGTTGCGAGCTGCCTGATAAAACATTGTTCGCACGCCTTGCTGTGGCAAACATGTAGCTCTCGCATTATGCAGGCGACTTCTAGCCTCCACGCAGTAAAGGGCTAGCACGGCTTAACACCTCGGCAGGAGGCCGCGGTAGACGTCGTGCCCCAGCTTCTACTCCACTAGCAATATCACGAGCTCCTTTGAGTCTTCATCCTTCGTCTTCTGTGACTACGATGCCCAGGTTGGCTGAGTGAGACGAGATGGGTGGATATCGATTTCAGTGCTTAACACGTGGAAATTGCACAGGTACGATACCGACCGATGATGGATGATAATCTTGCCCCTTGAAAGTTCAAACCGCGTAGTGTAATACCAAGGCATCAGGGATGACAGGTTCGGCTTGGCTATGGCCAACTGGTTTCAGGCTATCCCGCAAATGCGACAGCCTTTCTCGGCGGACTGTCGGAGCGATCGTATTCTCGCGTGATGACGACGGGGTTCTATGTCGGTGAATTGATAGGGGGCGGGAACTGTTTTCTGCTGTGCAAGAGCCCCGAAGATGGTAGCACGGCACACTTGACAGATGCGGTTTTCCGGTGGTGCTGGAAGGTCGTGGTCTGTTGAAAGGGGCTCCACGATGCGTCCGGCAATGTGACGGAATAAGAGGAAGTTCAGGATCAGTGCGGCGCAACAGAAGGGGGACGCGAGCAGGAACGGTGCTGGCATCGAAGGAGCGAACGCCGTAGCGTAGCAAAGCACGACAGCGGTCACGCCGAGCTGCGGCTTCTCTAAGTAGCCGTCAAGAAGTTACGGCGCTGACAACGAGGTGAACGAGCCAGCCCAGGCCGTGTGTTAGGAGTGAAGGACAACAAAGATGTCGATGTAAATTAGGGGCAGGATGAGGGTGAAAAGTCTTAACGCCCATAACTCAGGGAATAGAGCAGTGCACTGAAAGCCAGACCGAAGAACCAACCCACTCTGGTGGGACGGGCGAGGCTGAAACGGCCGACACTGAGTTGGGGAGCATCATCGCCCTGGAAGATCAAGCGAACCAGTGAGGGCACTCCACGAAATAGGCCCCAGCTGGGCAATAGATCGCAAAAGGCGTCAAAGTTGACCGGGACTTGCCCTATACGACGACAGCACCACTGATATGCTAACCACACACAGCCTAACGTAAGCAGCTGCGCACCTTGTACTGAGACATGAGTGCTGATCCGCAAAATCTCCCTTGCCCTCATCGGACGTAAGAGTAGGTGTTACAGTCCTTGTAATGTCTTCGGGGTAGTCTGGAAGACTTCCACAATAGACCATATTGTGTGAAGAGTAAAGGCCAGACAAAGCAGCTTCCAGCGCCAGCTTGAACTGGACTTGGATCGCTACAAGATTAGCCAGACATGAAAGATAAGATTGTTCATTTTCGGAGAACACCAGTCTCGGTGTAGTCAATGTTGATACCTGGGCAGGGGTGGAATGGGTGAGCGGGCCAGATTTGATCGTCGTTATTGCAAGGTTAATGACAAGCTTAGCTGGTCGACATGAATTCAGCTACGGTACAGATTGTGGAGGATGAACCGCTCTACCGGAGCCACGTCCTTATGAACAAGTTCCGCGACAAAGAGTGCAGTGACTCCAAAAAGGTTGATCGCAAGATAAAAGAGATCACAGAGAAGATCCGCGGAGGATCTCCACTGAAGCAAGCAGACGATTGGATCCGCAAGAAGTGGTACGACGGGCAAGACCCAGATCGTTCCCACGAAGAAACCGCAACTACCTCTCCATTCTCACTTTTTACTCGGCAGAAGGTCGAGATTCCAGATAAGACGACACATGTTAAGCTAAAATCAACCTTCGAACAACGCGAAAGCCCTAACGGTCAAATGAAAGAACCCAGACGAATCTTGATTCGAGGAAGAGCGGGGTCGGGAAAACCACCTTATGCAAGAAGATCATCCATAAATTCAAGCAAAAAGATGACCTCCCTGAGTGGAAAAGGTTAGGTGACCGTATCCTCTGGGTACCTCTACGAAACCTGAAGCTAGAAGAAAGACGCCGCGAACCTGGACACAACCTTACGAGTCGATTCCGGCACGAGTATTTCCAAAAGCCGGAAAACGGACCGGACTTCAGTTACGGCCAACAAGCCTTCAACGAAGACACAAAGGGAGAATCGTTTCAAACACTATTGACACACATGCAGAGCGGATTCGAGGGTTGTCTCGGCACATAACCACAAGAGGCAAGATGTTCTTGGTGCGACCATCCACACCACGGCTGTGAGGAAATAGAAGGGAATCTCAGAGCCATCGACCCCACCTTGTACTGGACTACAGTCAACGCGTTGATGGCTGGACAAAGGCGCTGACCTAAACCTGGCGCTGAAACGGGATGAGACGGTGTTCACACAACGGTCCAGTGGGCCTCTTTGCCAGATTCCATCTTCTCTCAGCATATGGAAAACTATGCTCTAGGCGCAGAGGTAGCTACACCAATTCGTCGAAGAGCGCGGGACAGCAGGACGGTCTGATACATATCTACTCTTGGTTGCCATTGAGGCTAGAGAAAGTTTCCACAATTCAGGCATCAGTAGCTCGCAGCTGACCCCTCAAAGTTAGTTTTCTGGTGGAAAGTATAGATAGACAGCAGCAATTCCACGTCACCCCATAGGCGAAACCTTGCCACCCTTCTTCCCGATCCATTGCGCAGCGTCAGCAAAGCTGTTTAGTTGTCACACAATGATGCCAAGCTCCTACGGGAGGTATAAGTTGCCTGGCGGAACATGTTCTCCATTTCCATGCGTGGCTCCTTGGGCTACTTTTTACTCATTGCTTCGACCTCCAAGATTCTATTTACGGAGTATTTGCGCAAATAGTCAACGGCGGACGGAACTGTTACAAGCTCTTCATGGAACATCATTCAACCCAGAAGCGGCTACTCCATGCACAACAGGCTTGCAAGCAATCATCGCGCTCGTGCTAGAATTCTTGACGGTTCACGAGGCTATCGACATTCTCTCCGAGTTCCGCGGACCTAGGTGGAGATTGAATGCACAAGTACTCTGGAGCGGCATGAGAGAAGAAGTGGCACAGGCATGGGCAAATCGGCACGGACTTCGCACTCTGACGAAAGCAATGGGTCGCCTCAGAAATCCTCGTCACGATTCTTGCCTGAGACGACCGAAGTCGAACGCGGGATGGACTGCTTACATAAAGGGTGCCTCTGCGCTCTTCGCATGGTGCATTGCTCAAGAAGGGCATGTCATAATCCTCACGCCACCACCAAACCAGCGGTTCCACCCGTCAAACCTCACGAGCTTTCAACGTATCGAGGGCCCTGTTCTTGCAGGGTGCTACGGAGTGCCATTGGTCAAGAGAATCGATATATGCCATCCCCAGGTAGATAACGCACACGAATCGTCATACCAATTGTGGCTAAAAGACAGGGTTGGGTCTTGGCTTGCAGACTTCTACGATAGTCCCTACAGAGGTGAGCCGTTCCGACGAATCAATGGCTGGGCACCTATCGAGGTCTGTGGTCTCCAACCGCCTTCGAAACTTGGACTCGCCTCGATAACAGAGGTCAGAATCGATATGACCGTAACAGGGATGCCAATTAGGAACTCGAGTAGGACAGCGATTCCTTTCGGAAATGCCAGAGACAGCGAACTTCGTCAGCTCAGTGGTTCTCGTTCAGCGGAGGAGTCGCAAGTACATTTGGACATTCGTAAGGCATTTGTGACAACAAACTTGGTTATGAGGGCTGACGAGGTTTATTGAAGCACGGCGACCCGCCGCGCTCGCATAAAAAGCAATTACGGCGACACCAGGGACAACCGTACTATCGTCCAAATTCCAGAAGAAGGCACAATCTATGAAAGGGAAAAAGAACAGAACACGGGTTTTGGGCCGCAGACATAACAGAAGGAGACGAATGGGAATAGATAGTGAGACTTATCAATTGCCCGTGAGAGTCGGAGGGAGCATATTATGTACCTATTAATTGGCGTCCAAAGCTCCACAATGTACTTCAAGAATCCTCGGTGTGTCTGAATCACGTAACATTTTGCCGGACGCTGGTGTTCTCGCGCGCTTCCCGAACCTTGCCGTGCTTACCACTTACTTGACCCACTAACACCACAGATCAACGCGATGTTCCGAAACGAAGCTAGCCAAATGTTGTGGGGAGGTCAGGCGGATTTGCCTCCGTGGCGCACTGCTTTCACGAGCAGGGGGTTTCTTCGTAACCTTTAAGCACACTCCATACTCCTGGTTAAGCTGACGCCCTTGCTTACTGTATCATAAACATTATGCTGGAAGGCCATGGTGTGAATCACGTCCATGAGTTTCAACCTTGACAGCGAGAGGGCGATACTGGCAACTATGAAGGGACTGCTCGTTTGGATGACTCGGCAAACGGGAATCATCAGCTTGTCGTTGAAGGAAGAATGAGACCGAAAGCTGCTAAGGCCTCCGAATAGCGTGATGACCCTGTGGAGCCAACAGATTACCTCTCTCAACTGGGATTCCAGGTTCCAGGTCCACAAGCATAGCCCAATTCTCATTTTCACTTCCCTTCATTCTGTGCGCCGCACAGTGATCTATCCAGCACACTCCTCGATGATGCCTCGGAGTGCTCTCAAGGGAAGGTCCCCTCCATAGAGCCTGAATGCTAGCGTAAAACATCACTTGGTCTCGAAGTCGGTAAAACTCTGCGGTATGCCTAAAACATGGCCAAATACAGGTACTTTCCATGACGAACCAGGCAATATACATCTCTTTGGCGCAGCGTCTTGTAAACTCCATGAGTCCTGAACGAACGGAGATCCGGTAGACTACCCGCCCCCACTCCCATCCTGCTCCGGGACTCTCATCTCCTCTCATTATGCCTCCATTAATCTGAGGTTTAGAGAACGCGGAGTGAGGAAAGAAGACGAGCAGTACATTCCACGTGTCACCTCCGTCTTGCGGACAAGCAAAAAATACCCCTCGGTCGCCCTCCTCCTGGGAAGGACGGTTTGTATTACACTAATCCAGTCAGTCATTTGCTCATCTCACTGATAAGAAATTCATACCATCAAAGCAATAGTCAGTGATCTCTGGACGGCCCAAACCAACTTTTAGCCCCCATAATATTCTTGCCCCAGTTAGCGCTATCAACCCGGGCTCAACACTCACTGATGCACTATCGAGTGAGGAAGGATAGCAAGTACTGCCCGTCAAATAGGTAAGTTCGCGGCTCAGAGATCGCTGGCCTCCAGAATTTCTGCCGGGAGGAATGTAGGGGCGGAACATTTCCGAGTGTGCTTATCAGCAATGTAATCACAGTGTGCAGTGGGATTTTCCCACCTGAGAAGTTGGGAATACCCTCGTCGCCGGTGCTCTGCAATGTTGACTGGGGCGAACCCTGCCCAAGGTCAAGATGTTGAGCGGCCAGAGCTGGCGACAACGATACTTGTTCATGGATATTGGACGCAAATTAAGGTTGGAAAGCCATACACCGTTTCTTGCTTTAGCCAGAATTTGACTATGACACAGCACCACGTTCCTAAACACGACCTTAGTCAAATGACAAGCTTTATTCGAAGACCAAATTCACAGTCAAAGACTGTACTTCAATCATAAATACCGCGGCGTGCCCTTTGAAAGTCGAGTATGGCCGACATCTTTTCTCTCTCCTCTGCCACTCCCTGGGTAAACAGGGCTGCGCTACCTAGCACCAGTCCCATACCTACGAAAATAGGGAAGATAGGGAGAATGCCATTCATAATGTTCATTACAATGTTTCTCGCGAGCAGTGCGGTCAATGTCCTTGCTCTTGTGCCGTCGCCAACGCGGCAAGGTAATGCTTGCCCAGCATCCTATTGCGCTGTGGAGTCGCAGTTCCATCCCATCATGCTCCAGGGGATAACATGTGACGACTGGAAAATGGGCGGCAACGTTCCTGATTGGGCTGCACAACAATCCGGTTGGTTTCCTGTGATCAACACGACTAGCATAGAGATGCTTGCGCGCTACGCATCCAACCGGCCGCAGTCGCCGCAGTGGGATAAAGGACATGACCTGATCGACGCGCTGGATAGAGTGGAGCGCCTTAGTAAGGACTCGTTGTTATCCTGGAATGGTATCCTCTATGCAGCGCTGACAGGATTCTGGCGTACTTACCGGATACCGCTGGCTGTGCGTGTTGGTGAACTTGTGGAAAATCGGAGAGACTCGCTGCTGACCTCGTCTGAGGTTCTAGAGATGAGCGAATACTTGTATTTACAGGGAATGGGCTCATCCTATGTTCCATGGATGAATGGGACGGACCACAAGGTGCGTGATCTAGCGACACGCGTTAATTGTAGTGGCCTGCGCGAAGGAGGTCCATACAAGGGATTGCTGCATTCCGCTGCCGTGTTTCATATGCTAGACACGCATTGTACGCACGATCAGTGGCTTCTCGGCAGCATATTGCATAACATCAATAGAATTAGGTGGATCGCTTATGCGATGAAATGGTCTTACATAGAGCTGAAAGCGGACCTGATGAAAGAACGCTTATACATTATCGGGCAGGAAAGAGGGGCAGAAAATAGTTCGTCACGGTTACCAATACAAACAACGGCGGTATCAAGAAGCTCCCCAGTAGCTTAGATGTAAGGGCTACAGTACTAGGAACAGATAACATGGTCAAGTGATACCTATTTAATGCCAAGATTAAGCATGGAGGAAAGGTGAAACTGTGGCTTAGAAGTTATGACGTAACTTTAGTCTTGTACGACAGCGACCTTTTGGAATACAGAGAACTTCCCATCGCATGCCTATTCCGGATCAGTACCTTCTCCTTAACAGTACCGAAAGCAATACTTCTCTTTGATGCCTGTTCTAAAGGGTTAGTGTTGGTCGGGTGCATTTGCGGTCACGAAATCTGGGCTTGGTAAGAGGGCTGGCTTCACCGCCTTTGTTCGGAAGTATTTATGGATCTAGAAAATTTGGCCCAATCAAGTGTTACAAAAAGTCATGCCCCCCTAAGGGTCATGCCCGCGTATCAATTCGTCATGCCCCCCTATCAATTGCCAATACAAATGAATCTATACTATGGGAAATGGCTGTTGTGTAGTAGAGAATAGAGGAGCAGGATTGTCGGTGCTTAGACTTCCGCTAGCGGAATGTCGGACTACAGATGATCTCGTCGATCTCAGTAGGCCCCCCAGCAACCGTCCACCTCCCGTTGCCCCCGTCGCCAAAGGTCTGCTTGTTCAGGTTGACGCCTCGGTTGAGCAGCACGACTTGCCCGCCGTTTAATGCCTTGCAACGGAGCGCCTGATTGTCCACCCCAGGGCCAACGAAGAGCTCTACATGCGTGAAAATGCTACCAACCGATTGCCTCTGGTCTTTTCGACCCTCCGAGTCCGAGAAATCAAGCTGGCGCTCAAACTCCTGCGCACTGTTTGACAGAGCTACGCGGATATCATCACGCCGATCGAGCTCTGTCTTTCTCAGTGCTGGATCGCACGTGACGCGCAAGTTGGATGCTTTGACTGGCCCGCCAGGCTGAAGTTTCCAAGCTTTGCCAACTCCGAAGTTGAAGTCAATGCTACTGTCCCGCGTGACGATGATTCGGTTGTTGTTCCGGCCAGCATCACGAAGCTCGCATCGGAAGTCAGCCTGAAGGTCCGACGAGGCGGCTTGCTCTGCAGCTGCAGTAACCTGGATGCGGACTTTTCCAATGTGACCCCAGTCAGCACTAGGCTGCAGAGTCACAGGTTGCGTGGCAGAAAAGCCTTGAAGATAGAATATGTTGCCGTCGGTATTGATCAGGTCCACGGTGACTCCGCTGGTGGTCCTCAGGTGTTTATAATGATGTCTTGCAAAGACATTGGTTGGGACTACGGCCATGGCGGCGATGAAGGATGTTATATAATGCATGTTAGTTGTTGTAAAAGATTTTGGGATATGGTTGAGGCGCAGCAAAGATAAATACTAGTTGTAGGTGCTGGAGTAACCGTCTTCACAGTCGCCTACTTGCAGTCGTGATTTTCGATGACGACAAAAAAGGTGTGCTCAGCTCTAGACTTTATAGAGATTCAAGACAAAGAAACTAGTAGATGCAGAGGTGGAGCTCCTATAATTAGAAACCCTCTGAGCGCGCAAATTGTGACAAAGTTCTCGGCACCATGTAACAAACGGAATGTGATACAGGTTACCAAAACAGAAAGGACGATAGTTATGCTTTGACTCTTTCTCCAATATCGTCGGCGCAGTCATCCAATGGCGCGGCAGGCCTTTCCACGGATGCCACCTCCAACGCCTTGCCGACCGGCTTCTCGAACGCTTCCTCACAGGATGCGCCTGAACTCCCGCCCGACGAACCACCTCATCCCTGCGGACAAACGGCCGACAGTCACGACTCGGCACGTTCGGACGGGGGCGTATCTCCCGACCTACCAATGGACGACAGTACACTGCCCGACGAATGGGAGGGTAAAATTATCGGAGAAGAGGCTGACGGGTACTTGGTTGCTTGGAAAAGTAGCTTCATACCCAAGGAATTCGCCAATGAAGCGATGATTCGGGCCTGGGAGGAAAAGAAGGCGAAGATTCTGGCCGCCGGGGGGGGGGGGGGGGGGGGGGGAGGAGAAAGGAAGGGGTACCGGATTAAAGCAGCCAGCAACCACCAAGGGCCGGGTGGAGAAACGAGGAGCGGGAAAACGAGGTCGAGGTCGACAGCGTGTCTAACAGCTCATTCTCTGAGACGAATTCAGGTGTTCTCTGTTCCTATAACGTAATCCACAAGCAAGTGAGCCACACAAGCAAGTGAGCCACCGACCAGGTAACCGTACGACAATATATAAGAGAATTCAACCATAACGCCTTAAATCAATTGAAACTATTCAGAATCCTCTTCTTCAGAGGCAGATACAACTTTCTGACACGTACGAGCATTATGGCCGGGCTCGCCGCAGACGCCACATCGTCGCGCGCGCGTTTCGGGCCTCCTCGTACGACCACTATTCTGACTCGTTTCCGCTATTATCTGCTGCGTCGCATCGATTTGAGCCTTCAAATCCTTTGCCTGATCAATCGTGAGGGACCCTCCTTTCTGTAGCTGCTTTCTTTTCGTACGACGACGGCGGCTGAGGCGGTCGTTTGCATCTCGAAGTTCGGCGAGGTCTTGGCGCATAAGGGTCTGCTCGTGCACCATCATTGTGACTCCTTTTCTCAGCTGCCGTAGGCTCTCAATAATGGACGACGGAGAGCTATTCTGGTGTCGTACGATGCGATTTTCAAGATACTTCGTCTGCGATTCGGCCTCAATTGGGTTGTTCGGCGTCTTTGAAACCCATGGGGGTGGTAGTCCAGCAGAGGAACCTGGCGGTGTCGGCGTATGAAACTTCATATCTAGCTGCGAAATCACATAATTCGGGTCGTACGGTACTAGGCCTGTCGCTCTGAAGCCTGCCTGGATGTTTGATTTGGTCATTGCAGCGTCGTACGCCTTATAAAAGGCTGGGAGGAAGTCCTCCTTTGAAACGTGGGTTACGTGCGCCCGCATTAGACCTTCGATTTCTTTACCGTACGCCCGTTTCAGAGGTCCAAAACACCCAACATCGAGAGGCTGGAGTTTATGTGACGAATGAGCAGGCATACAGAGCGTGACAATATTCTGTTCCTTGCAGTAGAGCTCGAAATCGACGGAATGGTGGCTCTCATGGCCATCGAGGATAAGGAGGCGGTGGGTACCCTTCGTACGACTCTTCGTATGGAAATCGAAGTGTTTTACCCATTCTAGACCTCTCTCGTTCGTCGTCCAGCCATTATCTGAAAGCGCGATTACCCAGTCGGCCGGTAGAGGGCTATTCGCGGTCCAGGAGTCGAGGTGGACCTTCCCCGCGAGGATAATATATGGTGGGATCGAATAGCCGTACGACGCGATACCCTGGATTACTGTAACCCATTCCTGATTACCTTGTTGTACGGCTCTTGGCCTCCCGCGTCGATCGGAGGTCGTAACGACAGTTTCGGCGGAGATCTTGCCCATCGCGAAGCCCGTTTCGTCGAAGTTGTAGATATCGTTATCGTGGATCCCGTATTTCGCGATTATGTTTCGTACGAGCTTAAACCACGCGCGATACGCGTCCGGGTCTTCGCAGAGGACCCTCTGGTAGTCGATTCTTCGATTAAAACGCGTACGGAGCTCAGGTCGTCGTCGTACGAAGTTCGAGGCCCAGTTCGTTCCGACGCGTGGCGCGTCGCGTACGCGGAGGAGTCGATCCGCCATTTCTCGAACACCACTTAACCGCGGTGGAAACGAACGCGAATCTAGGTCGAGTACGTATCGTACGATGCTATCCTCTTCGTACGAAGTTAATTTCTGGCAGGGTGGTCGTACGTCTTGTTTTCGCTGTGCGCCACGGTGTCGGTCCCGGAGCGTCGTACGAGGTACATTATAGATCTGTGCAGCCTTAAGTACGCTTAATTTTGGGTCTGATCGAAGCGCATTTAGCGCTAGAATAATGTCGGCTTCGTTTGATTGCTGTGGCATAATTATTGGTGGAGAAGAAGAGGAAAGAAGATAGCTTGTACGAGAGGGAGAGGAAAGTTGGCGGGTCACTTGTATTGGCGGGTCACTTGTGGATTACGTTATACTATGCATACACAAGAAGGTACTAGGAAGCATCCAAGTACCATATCGAGCCTCGCAATGATCATTTACATATTGCATAAATTTATGCCCGTCGTATAGGGAATTTCAAATTTTGTAGACGTCTCTCATTATCTAATTGTGGAACAGTCTACAGGTTTACAGCCTGTTACAAGCTGATCCATGTAGAATAAATCCGTGAACTGGTTTTACTGAGCCGTACCGTTATTTCTAGGCCCGTTTACTTCAAGTTCTCTCAAATTCGATAGAGCATACACTGTCGATCACAGCATAAGACTGAGGAGCATATTAGCGAAGTTCATTCGACGTAGTTTTATGGTTCTCATTATTCCCTACTCAGGATAGATAATCTGACAGAAAAATGATCTTTATTGTACCACTATTCACTTTATGAATTCTGTTCTAACCCAGTTCCTTGGCTGCGAGCTGGGGGAGTTCAATCGATAGCACGAGATTGCGAACAAGTTCGCCGTCACGTTGAGGCGTAGCGACGCTGGCAAGCGACACATAGACGACATCTGTGAGGACAAGCCCTGTGGACCTAGAGATTCCGTCATAACGCATACTATGGTATACTGTATGCAGCCAAAAACAGCTGGAGCCTAGGCACGAGCAAGCTGGGGCCTGCCTTCAGCTTGAGCTCATTCATGCCGCATTAGAATATAAAAGAGCCACTTTTGGATTCGAATGGTCCCAATCATTCTTAGCTTTCATTGTCACTCCCACATCGGATCGTTAAGGAAACTATCTCAAGCTGTTCCCTCCTCCCTCGAATTTCCGATGCAGCAGCTTCTAGGTCAGCCCTTGTATCGATACTGTACAGTTGGAAAAATCGATTCTGGTCCATCACCAACCTCAAACAACGAATTTCTACCGGTAACCCTGAATCGATAAAACCTCAATCGACAAACCCCAACGGAAAAACTTTAGTCGGTAAATATCGAACTCGCGATAATGGGGAAGAAGAAAAGCGCTGCCGACTATCATCGTGTTGCGCAAGAGAGGGGAGCACACAAATGTTGGACGGGAATAAACAACGACATAGTACACGGCGTGTTGACCAAAGGCGAACAACGTAAAGCAGACCTGATTATGGGCTTGTGGGAAGAGTACGTATATCAAGCAGCACGCTTCCTCATATTTGCGCTAAGTACATTGACTCAGGTACAAACGACGCAATCAAGGAGCCAATGAGAGAGACCTGATCCATCTGAAAAGCTTCATGAAAGAAGTTGCAATGGGAATCGAGGGCTTGAGACCTGATCCCGGGGTGGAACGAAGACCTGGTCTCGAGAACCGTCGTGGAAAACCTTGAGCCGTGTCTACTATCGTGCAGATAATCCCCTCGGTCCACAGCTCACACTTTCAGTTCGACAAGTAAGTCGTGAGATCTCTCCCGCCTTCAACTTAAGGTCCAGTACTAACACTACCTGATTTATTTCAGTATATTAAAACAGACCTACAGATAGACTTCCAATACCCAAGGTGAAGCGGCCTACACGATTTGGTGCCCCTTCGCACTACGGACACCTTACTACTCAGAGTTGGGGACAAGACTAGCATTCTTACGCGACTCCTTTAACGCGAGTTTATAACTGGGCAGGTCTGAATGCTCATGTCACCTCATCCTCTAGAATTAGGGAATATTTCGAGTCAACCTGTCGGCCAGGGACAGAGCGGGGATTGCATTTCAGGGTAAGAAGCTTATTGGCATAGGAGGAATGCACTACAGGGATGTGAAACGATTGAGAAGCTCTTTGCGAAGAGACCTTATCCGGGGGACAACATTTCCATCATTCCATGGAGAAAAGGTATAAGGATGAACCCTTTTATCCTAGCGCATTCAGCAAAGGTATTAAGCGAGCGGGTCCGATCTCTCGCCGGATCAGGGAGCTTAGAATACGGGCCGGCTACGCTAAGCCGCCGCGCCCGCATGACTTCAGGGCCGGCAGCCTACTACATATTTATAAGTGCCGAGACCTTCTTTGAGCACGAATAGCGATTTCTAAGACTTATCAACTAGCAAAACATCATACGGAGGCGGAACGCAGAATATATGCTAGGCATAAGGACAACGGCCCTTACGATAATCACTACGTATTAACTCTAGCGGCAGACGGCCAAGGTACATACTTTACAGGGCGCTCTCGCACGGATATGCAAGAGCTATTCCAGGATCTAACAATCCGCTAAAACCCCGTTATGTTACAGGCACTTCCGGCGCAGAGTCGTGCCGAGTTCGAAAACTCGAAACCTATCAAAGAGCTTCGGGCTAAGCTACATGCACTTCAGCAGGGGTATACGAATAACGATAGAACGAAAAAGTAAAAACAGGAATTATATCGTATGAAACGAAGACTCGAGACCGAGGCGTATCGGGAGCTACAAGAGCAGCAACTTTCGACACCACCGGAGGCGACATCCGAGCTCTACTACTACCGAAGCTATTTTAACCGGACACGCTACCTCATACCTAAAAGAGATCGACTCGCCAAAACTCTATTCCAATCTACTCAACTACGCAACGCACTTAGACGTAGCGCCCTTGCGGATCTAATAGCGCTTTACACACAGAAGCGCGAGGTCCAGTTCCGGCGAGGATTAGAACCAGAAACGTACAATTAGCATCAAAGCCCAGAGAATCACGACTAGATACACGTTCACGAATACTACAAGAAGCAACAATCGGGCTCGACGACGTTTTACTTTTTATACCATCATTAGATTACCGAGGAGGTCGGATAGAAAGAGCATTACCAAGCACACTTAAAAAGTGTAGACGATATCCCGAAGTAGTATAATCCTCTCCTCCACAACGGTATACTCGCCACGCCTGGACTTTGTCCATTCTATCTTAGGGACGAGCGAATTCCCCCTAGGACCCGACTACATCAATTCACCTACATTACAAAATAGAAAAATCACCTCCGCCGCTATTTTAAGCGCCGAAGCATAGAGGCGAACAGCAGTTTTTTAGTCCGGTACAGTCATCCACATTACCGGAACAGAGCGCCATTAGCCTCACTACAAAACCTACTTTATCACCTCGAGGACACTCACGGTTATCAGCTGAGACAATACCAGACCGATCTGGACAACAGAAAGAGGAAAAGAGAGCAAGAAGACACTGCTTGAAGAGCAAGAGAAGTCGTCCAACATCCCTATGTTCTCTTACTTCAGAATATCATTTCATCGAAGTTACTGGAGCCTCGATCAGAGTCGGGTCGCGAAGTGGGCCACACGAAGACGTCACGGTACCACAAAACGACATTCTTGAGAGCACTGTAAAAGATGAGTCACTCCCTAACCAAGCATCAAAGGAACCGCTCGATGAAGTTCGAGTCCAGTCTCAAGAGGATTTCGCGGAAATGCAAGAGCCATCCCGAGAGACGGAAGCTGGACCGATGGACCATGACGATAACCAGTATACGGTAGAGAATCTTATTAGTCGGAGGAAGGGAGGTAGAGCGATAGAGTACTTGGTCAAGTGGGAGGGGTACCCAGATTCAGCCAACAGCTGGGTGAAAAAGAAAGACATCGATCCGGCATTGGTCAAGGCATATGAGGGTCGCTCGTAGAAAACAAAAGAGCATGTGTTCTCATTCTCTTGAGAAGGATGTATCTCTGCCTAATCCTAAGGTATTGCTACACTAGCTGCCGCCGGAGAGTTTAATGGCATGTAAGTTATGTGAGACTGTATTTCAACCCTTAAGACAGTCGTTACTGCGTGTATTGCATCCTTCGAAGAAGTAGGTCTAAGATAAATCCCAGAGCTACTAAAATCGCTTGGCCCAGACCACCACGGGTAGCATAATCCTGTTCATTTGCCTGGCTCAACCTACATCACAGGCACCGTCTTTGCAGGTCTCCACGTAGTTATCGAGGTCGTCTTTAAGCTTGGAAGAGAATCGTTGGTGGAGTCTTTCTTCGGTGTGCTTAGTCACAGAGCGATCCACCATAACGTGCGTGCACATCGATACTACTGTGTCGCAAGCAATGGCGAGGTCAAATCAGACTCTCTGAAGCTTAGAGACTTTGGTAGTGGGATGCCGCGAATTAATATTTCCTGAAAGACGCACATGCGGAGTTCGCTGTCTCGAAATCGCGGTTTTGGACTTGCTACAATAATTTGAACAGCTGAGTCAAGTCGGTGAAGCCAGTCAGCTTCCATTCTGGAGAGCCCTCTGTCCATGCCCTGATTGAAAGTTGGGATGGTGAGTGGCTATGGGTCATGCAGCAAAGGAGTCTTGTCCTGATCTCTCTGGATGTGTTATCTTGGACCGTAATGCCGGGTTCGTTCATGGCGCTTTGCTTCACCTCATTGCAGGTTTTGATATCAGAAATGTGAGGGAAGAAGAGGGGTAGGGGCGTGGTGGGGTGCAAATCAAGTTAAGCCACCTAGCCATCCTTTATTATGGAGGGCCAGCAGCTCGATTATCATGACTAGCTGCGGAGCCTGCTAGGGAGAGCAAGCACGGTTATCCACAGCTACACCTCAATAACATCTTGTTGCCTTCACCAATGCACCTAGTACCCAGGTCCGTATGAAGATTTCATTTCGGACCACGATCATCTTTAATATGTGTCCAGGAGATCGGGGGGCGTGCGGTAAAATTATCATGTGCTGCCGTGCACCACGCCCTTGCCCAGCTTACGCGAGGCGATGCTGAATCGTCATGGGGAAGACAGTTGCGATTGCAGTTATGCACAAGCATGCTTGGACGGCTGAGACTACGCCGGTATGCTATTGGTTCTTTCTGGCGAGTTATTGTGACGGGGGCAGCCGCCACTGTACAGCACAAGTTTTTTTCTGCGTGGCAATTGCAGTTAGAATGGGCCACGTAAACACTGATTGTGGTGGACACCTCTTCTTATGGCTGCAGCGTTATGTGCCAGAAGTAGCTGCGCCGAAAGTGGCGCAAGCAAAACTTGCCTCCTGTGCGAGTGAATGATCATGAAAGCTATTAGCGGACAGACGGGGGAGCTGTCCCTTCATTGAGGAGGCCTTACAGCACCAGTGGTCTTTGATGCCCATAGCTAATGAGTTTGCCAGTCGACTGCTGAACGAGCACGCGTCCTCATGGATTGCTGGCACAGAGAGCCCCACGAAGCACGTGTCAGTAGCGAAACCTGGGTAAGCGCCCTCCGAAGTGCACGGAGCTAATGCAAACGGTAGTGATCCTTGTGTTTCAATATAGGTGTTTTATGTGCTGCATTAAACAGGGCGAGCTTGAGGGAGCCTCGACTTTACAAGAACCCCGAGCAAGGCCCTCACAGTCCTCCCAAGACAACTCCTTCACCAGTACCTTGCTATACGTACCGGCCACGGCGACTTTGCCTGGTACCACCGAAAGTTCGACCACCCAGATGCGGAGCTCAAATGCGCCTGCGGACACTGGAAAGACCCAGAGCACGTTATTCACTGCAGGCGAGTAGAAGTGCAGTATAGCCTCTGGCCAAACAAGCCGATCCCAAGGCCGCAGGGCAACCAGAGGCTTCTCTACCTCGACTATCTTTTATCGGAGCCTGAAGCCTTCCTGATCTTCTCCGAGGTCACAGGGTTCTACAAACGACTTGACCCAGCACCGTAGAGGCCGGGGAGTGATACTCTCAGCTCCGCCTATATATGATACCATATCATATCGCCTCGCTACTCTCTCCTCTCTCTTCTTTGTTTTCTAATGTTACCTTCGTCTGCTTTCATTACTCTTCGCCCTACTTTTCTAGTTCCCACGAGCCGGCTGAGACGAGGGGCTGCCCATTGCGAAGCTCTGCCGCTCTGCACGAACTCTCCAGCCTCCATGGCAGTACGTACAGACAGGTGGGATTAAGACCCAAAAGGATACGTTTATGTCCTATGTAGATGCTGAGCACTGCCCTCAACCGGCCGTAGGGAGGATGCAGCTTCAAAAGGACTGTTTTTAACAGCGCGTATGCTAGATTTGTTGGATGGGCGAGCGGCCTCTCTCGGCCTCGTCGAGAGATGAGACGTTGGAAGTCCTAGCCCAGCACGCCAAAAGTGGCCCTCGGGAGCCGATGGGCCACAGCTACGCTATGGATTCCTGGCGTTAAAGCAATAAATAAATAAATAAATGGTATAGACCCTGCTGCTTATAAATCGAGGTGTTTCCATTCAGGTCGCGATGGTTCTAGAGGACGGAGGCGGGTTTGGTAAACGGAGAAGAAATGGATTCAAGAAGATCATAACTTTAGCTACAGTCCCATTTCTCCAAACATTTTGGCTAATTTTCTGCCTTCCCTGTCCAAACCGCGGTCTTCTCTCAGCTCATAGCGCTCTTCGAGTCTAGCCAGTAAGCCTTGTTGCATGCGTTCCAATCCTACCGCATGCCAGGGTTCCCCAACGCTCTTCAGCTTCAATATAGCAACGTCGATATTACTTATCCCTACTTCAATGCATCTCTTATCCCCTTGCTGGAGAAATTCCGAGATTATTTCGTACTCTTTTGCAAAGAGATCCCAGGATCCCGACTCCTTGTGCAATCTCGATAGTCTGCGCCTCCCTAGCTCGATTCGATGTGCCCCCCCTGTGTATTTGTGCGTCGTTTCGAGCCGGAATATTGCTTCTCCTCTATCAATCAGATCGGCACATAACTCCCGACAAAGTTGGTGCTGACTGGTCTGAATCGATGCGCAATATGATAACGAATCTAAAAGGTTCAATGATTCGTCGGAAAGGCGACCATTGTCTCTGTCGGATTGACGCAATCGATTCTTAGGCGCATCCACTGAAATAGGACAATTGTCCATCGGCCAGGTGTTGTAGTGGCCACAAAGACTGGTCAATACAACAGGATGCTCTGGCCCAAGAATCACACCTAGAGCATTTATTATCTTGAGATGGCATATGCGGAGTGTCTCGGGCACTAAAGATGGCTCAATGTCGCCCAAAGTGTCGATGAATTCCAAAATCGGGCGGCACCATGGAGAACTCACGTTCGACTGACGCCTTAGATAACCAAGAAATTCAGCCATAAACTGATGGCTGCCCACTTGCTGAGATATTTGGTGCAATCGATGTGCTATCTCACAGAGCTTGTATATACCCCTCCATTCGTTCTGGACGAGGGCACAAGCTCTTGATGTGACATCCGGAATCTTGTTTGTTCACCCACTTCGCGGGAAAGTTTCGCAGGTAGCGATAAGTACATCGATACAAATAGTGCAGAGCTGTTTTCGAGTCCAGGTGGGTATATATATCTTGTCGAGTTGAAGGACCAGCCATGGCTGCCGAAGCAACCATGCACAACCACAGTTGCAGCATCAAGCATCTTTTCCATCTTATGGCATGCGTCAGAGCTGCGCATGTATCTTGGAATCGGGTTCGATGCCTGCATGAGCTTTTGTATTTTCTGGAGTCGCAATGGTTGGCTCATCTGCATGCGCTTTCGCCTCTCTGGTCTTCGATTCTTGTTGCTAGTCTCTCGTCTCTTGCTCGCTGGACGTTTCGAGTTGTTCTTGAATAGGCCCCATCTTCCAAGTCTGTCTTTGTACATCTTTGGTCTGCACTATGATTAGAATCCAATAAAATAATCTTCGAAAGGGATGAGACGCACGAGGCTTCAAAACCCCAAATCAAATACATATGGATCATAACATCTTCTAAGTTCCGGCCCTTTGTGGAATATAGGTCCTCGATGATGGGCTTCATCGAAGCCCATTCTTCCCTTCGATTACGTCGTGAGAAAAAAGTCGTAGGATGAGCTTCACCGTGGATCACGCGGGCGTCCCGAGTAGCTTGCTTGCGTGTGCCAAGGCTGTTGTTGGTTACACATTCCATTGAGAATTCTCCAAATAATTCGGGTGGTTGGCCGAACAGGAAGGCGTCGGCGACCTCGGGTTGTTCTGTAGTTGACATGTTTAGCAGAGTCGTTAGAACTTGGACGGCGCTACCGAAGTTACTGTCATTTCTTGCGGCATGGAGAACTAACCGAATCTTGAGTGCTCATTCGTGGTACTGTTTGGCAGTAGAGTAGTGAAAACATTTTGTAGTCCTTGGTCTTCAAGGTTCCAGTTTTCGCATGTGTGTCCACTCCAGAGGCCAGTCTCCGACCATGCATCTCTTGCAGGCATCGATGTGTTACAAGTTACACCACCCATATCGAATCCTTGGATTGGAACCTCTCCTGGCAGAGAAAAATGATAGATGGGAATGCGTAATTGTTGAGACCCAGATGGACACATAATCCCAGCATTGAATGGTGCGAAAGAACCGTCCAGGGCGTTTTCTGCAACAAATTCTTGTTGGTAAGGGGGCAATGGGGCAGGTGCGAAGGGAAGCGGATCGAATCCCAAGATGTTTCCTCTCATTGCGTGGTCTTGTAGATCTGGATCAGAGAACAGCTGTGGTGGAATTGTTGTCGATGCACTGTTGTTGAGTGAGGGTTCGACTGAGGGTAGAGTGGCTTGGAACAGATAATTTGCTGAAGGGGGAAAGCAAGATGCGTCGAGCTGGTGGACTAGGTTTGTATTCAAAGGATTTGATACAAAATCAAGGTTAGAATCACTGGATGTGAGGCCTCCTGATCTGGAGTTCATATGACAATGCCATTGCTGTGATTGTGGAAGATTCTGTTGTTGGAGATCAAATGGTGCATGCCATGGATCGTCAAGGTCGAGCACATGCCGGAAGCTGCCCGTGGTTGATTCCTCGAGGTGCAAATTTGCATGATATAGCTCCATCCTCCAGGAAGTTGAGAAATCCGGGGAATGTCGTCTGTCAGGGCTCTCACGCTCGTCAGACTCTGCGTCTAGGCAACCTTCAGTCATGTTGCCGACGATAGTCTTGAACGATGCGGGGAAAGGTGGCAGCACGCCATAGAAATTCCGGAGGTTTCGTCGTTTGGATATTTGCAGATAATCCCAAACCCCACATCTTTCCCTACAATGCCATTGGACGATTGTACCGAAGTTTTGATTGGTGCGAATGAAAACTGGTCGCTGCGCCACGACCACGATGTGTGCAGATACGAGGTTGTGGCCTACCTCACACCACCCTGTCTCATTAGAACCCATTGTTATTGGCCCAGTTCTAACTTTACATCACTGTGGCTTTGCTTGGCGCATAAGACACTGATGGGGGGGCGTGGCCGGCTGCAGGAAATAGCTACTCCGTCATTGCCATTGGACTAGTCCTAAAGTTCCATTGTCGATGCTTTGATTGGTTGTGTGGAATGAGGGAATGGCCAACTGAAGAAACGATGTCGCTCGAGCAAATTATTCTATAAAGAAACACACAGTAGCCCAGGAGGACGTTCGAGTATGCCTGCGATCGTAGCAACAATATACGACAGCAGATCCGGAACTACACATTTCAGCGCGTTGCTTACGACCACACCTATTAATCGAGATCGGTATGAATAGGCTGTACAAAGTCAGTTGAGTGTTTTAATTCAGAGTTCAATAATATTTAAAAAATTAACTTACCCAAACCAATGAGATAGTCGTTGCAGACTGCCGCAAACCACATCGGGTTCTTCATATCACTGTACCTTGTTGTCGCATACCGCGAACATCTGGGACACCGTGATGGCTATACTCGACTACTAGCATGGCAAGAATACGTTGAGGCGGCATTGAAGATACGACGCTTCGTGATTCTTATCATGGTCGCACTTGCAGGTGTTCTGGGTCTATGTATCATTCCGCGCGTGAATCTATTAGTAAATCATTTTCTATTTACAGACTCTATAAGGGAGTGAGATACACAACTGGATGAGACACTTTAACCTAATACTAAATTACTCCTTTACTTCCCTTAGTTTCTTCGTTAACAGTTATCAGCTAATAGTGAAATAGAAGTGACTTAATTCTAGCTCTTTATTGTCACGATCCAGCCCTTGGGGTCAGCCAAGGCGCTGGGCTTCGGGATTACTGTTCTGGGAAGTAGGTAAGCTTGCGCAATATCACAACTGTCGAACATCGTTCTTCACTTGGGTTTGTCGTGTCTGGGAAGAGATATCACTCTCGTCAATTGAGTGACTAGTTCAAGTGAGGGGTGGGAATGATAATTAGATTGATTGCTGAAGTACAAAGGCAGTGACAGTCTGTTCTAGGAGATCCTTATTCTATGTATTTGTCCTTCATCAATGCCTCTCGGGATGGTCGTGCATGGTCATGCCTGACTGCTGGCGACGGTCATTCCTGCTGGTTGGTGGCCGTCAGTCTTTGGCGGCCCCGACGGTCATGCATTTCATGCACGACCGGTGGTATCCTTATCGTGATTACGTAAGAAACATGTGACTGCCGTCCGCCCTTGTCCGCGGTTCCACAGCTTGCATGTCCAGAGCAGACGGAGCTTCAGGGTCCATCACAGAGCAAAATGATCGACTGTGATTGACAGCGGGGTTGGGCCGTGATTCTGGGGGGATGGCCACGACCAAAGCGATTCCCCACCGAAACGCGTGCTGGAAATGTGGGAAATGCGTAGAAATTTGGCGCGGTGTTGGCAAATGGGCGCTATTGTCTCTTCTGGCGCATAGCGATCGTCTTCCAAGTAAGCAGACAGGCAAACATCGCAGACGAACGATGTTCATAGCCGAGCATCAGCAGTCACCGGGGTCCTTCTCATCCCGCATCGGCCACGCTCGATGGGACAGAATCCCAATGCTCACTGGACTCATTCGGCCGATAGCGCGGACACAGCACTAGCCTGAGCCTGAGTACCCTGGGCTGACCTGCGCATGTGTCCCGGGAGGACGCAGCGAAGAATGAGCGCTTTGCGAATTGAAAGCCCCTGTAGGACACATAGACAGAAGCGGCAGCCCTAAAAGCTGAGCGCCCACTTGCAGAATGACCCTGAAGGCTTGCTCCGTCAGGGCCTGTAGATAATAATTCCTAGACTAACCCTGAATGGGCATCGCTTCAGGGGTTTTTCGGCCCCAGACGAATGGGCCAGTACAATGCTTTGTACCTTTTTTCATGCCCACTTGGTGGTCTGGACCCCTCCACCCCTTGTGCCGCCTTGTCTGCCCAGACGGGACGCCCGCAAGCAAGCCACGATCTGCTGGTTTCAGCACGCCATGTTGGCCGCTAGCACGCCACGTTTTTCGGGTCTCAGTCAGGAGAATTTCGAATTCCCACGCTTTCCTCCCTTCTACACGCAGTAGCTAATGTCGTCTACCTCTGTTGTCAGTCATCCGATCCGCTCTTCCAGTGTGAACTGCGTGGCGTGAGCTGCGAGGACAACCGGCCGGCTGGCAGACAACGCCGCTTGCAACCGACGCCGCCTTCAAAATTCAAGATGCAATTCTCAGCCCTGGTCCTGGCCGCGATGGCCGCCTTTGTCAGTTGCTGTCGTGATGAAGGCGCTGGGGGGGTGGGGGGTAGGGGGGGGTGAGTATCGTCGCCGAGTGTTGAACTCATGGGGACCATCCGGTCAACGCTATCATCGAACCAATGCTTCGACAGCGACTACTTTACTAACGGGGTCGCGACTGCCATGCCCCTCTCCCCTGCTGACACTGCCGAAGCTTTCACACAACGCATCAAAATCATGCGGGGCACGTTTGCCAATGTCGATGCCCATAAGTCTCCCGGCATGCACGCCGAGTTTAATTTGCAGCTAAGCACATCCCGCATCTGACCCTTGACTGCCTAGTGGAACTGCCTGGGGACTGTATGGGATGGGGCACGTCTGCTCACCTCAGCTTTGGTGGAGCCGGGGATGCCTGCCTTGCTGACATGTTGGCTGGTTTCCGAGTGTGCCGCCAGCAGCGATGTCAGCAACCGCTACGGTGCATCTTCAAGATAACAGATTCACAGAGAGGTCGCTCAAGCCTTGCCCCGGCTCCTGCCTCATCAATCCAAAGATCTCATCAAAGTCATCGACCATCAACAGCTTTACAGACTGTACGAACCATCTCAGTTCCACCACAAAAATCGACCAGGCCAGCCAATAAACATGCCTCAAGGGCCCGGTCCCATGTCAGGCGTGGTCTGCAACTTTCAAGACATGTCATCTCCGGCAACACTCTCGCGATTGCCACTCGAACTCTTGGTACAAATCGCCGGCTACCTATCGACCCGGGACGTCCTCTGCGGCCTAGCATGTGCGAGTCGGTTCATACACACAGCCGTCACAGATTTCGCTTATGCAAGACACGTGCGGTACGGCCCGGCCGGAGCGGCACCGCTGTGGTGGGCAGCTCGGCTGGGACTTCTCGAGCCAGCACGACGGGCCCTCGCGTTCGGTGCGGACCCAAACGAGCACACGGAGGACGCCATCGTGATGCGCGGCCAGCGCAATACGACGCCGCTTGCGGCAGCAGTGTTCAACAAAGACGTCGCCATGGTGAAGCTGCTCCTGGAGCATGGGGCATATCCTGGCTCTCTGGTGTACAACCAGACGACGCTCACACACGCCGCGTCCGAGGGGAGCCTGGATATTGCGCGGCTGCTGCTCGAACAGGAGCGCAGAGACTGGAATCCCTCTTTAGTGCGACGGCATCCGTGTGACGAGTCACAACCGCAATTCGCATCAAAGCTGGTCCATCTGCGCAACGCGATTGGATCATCTGCCCTACACAAGGCGGCAGAGGTGGGCAACGAGGACATGGCCCGCCTGCTGCTGAGCTACGGAGCCCGCGTGGATTCGAGAGACATCCAGGGCTTGACGCCGTTATGCGTAGCGACTGGGAACAACCATCTCGCCATAGCGAAGCTCTTGCTGGAAGCCGGTGCTGATCCGCTGGCCATCGACTACCAGGGCAAGCGGTGCTCGCTGTCGATTGCCTCTACACTAGCCCTTAATCGGGGCGCCAAGGCGCAAGAACCACTTGCTTTATTTAAGCTGCTCCTTTCTTCTACGATGAGCGGATCGCCGGATGGTAGAGCCAGTGACAGCGCGGAGGCGCAGCTCACTTTGCCCACCGAGTTGCTACACGACCTGCTCTCCACCGGCACCGCTCCCGTCATCGATGCGATACTCGCACTCGGCGCAGATCCCGACACGAAATCCACCGATGGCTCGACTCCCTTGCTGCGCCGGGCAGGGAGCCAGACTGTCGGGCGTCACAATGCTCCAGCCGTGTGGAAGCTGCTGGACTTTGGTGCGTCTCTGGAGGCCACATTGCCCGGCCAGCTCGAGACGCCTCTACTGCACGCCATTGAGAACAAGCAGGACGAAGTGGTGCAGATTCTTGTGGCCAGAGGCGCGAGCCTGACCGCCAGGGACAAGGATGGGAGAGACCCCCTCCTCAAGGCCATCTCCCTTGATCGCCGGTGGGTGACGCACCTGCTTCTCGACAGTGGCGTGGCCGTGGAGACGGTGGATTCTTATGGCACAAGTGCCCTGGCTCTTGCCGCTGGGAGTGTTATGCGCGGCATCTCAGCCCGCCTGCTCGAACTTGGAGCAGTTCTCGAAACGAAAGACAGATTAGGCAGAACCCCGCTCGTATGGGCGGTGGAATCAGAGGTCTGTGAGGATGTCCGCCTCCTGCTTGACAATGGCGCTGCGGTCGATGTTGTCTACTCGCGTGTGGACTCCATGGGTGGTGCAACAGTCAGTTCGGGGGAGGAAGGGACATCGGAGCCCTTATCAACCCCCCAAAGCGGGACACCACTTAACGCTGCTGTGCGTGATGGCTCTCTCGACATTGTTCAAGCACTTCTCGAGGCAGGGGCGGATGTTCAGCTGGCGCGGCAGCTAGATCCGGCAATGCTGCAATGCGCGGAGCAGGCAGACGAGGCTGAGGCTTTGGTAAATCTGCTGAGAGAGTACGGTCTCCAAGAGGAATCATGATCTTCCAATAGATGCTTGTCACTTGCGTAAATATGCGAAACAGGTTACGTTGGCCTTGTACAATCCGCACTCCGTCTCTGTATTCCTCATTATTTGATTTGAGGAGCAGGGGGGGACTTATTCCTTTGGGTGTAGACACCACAAAGTAAGCCAGTCTGTAGGTTTGTCAATCCCCATCAGAGCTGAATTCAACCAATCGCTTTCAGGAACTTCTCCATGTCGCCAATACTCTCGGAAACCCATGCCTGATGGACAGACTCAGCGTCACAATGTGGCTGCCTGATAAATGCAGCCCCGCACCCAGCGGTCGACACGGATGAACACACGCCCGTTATCTAACATGCGCCAAGCGATGCTGACGACGAGCTTGTAGAGTTGCATATTGGTGTACGTATACTGTACAGTTTGACTCGTGTTCGCTAAAAACGATTGAACTTAATAAGCCTTACCCCACCAAGAACACAAGAAATGCACATCACACGCATCGTGGACACAATTGTCTCGTTACTGATTCTGGGTCACCTTTGGCTGATGTACCGTGGAACAGACGGGGTTACATTCTTTTCGGCTAGCGAGTCTGACGTAACAAGGACAGATCTTGCAACCCTCGGATTTGTGCGTCGAGCGGGTAAAGGCGGACATATCAGGCTCTCGTCAACGTTCAAATACACACAAAGCTGTGTCCAGCTTTCTCGCAATCTACCTGTCGACAGAAGAAGTGTCAGGAGGGTTGCCCTACGGCTCGTCGCGGAGTCCATCGAGGCAAGGCTAGATCAACCCGGATCTCTGCAGATAGAGCCGTGCGATGCGATTCTCCTACCATTCGAAAATGCATACCCACGATCAGCCAAAGATGAAGACCTGGCATTCGGTATGGCCACGTCTTTGGTTCGTCTAAGTCAGAGCGTCGACTCGATTGCTCATTGGACCTCTGACCGGGGCACACTCCTCGTCGTGGTGATCGAAGACTACATCGGGCATGAGGACGAAGTCGCCGACCTGCTTGCACAGTTTCACAGCCTCAAGATCAACGCCATCTTCATACCGCCCATCGCCAGCAACCATTCCATGTCTCAATCACATTTTGCAGTTCTCAGCAAGATGCTCGCCGAAAGCGGGCCAGAGACAAAGTGGTTCGCTCTGCTTGACGACGACACGTTCTTTCCGCACCTGGAGCCTTTATCCACGGCACTCAGCTCTCTTGATCACGAAAACAAAGACCTTTATGTTGGCGGGCTGACGGAGGACTGGGGCTCTCTCACGCGATTCGGTCTCATGGCTTATGGCGGTGCTGGCGTATATCTCTCTGCATATCTGGCTAGGAAGATCGGGAACCTGGACTAGGACCTCCAGTGCATCGAGGAGTCCCCGCCACAGTTGGGAGACATCATCATCCGTGACTGTGTCTACCGCCACAGTAGGGCGCGTCTGACCGTGCTGCCAGATCTGTAAGTCCTTCCACCCCATCATTGATGTCTTGTGACAAGAGTCTAACCTCTTCGATAAGGATATCAACATGATTTGCTGGGCGACCTGCGCGGCTTCTTCGAATCTGGCGTTGAGCCTTTGAACTTGCACCACTGGAAAAGCTGGTACAGCGAACCTGTAGTTTCCATGGCGCAGGCGACCAACTTTTGCGGGTAATTCATTCTCGTGAAGCACCGGGGTCCCAGCAACGTGTATGCTGACTAGGCGAGCTTGTGCCACAGGAACTGCTTCCTTCAACGATTCATCTTTGGCAACGATACTGTCCTTAGTAATGGCTACTCGATCACCGTGTACCCAAAGGGTGTGGATTCGCTTGATCTGAACAAGATAAGTCTAGACCCCCCATTGCGACCAGTGCGCATGGCGACCACCCCCCAACCTGCGCATGAGGGCATCACCGACCACATGGTCACTCTGCAATAACTGAACAAGCATTCGTTAAAAAGGCTTCAAATCAATTGATCGGCACCTCAATGCAGCTCTCCTCGTCACTGTCGTCTTCAATGATCTCTACCTCGTCGTCGCTGCTGTCGGTGTCGTCATCCGTGCTGAAGTCCGCCCCCATCTCGAGCTGCAATTGCCTCTTTGCGCGCTCCACGTTTACGACCTGAACAAACTGTTTATTGGGATCCGGATCGACTCTGCGGCGTTTAGCAGGCTTTGAAGCATCTAATGCAGCTTGGAGACGGTCTTTTTGGTGTTCTGCGGTGGTGCGCGCGATGTTCGAAGTGTCGATTGCCTTCCCGACCTTGTTGAAGAGCTTCCTGCAGGTCGCCGCCCCTAAAGGTACACCACACTTTACCAACTCCCTATGCATTTTATAGACATCGCGAGATGTTTTTGGTGTTTTGACGTCAATTGCGCACAAGGGCGTCAAAAAATCTGGCTCTAAAACCGTCGTTTGGGCCCGATTTTGGGGATTCTGCTGGGCCTCCCGTACCTCCTCATAGTCCCGCATCACGAAGCGGGAACCCAGCGCCTTCAACCGATTGTGAGGCCACACCCCTGTGCCTTTGAAGCCTCCTAAGATGTTCTCCTTATTGAGCTTTCTTTTGCGCGCAATTTGGTATGCTTCAAGGAACTCCCGCTTGCCTGGGGACTCGTTCATAGTGTTATATGCAACCTCCGCGACCGCTTGACGATAGTGGTCCTTCACCGCCGAGAACACGCCCACATCGAGTGGCTGAAGAACATGTGAGGTATGAGCCGGGAGGTAAATCAGCCAGATTTTATTGATGAAGCACTCCGTCATAAATTCCTCTGTTGCGTGCGACTTGTGGCCGTCGAGAAGAAGGCATCGCCACTCTCTAGAATCCGTAGGCTTGGTGTTGGGAATAAATACCTCCTTGAGCCATTTCAGAGCAATATCATTGCTGGTCCACCCGTTTGGTGATGTGTCAAAACACCAATGCTTCCACCTGTCAAGTTCGACGTCGGGAAACCACTGCTGCTGCACGGATTGGCCCTTAAAAATAACAAGGGGAGGGATGAAGCCACCGCCAGCAGAAATGGCCTCAATTATCGCGATCCAGGTGCTCCTGGCGCCGTCCTTTTTCAAGGTAAAGTCGCGCAAGGCATCACTGACCACGAAGCCATTGTGACCTAGGCCCTCCGCGACGCCACACTCGTCAACGTTCCATATGTTCTCGGGCCGTACTCGTTTGCCCCTCAATGACGTCAGGCGGTCGAAGAAGATGTCGATATTGGCCTTGGAGGCACCGTCGTATCGTTTGTATTCAATAAGTCGTGATCTCGAGGTCTTCAAGGTCGGGTTGCGGCGGATGAAGCGTCGGTACCAGTGCTTGCCGAGGTGTGCGGAGGGGTTGTCGAGAGCCAGCAGGCGCATCGCGAAGTGCTTGAATTGCTTCAATGGAGCTGCATAGCCCATTGCTGCTTGGTCGAGGGCCCAAGAGACCAGATAATCCTCCTGGGTCACGGAGAGGGTTTGTCGGACTTGGTACCTTTGCTTGAAGGTTGGGCACGCGTCAAGGCGACGACGTAGGTAGGATCTGTCGACATCGTGTCGTCTAGCAGCCGTCGCGACAGGTACGCCAGCCTCAACTTCATCCAGTGCGCGCAGGGCGCGCAATTGGTAGTCTTTTGCGACCATGACGATAGCTTCCTTTTTGACGGTCACAATGCAGGTGGTCGGGTCGCGGTGCGACGCGGTTAAGCAGGTTTATATGGGAAAATGTATGGTGGGGTGCTCAACCGCGTCGCGACGCGACCCCTGGTCGCGATGCGCACTGGTCGCAATGGGGGGTCTAGACTTAGAGCGAACATGGGGCAACGTCTATGCAGGCAAGGACCCGAAGTACGAGTACAGCATGGGGCCGCTGCGCGACAGGGTGCCCGACAGTGATCACAAAACGTACTACCTCAAATACACGGAAGTCAGGGCAGATCTCATGAGACAGCTGTATGTGTGGAAAGGAGTTGAAGACCGTGGAGTGCCTGACGAAGTTGTCGAGCTGGTTTGGAGGAGATGACTCAACGCCAGGGTCATATCCTGCTCCGGAAATGGCAGAATATCATGTCGGGTAGGATTTTGTTCGGTTACAAGGCCTCAGAGGAAGAACATGTACCTCAAAAACTATCTGGCAGTCACAGAAATATGGCGATCAGCAGGCAAGAAGGCAAAGCGTGGAAGCATGAATCACTATGCCGACATTGACAGACTACTCGTCCTCCTCGCTGTTCCTCCTTCTGATGACCGCAGAGCTGAGTCCTTTGGGACTCGTTATGCATGCCTGGACACGGTATGGCACGAGGACGATGTACACCGGGAACTGAGTCCTAGAATCAAGACGGGAATCAAGACGGGGAAGGCAACCTCGAGTTTTACCAGCAGAAATCTATCAAGAGATAGGCAGCCGTCCAGCAGTCGGCGCGTATGTGTGCAGCCCCCTTGTGCGGCGCCGAGTCTGCCTGCTAGGCTCGACACAATCCCCCAAAATTGGTGAAAAGGAGCTGGGCGGCCGCACCGCCCTGAGGCTCGTGCTCTGTAAGAACCCCGACGATGACCTCTCGAGAGGGCCATGCAATGAACGTGTGACCAGTGATGATCGCTTTGGTTTCTAATCGAGTACGGGGCGGGGACATTCATTCGGCTGCTGGCGAGCGCGTTGCATGGCAACCATTAAAGATGGCACAGCTGCTTTGGCCCGGCGCACATTGTCAGCGACGGCACCCTCAAAACTTTTACATTCAGCGACCCGGAGCTCGGGCAGACCGGTGCTGCAACGGGTTTAAAAAGCGAGCCGAGTCCTAGGCGGCCGAGCATTATGGTGCGATATAGCAAACACGCTGCAGTAGCTACGCGAATGGGCTTTGCGTGACTGCGCATCGGAGTCACAGGGCATGGGTCGCACAGCGGTCGTAAGGCGGCACGTTGGAACAAACGAAACCTCCCTCGGATGCCGGACTGGGCTGTCGCCACGAGCCCGCCACAGCGCAGCGACCGCGGCGGCCCATGGCTTCCTTCGGTTCTTGCTTACCGGCTCAACATGTAAGTTGGTCGAGGCAGTGTCGCCCGGCGGGTCGGTCGCCAGGGTGCAATCGCGGTCTGGGTCATGAGCCATGCACAGCACTTGGTTGGCGCTGCCCAGACTGTCGATGCTTTGTTTGAGAATGCAAAGAGTGCGTGCAAAAAGAACTCCCAGGAAAGTCATCATATCATCGGCTCAGAGGAATGCAGCCTCGTATTGAAAATTACGGTTCATTGTCGGCTTCAGGTGGCCATAATGAAACTGCCCGTCTGCTCTGAGGGCTTGGCCTAGGACTGGTCCTGGGGCCCCCTGGTGAAGGTCTGATTGTGCGCCCTCATGCTTGCCCTCTTTTGAGCTTGCGCGGTGGCAATGACCCTGGAAGTGTCCTGACATGCAAAGGCCACCTACCCGCTGCTCTGAAATGTTATTTGCAGGCGGGGAATACTCGACTCCTGCTTGCCATCATACTTGCGTCCAGTGAAGGCAGACCGACCTCCCTCCATCCATGTTCGGTGAGTCCGTGCGGCCAAGCAGACCACCCCGGGCCCCGAAGGAACATATCTCCAGGAGAGTGCGAGCGTCCACAGGTGACCAGGTGGGGTTATGTGGTGCAAAGGGGTTGAAGCGGGCCCACTTTGAGGGGCTGCCAGGCACCCAGCGTCGCTGGCTGTCAGGCATCCGCCGTCAATGCACCTTGTCACTAGGTGCTCAAGACCGCACTTCCCCGGCAGCCATCACCAGGCCATCGCTCTTTTCTCCATCATCAACATCAACCCCGATCTGCTTCACGGGTGCACAAGCCAGCACCGAGGTAAGCGTACCATTCGAGACCGCCTCCAGCACCTGCCAATACACCAGACAGGGCGATTCTGAATCGTTGAGTCTGCATTCGTCTGCTGACTCCGCCAGCACCTCTTCTTTCTTAGTGGACAGAGACCAAGCCAAACATGCTTCGTCTCCAAAGTCTCTGGGCAGAGGCAGTCGCCATCTCACCAAGTGGCAAGGAAGACCCGCCAGAAGAACGTACACATGGACGAGTTGTTTTCCCAACTTGGCCCTGAGGCCGGCTCCGACGATTGCAGCCGTCACACCCGTCACCTGAATGATTGACACCAAGCAAAAGCGCAAGGTCTAATCGGCGCGTCCGCAGGTCTCATGATCAACGCAGCGATGCACGAGAACCAGCTCTGCGTCCCGGCAGCCTAAGAGAACTGGGATATAGATACCAAGGATCTCTTGCAAGAGCTCTGTGAAGGCGTTATCCACTACATCTTGTCGCTCGACGAGCGCTTCCGCTTCGAGCACAAAGTCGTCTTCGCCGCAGTCAACATTGCTCTCCATGCCATCCTCAAACCTGAAAAATGGGCCATTTTTGAGCCGACCAGGGAGGTGCTCTACGCGAAGGTCGGCAGCGCATGTCTTGACATGGCACTCGGCCTCACTGCAGTCCACAGAGCCATCGTTGAGGCGATGCTGGAGACCGCAGTCATGGATACAGATCGCCAGCTCTCCATGGACAGCATTCTCAGCACACGGGCGAGCATCCTGCACCGCATTGGCCACTGCGTCAACGGCTCAACCCCAATCCACTTCCTCGACTTTGTGTATCCTCCCGATTCGCGCACCCCCTTGGAGCAATACATACGCTTCGAAGTCTTGCGTGTCCTCCGGGCTGTACTGGTGGAGCCGTCTTTCTTCTCTTGCTCTGCGAGCCAGATGGTGGCTGCGGCAGTCTCTGCAACGTGGCGTCGTCGGTTCGGAATCCCCTGGGCGGAGCCGCTCGATTCCCTTCCTGGTCACCATTACGAAGAAATCAAGTGGATAGCGGACCTTCTGTAATGTCGCAAGTGAGTTGCGGGGTGCGGTGATTCCCGGCTCATACTCTCTACAAGAATGTCTTATGTGTATGGGAAGGACGTTCGTAAAACAATGTCAAGGGTACCCATAGATTTCTTGCCCTACGGAACCTCCTCGCCGCGGTCTGGGAAGGTGAGACATAGTGTCTGGCAGTGTAGGTGCGGGCCATTCGTAGGCGAATCGACATTTGTATGTACATAAAGCTGGTCAATGTATCTCTCGTTTAGTTACACTTCCTGTCAAGAATTTGCCCGAACCTTGCTTGTCTCAGCCAGCAATATGTGTGACCTGATCTAGCGAGACGAAGCTTAGCTAATTGCCTCCCCTACCATCTGGCGGCAAGGAGTAAGCCGCTACCAGGCGCTCTTCCCACTTGGTATGTAATACAACTTCCTACATATTGTTGTCCCTCTGTTCATGCAAGTTTAAGTCCGCGTCGAACCACGTCCTCTCCTGCAGCAGGGACGCGGAGCGGCGTTCCGCCTGGTGCGCTGTGGCCGATGTCCCACCCCGAACAAGCCGTAGATAATTGTTTTTTTGTTTTTCTTTTGGGCCGAAGACGACGGCCCACAAGCCCAGCCAGTCCGACGTGCTGAGCTTGTGGGATGCCCCGTGACCGAATACCGAGGGAGCTCACCGCTGTTGTGGTGGAGTCCTGTTTCAGCACTGGGGCGGGGGCGGCTCTGTCGCATGTGTACAACATCCACCATGTCCTGCCAGCTCCTCCTCCCTAAAGTGGCAAGTGGGGTGGGGCAACGCGGCTTAACATTCGTCAGGTCTTTGATAGGCCATCGCGCAGCACGCATCGTGCACGATTATGCCAAGCCCAATCGGAAGGATGATGATCATGATGGCACGTCTTTATTTCTAAGGTTTTTCGAACCTGTCTGCCATTTTTCGCGGTGCTATTACGTATCTGGCCCAGGTCCCCGTTGATCCCGTTAGAAAGCGAACGGACGCCAAGCCAATTGTTTGTTTACGTTCTGTCGGCTAGACCCCAGCATCTGACTCCACCCTTCGTCTCGCCCAGCTGGAGCGGTTTGTTTGTAGTGCAGTAATCTTAAATGCGGTGTTGGGGTGGTTGGGACCGCTACTCACGCGACTTTAGGCACGGCTGTGGAAAAATTTCCACGCCCGTGGAAAAGCTTCCACGCCTGTGTAAAAGCTTCCACGCCTGTGGAGAAGTTCCCACGCCCGTGGAAAAGCTTCCACGCCTGTGGAGAAATTTCCACGCCCGTGGAAAAGCTTCCACGCCTGTGTAAAAGCTTCCACGCCCGTGGAAAAGCTTCCACGCTCGTGGAAAACTTCCCCAGCGCCCCGCATTTCGCGAACCCCCTTTTGGCCAAAGCGACGTCTCTCAATCATCTTTGCGTCTTCATTCTCCGTGTTATCACTGCCTATGGAGGCTATGAAGTATTTTGCCCTGGGCCGGGCTAAGATCGACTATAAAAGTGACGGCGCCCCACCATGCGGTTGGACATTTCCTTCATTCGAAGATTTAGAACGGATCGTGTCATTGTTTGCCAGCCGACATGGATACAAGGCCAGAACGAAGGAGAAGAGGGAGAGGACCCGATTCTATGTCTGCGGATATAAACAATGTCCCGTTGCGTGGAGCGCACAACGAGTGGTCGACAAGTTTCCTCCGCTCTCAGATTCGCTTGAGGTGGTCCGCATACAATATTCAACCACGATCAGCCACAACCACCAGCTTACCGCTCGTCCGGAGCCAAAACCCCTTCCAGTCGATATGATCTGGCTCGGAGTCCCATTTGGCCCCCTGGTTGAGGAGGGTCGATCTGACTCCGCTATACCATTAGGTGTTCCGATGTCTCAGGAGGGGAAGAGGCTAAAGTCGTCTGCTCTCGATCTAGTAAATGTCGAGCCGCATTTCAAACACCAAGAACATGACGATGACGAGACCGTATGGGTCTATGAGCCGTTGATCATGGCGATCTCGGCAACCATCAAGAACCCTTGCCTTACGATGTCGGCGACTTTAACATGGAGTGCAGACTTGTTCCGAGACCTTCGCGAACAGCTTGCCGATGCCACATCTGAGAGGAAGAAGCTCGTTCTTCTCGGATGCATGTCAACGCCCATCCTGGTGCCGGAAGGGCCCTCTTTCGATGAATATTGCGAATATATGAAACTGTTTATGGACAACAATGCTTTTATTAAAGCATATCCTACCACGGAGGAGGCAACATTCCAGGCAAGCAAAGTTGGCGATCTTAGAATCCTCGACGAGTGGGCCGCAAAATTCGACGGCCAAGGAATGAGCTGGCTCGAATACCGACCCATAACGTGCGATGGTGGGCTATCGGCGACGTGTAACCTGCCACCCTCTCATGGTGGCCGCATGGTTATCAAGCCGACACATAGCAGCAGTGGAGAGGGAGTCAAGCTTGTTAAAGTCAGCAATCGCAAGGGACTGAAGTGCCGAATCCCTGGGAACAAATGGGATGCCGATATTCAGCCCAGGAACCATCTCTTCCACCAAGAGTATGTCGACTCATTAGTCAAATTTGGCGAACTTCGGGTCTGTATGGTGCGTGATCTATCTCAAGAGGCTATAGACGGTCTCATTCCCCCAGGTAAGATCATTAGTATCACCATCACCAGACCAACCACTTCTGCCGGCAAGGTTCAATTCTCGGATATGAATCAGAGTCCATTCAGTCACGAAATATTTGGGCAAGGAGTTGGGGATGAGCACGCTCAAAAGCGCAAGTATCATGAACTGAAGCAGTTCGCCTCTCTGTGGTTTGCCATTCTTTTTAGGCTTGCCGATTTTGAACCTGGTCTTGCCTCACTTAAGGATGGCGTAGGTCTCGACATTGGCATCTCAGAAGTCGCAACCGATGGGCGATTTTTCATTAATGAAGTCACACGATTGTGGAATGCGTCAAGCTTTTCAGAGGGGAACTCTACTAACGTTCAAGAACAATGGGGCGAAGCTATTGGCCATTCGTGTACACAGCCTCGATGTTGGCAGCAACACCCCGAGCTGTTAGAGACTCTTGGGACAGAAGGCAGTGAGGTGGGCTTACCTGGACGCCCCGCGAAGCGACAGCGGCCCGGATAAAGACGTACTTTCAACATCTCGTCTTGCTGGTTATTATCAATTCTTTATTCGTCTCCATAGCTTTCCTACTATATTCAATCAATCGGGCTTATACTTGCCGCACGGAGCTAAGCCGCAATGCGAAGCTGTGCTGCTTTTTCTACTTATCCTGGCCAAGTCTATTAGCGTACGACCATCCTCGTCGCGGTTATCAATGTCGGCGCCGCTATCTAGCAGTTTCTGCATAACGTCGTCACGCCCCCAAGATGTCGCCCATGACAATGGAGTCTTCCATCAATATCTCGGCTATCCACCTGAACGCCTCTCGCTAGCAGCAGATCTATAATGCTGATGTATCCCTTTTCGGCAGCTAATGATATCGGCGTCCGACCATGAATGTCTTTACTGTCGGGCTCTGCGCCACTGTCTAGCAGCAGCCGCACGACGGCTTCGGCCCTGTTGTAGACAGCCCATGCGAGCGGTGTCCGACCAAAGGAGTCTCTTTCGTCAATTCTGGCGTCTCTATCGAGCAGCAGCATCACATTCCGCTCGCATCCCATGCCGGCAGCCCATGAGATCGGTGTCCGACCGGTCTCATCTGCACGATCAACCTCAGCGCCGTTGTTGAGCAGTAGCAGCACTACCTCGTCGTGCGGATTGCTAGACGCCCATGAGAGTGGCGTCCGGCCGGCCCGATCCGGGTAATCTACCTCGGCGCCCTTGTGAAGCAGTAGCTGCACAAGATCTGCGAATCCGTTTTCAGAGGCACAAGCTAATGCTGTTCCCACGTTACCACGAAAGTTGATATCAGCACCTCTTTCTATTAGTAGCCGCACCGCCTTTGTATGCCCTTCGTTGACAGCATACATGAGCGGCGTGAACGCAGGCATCAGCATCGTCATAGTACCATTTGTGGTACTAATTAGCGATCTGGTCAGACGTGCAGCTGGTCTCGGGCTAGACTGTCAGCAGTGGCAGCCAGCACAGGCAACCGGGCGAGAGGAGAAGCCGCGGGTGTCACGGCTCGTCTTCGTCAGTGCAGATCAGGTCAATAGCACAGAGTTCTCGACTTATACGGACTGGCTGCGAAGCCGGGGTCTGCTCAAGCGGTTCTTTGTCGACGAATGCCATACGATTATTATGGACGCTAGCTATCGAAAGTGGCTTACGGAGCTGAAGTGTATCTACCGGTACGGCTGTCCGGTCATCTTACTGACAGCTACACTACCGGTGCGGCTTGAGGCTTGGTTCCGCCAGATAATGCTTGCAGGGGACGCCGAAATCATCCGAGCAAGGACCGACAAGAAGAACATCAGCTATAACGTCATGCAAGTCACGGGACCAGGTCGGAGCGCAGTCGAGGACGAGGTCGTATGCCTTATTGGCGTTTCAGATTCCCAGGCGGGGTTCTGTCAGAAGTGGGGCCTATGCCTAACAAGGAAGGAATGATCACCGACAAAAATGAGTTGCCCTTCGCCGTCCGTCGACCCTACCTCACACATCTCGTAGCTGCCCCCCTCTGGGGTTCACATTCCCAACTCTCTAGTAGAACGAAGCTAAGGCTACTGTTTAAGTTTTCTGAGGTCGTCGAGCCACACTTAGACCTAGGAAGGCAATTTTATTCAGCGCACCCAAAGTGCCGTCGCCGGGCAAGCTGTGGCAGTGCGACTAACCCCTCAGCTTTCTCTTCGTTCAAGCACGGGGCATAAGTTGTCCTTCCTTCCTGATTCGGTAAGTAGTGAAGCCACCCGCACAGTCGCTGGAGGTCGTCCACGTAGCGTCCCAATCCGGCGTCCTGAGTCAACCAAATTAACCGGGTGGCTACGGGTTGAAGATGTGATAGGTACAACGCCCTAAGGAATATTACCTCCGTACATGTAGTACTCTCTCGATCGGGTGTCGTGGCTTTCACAGAAGATACCGCTCCGGTGCAATTCAGTGACTGGGTCAAGTGTACGATTAGAACCCTAGATTGAGTCTGATGAAAAGTCACGACTATCTGGCTTAGGAACCTCCATAGCAAATTGCACCTTTCCTCCATGCCAGGTTTTCATAGAAATGTCCTGGTGGTCGCTCGATCCCTGACTGGCTGTCAGTTGCTTCGCACCTAACATTGGGAACCATCAATCGGTGCCTGTTTCCTGATATGGACCCTTATCGATTACTGCTTATCTAATCTGCACGTCGTTGTTTTACCCCACGTGCATGACCTGTCCGAGAGTCACGAAGGGAATACGCGACCAAGACTACACAAGCCGTCTAACAGGAACGCGACAGCGCTGGAGGTCTTAATCAATCCCGTGATCACACCCAACCCATAGAGTGGAACGAGTCGGTCCCTGATCGATCAACCTCACGGCAGGTCTATGACCTCAGCACGCACGTAACAGCAGAAGCTAGTAATGAAGGACGCGGTTCTCCTGCATTCATTGATGGTGATGTCCTCGTGGGGGCAGGAGCATCAAGTATGGTCGCGGTACCCCAGGCCGCGGAACCCATCATTGGTACTTTTTTCAAATACAGGGTGCCAGACAGCGAGTGGTTACCCTTTTATATCGCAAAACCTGATCTCCACCCATGCTAAGCTCTAAGTCGAGCAATGCCGCAGGTGTGTCCCATGTCGGAGATCAGGATGTAGATGTCCCGATGTTACTTAAGCTGGGCAGGCCCGTTTCTGACGGCTTAATAGCGACTTGACGGCCGCATATTCAACCGTCAAGGCGTGGGACTGGCGTCTACCATCTTTATAGACAGCGGCAGCCCCTAGGATTGCTTGGCTTCGCGGCTGAAGATATGAAGGACGTGGAGGTAGGGCTCACTCGTAGGACTCGCAAGCCTTAATTATCAAACGCTTGCTAAAACGCCTCAAGATATCGATCGATGGGAGCAGCTGATTTGCATACTGAACAGGAGGTTTTGGAGAGAATGGAACATTGCATCGATGGTCCGCTAGCCCCAAGGAGATGTCACTCTTGATTCTCCTCAATAGCACCGGTCGCTTCTCTTGGAAGTGGACCAGGCCGAGGGCCGAGATAGAGGAGCCCGATTATGGTGATAGCCACAAGACATAGAAGCCATTTGATGCTGACAGGCGTATGGCTCTCTTTGATGTTGCGAAGAAGAATCTTGAGACAATTTGTCATGATTGAACATCAACATCAAATTAATCGCCGACAGCCGTGTAATCCAACGAATTGACAGTGTCAACACGTCGATATTACTGTGTTGTCGAAGCTGATGACCTCAGGAAACCGCTTCCACATCTGGAGGCAGTACGGAAAGGTCCAGACAAGACCGACGAGGCGGTTTGGCTCATCATCCGCCCACTTAACAAGATAGGGAATCTCCATCTCGTCGAACAGCTTGATCAGTGCTGCAGTAGGAGTGTGGCCGCTCAACTTGTCTCGGCTGATACGAGACCTGGCGTTATAGATATCCTTTCGCGTAAAGGATGACTCGGGATTCGGCTCCAGGACGATCGCGCGTACGTCACGGGCCCGAATTCCGATCCGACGGCTTGTCGATTCGACTGTTGCCCTGATAGGTGTAGTGAGTCGTCTGTGGGAGGGATGGGCGGATGGTTTGATACTGGCCCCGTGGTTATGCTGGCTATGCTCGGAATTATCGTGGTGTCGTAGAAGCCATCTACCCTCCTCCAGTGCTTCGGCAATGACCATCCATTTACAACCACACTTTCGAGACTTCCGTTGCCGAATACCGGTACTCTCTGAGGGGCGTGGTTCTCCGAATCGATCGCATTGGAAAGAGTACCGGATCTTCCGACCCTTATATGAGTAGGCATTTCGTCGAACAATACCGAAGCCATTAGCCTTCGCGAAAGTATTCACCCACTCGAACAGGACTTCGGCTGAGGGCGCTGGGTCGCCTGGGATAGGTGGGTTCGGGATCGGGTCAGGGACAGGCGACAAGGGGTGGTCGGGCGAGGGCGGCGAGGCGATAGGCGGAGAGTGCCTTCCTCGGCGAGGCGAGTATGGCGGAGATGATTCGAATGCAGTTGAACTGAGCGGCGAGTAGCCCCATATCTCGCGCCATTGGCGGACTCGTTCGTATGACCGGACGAGCTCGATGGTAAGTCTTCGATCTGTCCCAATCACCTCGCGCACTAGCCTAAGGGCGGACTGAAACTGGGGTCTTGTTGGAGAGAATTGTTCTTGTGCTGATTGTTGTGGAGAGCAGGCAGGTGGCTGGTCGATTTCCGGGCCTGGTATAGGCATTCTTACTCGTTGCGACCGTCTTCCTCGGGTTGGGAAATCATTCGATAGGTGAATCTCATGATCGAATCGCAGCTCCCATGGTGGCTCGTTCAGCCCACGCGATCCATGGGGGCGTGGAGCGGTCGTGAAGGTCTCTGGGTACGAGGCGAAAGCATTATAGAGTGCCTCGTCGTCTCCCACGCCATAGTGTGGGCCAATGCTCGTCCCTGTGCTATTAGACGAAGGTGGTCTTGAACTCTCAGATTGGTTCTGCCGCTGTCGTTGTCGGGGACGTAATTGATAGCTTCGTAGTCGTTGGTTGCTTGCTGAGCTAGATCGAGAGTCGGGCTGGGACATAATGACGGCCTTGATCGCGACAGGAAGAGTGTCGCACGCACGGATGAGAACATGGTTAAAGGGGCAGTTGATTTGACTATGAAAGAAGGAAAGAGGGGACCAATTTCAGCACAAAGGAATGACCTGCTTTGTGATGCAGATGCCTTGGAAGATGAGGCTATTGGATATTCCCGATACAGCGTGTGTATGAGTGTTGGTCTCAGCAGGGGGCCTAACACACCACGCCTGGAGCCCTGTGACCTTGACAAATATGGTATCTTTCACGAACAATCATTATCAGTAGGCTTGACATGCGACAAGAGGTAATTGGTGTAGGAGCTAGCTAGTGAATAGCTTCCATATGTCTCGTCGATCGTCGTGGTGGAGAGCTAATCCCGAGGTACAAGGGGAGCGTTGGCAGAATCTAGATGCACTAACAAAAAGGGATGGACCAATCAGAGGCTGCAAAAGGTCATGCCCGTGTAAGAGTCATGCCCGGATAGCAATTCTTCATGCCCGTGTAGTAATTGCCTTCGTTTATAGCTTTGGTTCTTGATATGTGTCCTATTCTTAAGTGATTGTCTCCCTGGGAATGAGTAGTAGTTCTACGATGCCTCATTGCAGTCTAAGTACGCTGCCGAGCCAAGAACGCAAACGTGTAGCACGTTATGCATAATGATAGTGTAGCGGTATATCGTCCTGAGGTGCAACTAAACTGTACACCAATATTCGACTCCTGTCGATGATAGGGTTGATTCCATTCTAGATAAACATGCAGAGCTTGCAGTCTAGGTACCCTTCATCCTCGCTCCTCAGCTCTTCGCCTCAAGGCATTCTTTCTAGGTATTATTCCAGGAGACTGTATCATTCCAGGAGTTTGTAAGTACTATAGTGATAGCGCCCCCAGGGTCTGTTATGTCTTCTCGAGTCTCTTAAAAAGGAGCATTAGTGCTGAATAGCCTCACACGTAGTTGCCTTCCTGGACTCTACTTTCGGTCAAGCTGTCATATTCTCTTAAATTCCAGTATAAGACGTAGAGAAGCGCTTCGGAGGCGAAAGTAGATAGGTCCAGTTTATTGCGAATGGGTCGATTTTGCAACTTTTGACACCTGTTCATAATCTACCTCCGCCCCGCTTAAAAATTGCCATAGGGTCCAAAGACAGAGAACGATTGAGATGATACTTCTCATAACTTCGCTTGACGAGTTCGGGTCTATCATGATGAATAGCGTAGGTATCTACTTGAGCACTGCTCCCGGACAACCAGAGGAAAGGAAGGCTAAAGTTGAGCGTACAGTATTATAAGAAATATTGCAATGATCAACATACAACTTAATGACATATGAACCTGCTGCTTCTTGCGCAACTCATGTGGCGGTTACAGCTAGGTTCACGTTCAGCGTCTTCCTTGACCAGTCGGAGAATAAGTGAAAGTGGAGCCATAAACAGTGCCGAGTGAACAGGAGCAAGTACCCTGCCATCAGAAACCTGCGCAGTCACTAATTTTGGCGCCCTTAATCATGAGTCACAGATCCCCACTCAGGCTCCACAACCCATCGACATTGTCCAAGTGATATTTCGCCTTTCTCGCACCTCTGCATATCGCGGCTGGTACGGCTGCCGCTGGAAATGGCTCCACGACTCTCCGACTCCCAACACGAACTGGTCGAATCCATGATCCGCCGAAACTTCACGAACGAAGCCATAACTGATGCGATCTCTTGTACTCCGCGCCCCATTAGCCGAGCACGAACGACCTTTGCACGGTACGGAACCACGAGAATGCCATGCAAACGGACTGGCCCTGATCCGAAGATCACACCTTCAATGCTAATGGCGCTTTGCCACAAGCTTACGACCGAACCTGATACAGTACTGTATGTAAACGACATTGCGACTGTAAGGCTATTTTCCTGGTCAGATCACGTCCTTAGCTTGTTCTCCACGATCGTCCAGTCAATGTTTAGAGCACTGGAGCGCTTCGAGACGTCCGGCTCGCCGCGTTTGGAAGTGGACACCACGATCCTCGTCTCGTCGGATTTGTAATCGTGCCTTGAGGTGCACATGCAGGGTGTTCATTGCACATGGAGCGTGGCGCGAGTAGTCGGGCGCAGGCGCTCTACTCGTCACGATAGTCAGCAGTTCGGATTCCAGGACTTGGTTCCAGTAGGCACCGTTTGCCACGTCGCCATTCTCAATAGTGTCTTTTGTGATCATCGTGAGCCTTACTTTTCGCAGATGCAGCTTCCACATTATATTGTAGCGCAGACCCGAGACAAACCCCACGTCACTCGAAGCCGGGACGAGCGGGTCATCGAATTCTGCACACTCCTGGGGTCCTTCATCGAGCTCAAACTCGTGCTCGTCAAGATGAATGCTACGCATGCTGGTTCAAGAAGCGAGAAAGTTGTGATGGTCGACGTTGAGGTGTCGCGACGCTTCTCTGGAGGCGAAGGGCGGGCACAAAGCGGCTACGATGCCCTCCATTGGCAGGCTAGAGGTCGCCGTAACGTGAGCTTGAAGCCGCATCGCCGCATTGTCGGACCAAGCAAACGCGGTGTCCTCAATCTATTCCCTTACATCCATAATTAAGCACATAGGTCATAGCTCAAAGCCGTAATTCTCCTGACTTCCTTCTTCGATCTCAACTATGCGAAATCTTTTGCGGTGGGCTTTGGCTGGCTCGGGAAAAGCACACTCACTAGAAATGGCCAAGTCCTCGCACCTCTTTATTTAAACATCTGGGCGAAGGAAGCCGCATCCATTTGTCCTTGAAATGCCCGGCTCTTGTTTTGCGCGTCCAACTTCCCGAAGGACTGATCCACGCCCTTCTGCGCTTCTCCCACAATCCCTTGCATGGCCATAGACTGATCGGCCTGCATGTCTCCGAAAGTTTGAACCGTTCGTGCTGCTTGGGTGGCCTGTAAAGCAGCCTCGCAGGTATTTCTCAGCGCTAAAGTCGGCCGAAGACTGGCTTGGTCGTCGTCCGTACTAGCACGCAGACCCTCGCCCGATGTATGCGATTCTATTGTTCCTGGGTCCGTGGGTCTTTGCGAAATCTCGGCGACCAGAGAGGTGAGCGCCTGTTCATGGGCTTGGAACTGCTTGCTCAATTGTTGCAGGTTGTCGGACGTGCCGCTAGATACGATTCTGCAGATGGTTAATTCTAGCGCGACCCCTAGTTGACGTAGGGACATACAGGGTGATCGTCCCAAGCACCAGAGAAATGGTCTTCTGGCAGTCGCCCAATTCTTGATTGAATCGGATGATTTGCGACTCGTGAAAGTTCACCAAGATCCTGTCACGGCTGCTGAACCTTGCATCGGTCGAACGACTAGTGTACTTCGTGATAGTCGTGCCGAACTTGTCGCAAAGTTGCTGCGTAGAAAGCAAGGTCTGGTCGAGTTCTAAGGGTCGTAGAACGGACCCAAGCCTGGCCTGTGTATCTTGCGTCGTTGTTAACGTTCCAATGAGACTGTCCAATGCTGTTTGTGTCCCTGCAAGGAGAGTCTTCGAGTGCGCGATGGCATGTGGGGCTTCCGCTAAGCCGTCGATGGCCTGGTAGATAGCTTTGGTGCTTTGCGCCGCAAGGGTCGCCACGGCAATAGCACTAGCTGTTATGCTCAGTGGATCCATGGCGACATATAGCGATGTGCCTCGCAACGAAGTTGTACGAAAGGATAGCTATAGGGATACGATGCAGTCGGCAAAGGGCGGGCTCACCTCGTAGCCATAATCGCGCTCGTGATGACTCTCAGCCGCACAGTCCGACATTCCAATTCGTGGATGCTAGCAGCACGTGACAACCCCGCACACAGCCGCTGTCCGCTGACCCTCCAGCGGTTCTGCTTTGCCTAGGGTCAGTCGCCTTCCTCGCTTATCGTGGCACTGATGCGCGCAGCCTGCTACGCAGTGCGTCCTCGACCTCAGAAAACGACGGTAAAGTTTTGATCGAAGACGGAAATCCCACTCCTGGCCTAGGCTGCTGGCCCGACGTCGGCTATGGCGGACACAGCGCGGCAGCCGCCGAAAGCTATCCAACAGCAGTTCGGCCACACTGCGGTGAACGACAACAGCCTCTTGTTTCAGGGCATCGTCCATGGGGATGTCCATCTGAATCGTACGTTAGCCTAAATGCAATGCATTTCTGAACACACCAATCACTCTCCTACCCTTTATTTGAATCACCTTGGCTAACAGCGTCCAGGTATGTTACTAGACGTCCGAGCACGACCAGCGCTAATGCTTGTCCCAACCTAGAACGACCAGTGACCCCGCCGAGCCCGACAGCGATCATACCCTTCGGCCGCGACCCGGACTTCGTCGACCGAAAAGAAATCGACCGGGTGCATGAGCTGTGTGCCAAGCCAGCATCGCAAACAGCTCTCCTTGGCTTGGGTGGTGTCGGGTAGGCATAGCTCACACTACGTGTGCATTAGAAGCGATCGCGAAAGCTAACGCACGAGTAGCAAGTCGCAGATTGCCATCGAGTATGCCTACCGAGTCCGAGAACGATCGCCCGAGACATGGGTTTTCTGGATTCACGCGAGCAACGCGGCCCGCTACGAACAGAGTTTCCGAGACGTCGCCGAGTACCTCAAGATTCCCGGGCGACGAGATTCCCAAAGCAACATCTTCGAGCTCCTGTCAACTTGGCTACGCGAAGAGAAAAGAGGAAAATGGGTCGTGATATTGGACAATCTAGACGAAGCTGGCTTTTTCTTCGACGTCTCGAATGTCGACAGTGATGGACAGCCGCAGAGTCAAGGGCGAAGTATACCACTCAGATCATATCTTCCCTGTTGTCAACATGGAGCCGTTCTTGTCACTACCAGAAGCAGGGATATGGCGTTCCGACTCGTCGAAGAATGCAACATTGTCATGATTGAGCCCATGAACGCGACCGACGCGTTGTCTCTGGCAGAAAAGAAGCTCCGAGGGCTGGTAAAGCAGCCGGGCATCGAAATCACCCAAGCCCTTATCAAGGCGCTCGAGTATATGCCTCTGGCGATCGTCCAAGCGACGGCCTACATAGCTCACAAGGCGCCGCGGTGTTCTATCAAACAATACCTCGAGAAGTTTGAGCAGAGCGATCGGAAGAAGGTTGGTCTTCTTGACTACGATCGCGGGCAGCTACGCCGGGACCGCGAAGCCAAGAACTCCATCATCACTACATGGCAGATCTCATTCGATCATATTCGCGAAGCTCGACAGTCAGCAACCGACCTGCTCTCGCTCATGAGTTTCTGTGATCGGCAGGGGATCCCGGAGAGTCTGCTACGAGCATCTGACTACGAGGGCCCCGCCACGGGGTCAGACCAGCAGAACATCGGTACAATTGATTCAGAAGACGAGGAGCATACTTATGATGAGGAATCTGGTGATGAAGAGAGCAACTCGGATTTTAGTGCTGCCGAGGCATTCGAGCAAGACCTTTCGACGTTGATGGACTACTCGTTCATCTCTACAAGCGATGGTAGGACATTCCAAATGCATAGACTGGTCCAGCTGGCTACGCAGAAGTGGCTTCAAGCGAAGGGTCAGGAGGATAGGTGGAAGCACGAGTTTATTGATCGCCTCTCCTCACAATTTCCAACAGGGGAGTACGAGAACTGGCCAAAATGTCAAGAGCTGCTGCCACATGCCACGTCCGCTGCAGCACAACGGCCGAAGACAGAAGATTCGTCGGCCGCGTGGACCGGCATCCTTTACAGAGCTGCGTGGTACTTCTTGAAGAAGGGTCAAGGACCTGAGGCGCAGAAAATGGCGGAAGCTACCATGGAAGCCACGTCTAAAAGGCTTGAACGAACACATGACGATACTCTTCGCTCTATGGATATGGTGGGCCATGCCCTTATGATTCAAGGCCGATGGAAGGCTGCGGAGGAGCTGTTTGTGGAAGTGATGGAGACTCGCAAGCAGAAACTCGGACTGGATCATCCCGATACGTTGACCAGTATGGCCAACCTGGCCTCGACGTACCGGAATCAAGGACGATGGGACAAGGCTGAGGAGCTGTTTGTGGAAGTGATGGAGACTCGCAAGCAGAAACTTGGACTGGATCATCCCGATACGCTGACCAGCATGGCCAACCTGGCCTCGACGTACCGGAATCAAGGACGATGGGACAAGGCTAAGGAGCTGGAGGTGGAAGTGATGGAGACGAGCAAGCAGAAACTTGGACTAGATCATCCCGATACGCTAACCAGCATGAACAACCTGGCCTCGACGTACGGAAATCAAGGACGATGGGACAAGGCTAAGGAGCTGTTTGTGGAAGTGATAGAGACTCGCAAGCAGAAACTTGGACTAGATCATCCCGATACACTGACCAGCATGGCCAACCTGGCCTCGACGTACCGGAATCAAGGACGATGGGACAAGGCTGAGGAGCTGTTTATGGAAGTGATAGAGACTCGCAAACAGAAACTTGGACTGGATCATCCCTCTACGCTTACAGCCATGAACAACTTGGCTTACACCTGGTACGCACAAGAGCGCGCAATAGAGGCTATCGACATGATGGATTCCTGCTACCGACTAAGAGTGAAGGCATTAGGGCAAGACCATCCACATACATCTTCATCCCTCCAGTCTTTAACTATCTGGCGTGCCGAGTAGGAGATATCACCTCTATTAGCTCTAAAGTTGTTTTTAAAGTAGCTAGATCGACTAAAACGACTTGCCCCTATGCAGGTTTTAAACTTCGATTTATTAGAAAAAGAAAAATCAAGTGCACTGTACCTATTATTTAGATAATAGGTGTTCCGAGTGAAGTCGCATTAATTACTTCAATACAAACACTTACGTCGTCGTAGAACTTCCCTTACTTTGGTCGCTGGGTACAATAACAGCCAGGTTCTCCAGTGGCCAGGCGGGCGGGGAACAACAGAGAGTGAAACCGTGACCTACAGTATGACGAGTGACCGTATATTTGACCCAGCAAGTCGGCTGGGTAGACAAAGCGCCGAAGGCAGGCTTTCCGCTGTGTCCGCTCCGCTGGAAAACAATGTGGAGTTACTCACTCAGGGGTTGTTGCGATGTGGGGTTTGTTTCGGCTCCTGGTCGGTGCTGATAGGTCGCGTACAGATTCAGTACTTCGAGGTACGAGGCTGCGCACTGTATTGCAGCCAAAAATAGCGCTGTGGGGCCAAGTCTACACCAACCTGATGGACGCTGAACCTTAACCTCACTGTACTCTCGCATGACTTCGTGGAGTTATTTCTGGACTTTTACGTAAAAGTCCTGCGAATCTTACATGGGGTACTTGAGGTCCATAAGCTATACGATCTGACCCCACTTGCTACATATCGTCACACAGGCCTATTCAGTTGATTGCCTTTGTTCTACCACGGAAACAACTCTGTTCCCGCTTTGGTCAGGCTCCCGGACGTAGCGCATTTGCAGAAAGTCCGCTATCATGTCCGTCGTCTTCGCAAAGTCTGTTTCGTACGGGACGTCCTCAGACTTCACTACCGCGAAGCCAATAGACTTGATGTCTCTGCCTGTGACTAACATGAGGACCTTCTCGACCACCCACCAACCGCTGGACCACTTGTCGGTTCGCGTTCCAGCGGGAACACGCCACATGGCAGTGATCGAACCATAGCCCGCGTCTGTGTATGCTTGTCGGAAGAAGGCGACAACTCGTGATGGCTCTCGCCGTGGAGTAGGATCGAACATGTATGCGGCGCCGGTGTCTTTATCCACGTGAAACAGGATCCAGTCGTCGCCGTCAAGCCAAGGGATCACCAACGCTCCCGTGGTCTGGTCCGTTTCATCTGGAACAGTCTTTCCCAGGGTCTCAATGTCAAGTCTTTGGCTCTGTAGCATACGGAATGACGGCAGAACCATACGTGTCGCCAAGAATGTCCCATACTCAACGTCTTGAGGATCAAGAGGATGCTGTTGCAGTCGTTTGGCTAAGATGGCGAGAAGCTTAGGTCCATGGATCCGCCTGAAAGCCTCCTAACTTGCAGGTGATGATCCCGTCGCTGATGTGCGGTTGCTGAAGACTGGATGGCATCCAGTGTCGGAAGGCGAAAGATATGGAATATCAGCCGGTCTGTCGTATAGAAGTTGTAATTTCTCATTGAATGCGACCGTTCTAGATGTTGGCCAGCTCCTGATCTTCTTCGAAGCCTGGATCCAGCGGACCAACGCACTTGCCGTCAGAGTTGGGCACTAGCCAATTCGACCTTGGTCGATCGCGGCGATGAAGCGAGTTCCCTCATCGGCCGGACTCGCATCTGGACCTTGGAGATCCCGATGCTTCTTTTCGGGCATTGCTCGGCATGGGCTTTCGTGGGGCGAGTGAGTAGATCTACGACATTGCTGACCTGTGAGCCTCTCCTTGTGATGAGTGATGATGTCGAAAAAGTGCATGCGCTTGGACGGCAAAATAATGCGAGTTGAATTCCCCAGGCCTCGAGCTCACTCGGTCGCACGATAAGCAGGCTTGCCCCATGTAGTCGGTTCGCGATAAGGAGTTGAAAGTCTCAGCAGGCAAGCGAACAAGTCAGGGGCGCGTCCCAGACATCTGGTACTAGGAGCGAAGGAGGACCTGCAGTATTCGTGGCACATTATTGCTAGACTCAACATCAGTATGGTTCGGTACCTCTAGAAATGCACAGGCTAGATATAGGTCTACCTAAATTCCTTTCTTTAGCATCCTTTGGAATGACCTGGCGTGGTCTAGTTTCCTCGAGCCTTACCTCGGGGTAGAGCTGGTTCAAGCCATCAAGGGTGTGCAGCGGATCGCTTATAACAAATTGGCTTTTAATCCAAACAGATTATTGTTGCAACTTTTCGCAACCGTGCACATAAAAGAGACTCGTGCGGCAGAGGAGTATGAGATACTGCTCAAGACTACCACACCCGTAGGACATGCGTCAAGATGTCTACCTTCCTTCTATCGACATTAGGGGTTGATCAAGATGCATTATCGATAGCGCTGGGAGCGGACATAGACTTTCCACGTTGCTCCAGTCCTGAGTTGATACAGCCGAATACGCATCTAAATCAGGATTTTGTCCTTAAGCCCGTCCTAAATCGTGATTGCTCACGCATCACGAGCATCCAGCCAAATGGACGCAGCTCGCCCCCACCACTCGCGTGCGCAGCTTTGCCTAGAGAGGAGAACAGCCCCCCATTCAAAGCTACACAGATTGGGTCGAATGGAAGCATCAATATCGCTGAACTCGGCCAGGAAAACCAAGCTCTAGCTCAACGACAAGAGTCACTCGTAAGTCAAGTGTACCACTATCTTGACCTGGGAAATCCAGCAGTAGCATGGAGCTTCGACGAAGAGCTCAGCAGTATCAGCGGCATATCTGTGCAGCAGTTACGTAGAGACGACTGCTTAGCAAGCAGCCTAGCAAGGCCACCTTCCAAGGTGGGTTTCATTCCACGGGACATGCATGTCAAGGCAGGCGAGTCACACTGACAGATTGATAAACCACAGGGCAGTGCCGCAGCCCAAACACAGAAGTCCACGCGCTGGAGGGCCTTGAAGCTGTATATCCAGGCGTGGGAGACCTTGCAGGAGCAGAACAACACATCAAAGACCCGCGACTGTTAGCAGATCCACCCCTACAACCGACAGATATTGTTCAATTGACTGTATAGGTCGGCGATTAGCACAGACTTTTCATGGCACGCGATTCGACATGTTTTCTCCGGAGCGGGTGAAAAAAGGGACAGACGGTATCAGTTCAGCGTTTGGCCATAATCCAGGATTGTTGTTATGGCTGCTGTATCTTTTGTGTCTCTAGCCACTTGATTGAGTCGGCTAAGTTGGGCCCGTCAATGCCCCTACTCGGGATCGGATAGTCGTACCATTCCATATAGCCCTGATATATCGTCCGTTCTATTTTGGTATCCCGCATCACATTCCATTTGTTACATAATGCCGAGATCTTTGTCAAGATTTGCGTGCTCAGCCGGTTTCTAATTATAGGAGCTCCACCTCTGAATCCGCTCGTTTTCTTTTGTCTTGAACTCTATAAAGTCTAGAGTCGGGCACACCTCTTTCGTCGTCATCGAAAATCACGATTGCAACTGTACGACTGTGAATACGGTTGCTCCAGCACCTGCCGCTACTATTCATCTTTACTGCGCCTCAACCTTATCTCAAAACCTTTCACAGCAACTAACATGCATCTTATAACACCTTTCATCGCCGCCATGGCCTTTATGCCAAGCAATATCTATGCAAGACATCATCATAAACTACTAAGGACCCCCAGCGGAGTCACCGTGGAGCTGATCAATACTAACGGCGACATATTCTATCTTCAAGGCTTTTCTGCCAACCAATCTGTGACTTTGCGGCCTAGTGCTGACTTGGGTTACATTGGAAAAGTCCGCATCCCATTCACTGGAGCTGCAGGGCAAGCCGCCTCGTCAGACCTACAGGCCGACTTCCGATGCGAGCTTCGTAATGCTGGCCAGAACAACAACCGAATCATCGTCACGCGAGACAAGAGCATCGACTTCAACTTCGGAGTTGGTAAAGCTTGGACACTTCAGCCTGGCGGGCCTGTCGAGGCTGCTCACTTGCGCGTCACGTGCGATCCAGCACTGAGAAAGACAGATCCCGATCAGCGTGATGAAATCCGCGTAACTCTGTCAAAAAGTTCGGAGGAGTTTGCGCGCCAGCTTGATTTCTCGGACTCGGAGGGTCGAAACGACCAGAGGCAATCGGTTGGTGGCACTTTCACTCATGTAGAGCTCTTCGTAGGCCCTGGAGTGGACAATCAAGCGCTCCGTTGCAAGGCATTGAACCGCGGGCAAGTCGTGCTGCTCAACCGAGGCATCAACCTAAACAAGCAAACCTTTGGCGACGGGGGCAACGGGAGGTGGACAGTTGCTGGGGGGCTTAGTGAGATCGACGAGGTCATCTGTAGTCCGGCATTCCGCTAGAGGAAGTCTAAGCACCGACAAGCCTGCTTCTCTACCCTCGACCACATACCAGCCATGTCCCATAGTATAGATTTTGATTTGTAGTAGCTCATCTTTATCTGTTCTATTCTGTCTTTCGATTAATTAGGAAGTCCAGAGGAATCTGAATCACACTATAATCCGGATGTGACAGGCGGCTGAAATGGAGGCGATCTGGAGTTGCAGTCCTATCCAGTCTTGCTCAGGCTCCGCTTACAACGGCCCCCATTCCACAGGACGACCAGTGTACACACGACATCTGGGCCCTTTCCCTCTTTTGCGCCTATGGACTACCGTCCTACAGAATCGTTGGATAAGAGGCTGCACACTGCAGCGCAGCGTGCTTTGGTTTTAAGGCGACTAAGCATATCGTCCGGAGAGCTTCCGAGCGGAGCTGTTTGGTTGCGAAACGATGGCAAGGCAATGAAACACGAAGGGAATAAAAAATGGGTTGCTCAGACGTAAAGACATGCAATGGTCAGCAAGTACGCGGAAAGTCTAGAAGAAGCTACTATTTGTCATGACAGCCCAGTTGATTGGCGCTCTCTGCAGCAACTGTGACTGCACCTGCACACACCGCGGGACGCACAGTGTGGCTGTTGGGCCTTACTAGCACCAACGCGGCCATCTCTTTTCACAGCACCGACATCAGGGGCTGCGCACCCAAGACTGTAAGCCCTCCCTCCTCTGCCTTGCCCGCAGGCTGGAGGTGTGCCGCCTTGTCTGACTTCTCAATAAGGTTGTCCCCGTGCAGGCCAGAAACTGGCACAATGCTGATTCTATCAGACGCGTGTGACATGGTCAGTCTCGGTGGCCTTGCTGCGGGGGCCGCATGATTATCGCACCAGTCTTACTTGGATTGCGCCGGCTTGATCTTAGCGAATGAGTGTGCGACCTGCGCGAAGACAGTCTCCGACCAGTTGGTCAGGTCCCTGAGTCGCGTTAGTCGTAGATGGACATTAACCATGGCAGTCACTTACATTTTAGTAGCAATTATAATCAGCTGCTCCTCGACACGGAGCTTCCCGAAAGACAGGAGGGACGCAAGCCTTTGGCTCGAACACGCTCCGTAGTCATCAGCAGACGCATCTACAGCCCAGAGGGCAACATCAGCATTTCCGGGAATGTCTTCGGTGGAATGATTAGTCTTTTCCAGATGTCGAGGATAGTCATGGTTACCTGTGATCGTGTATTGGGCCGAGGGGCCGTAGAATGAAACGGGCCTGCCTTGCTGTCGGTAAAGGGTTGCGATGCCACGATAATCGCAAACCCGACTCTTCTCGATGGGTGCAATCTCAGGAAGGGAAGCCCCGCACTAGAATTGAATGTTTCAGCTGGGATGGAACCAGGGCCAGTCATCTTTCTCGTGATTTACCGTGAAGACCAGGTGCCAGGTCAGAGTCTTCTTTCCGGCGTCTGCATCTCCTAGGACGCACATTGCTTTTGAAGCCATTGGACTTGTGTTCGAGCCTGACGTAACTACAAGTGCCGGACGAGGACATGTACGGTCTTGGTGACAGCGGATTAGGGATCATCCTGACCCTAGACCAAGCTTTATGGGTTTTTGGTCTAGTCTATCGGCGGAGCTCGTACAAAGCCGAGGCAAGCAGCTTGTATCTCTCTCTGGGGTGGTCGTGTTGTTTGGAGAAGAGATCGTTCCTTCCGCCCTTCATATGCTAGATCGATGAGTGCTGCAATGCTACTTCCAATGTCAGGTGAGGATGAAAGGCACTGACTTTCTGGCAAGGGTTTCTTCAAGGCTGTATGCACCTCTCCTCCCGGCCAGAATTTTATAGAGATCACATGGCGCTTGCTATCTTCGTGCTCCAAGATTACTATGATTCCCCAAGTCCCGTCGATGGGGATAATGGACCCCCTTGTCTCCCAGTGGGGCCACGATGCAATCCTTCTGGTAGGGCTCTGGCTGATGTCCATGCATGGTCTGTTTTTGTCATCAGCTGGAACCATGGCCTGTTCGGCTGGCCGTCATATTTGTGTCTTTACGGGCTTTCCGATACTGTAGCATTACGGCTTACGGCCACTTAATTCGCCTGCGGTACTGTCTGGCTGGATCTTCCATACCATGGATCGGTACAAAAGATATCGGAAGATTCTGTTTTTTTCCTTCTAACGAGCGACGAATGTTAGCAGACTGTCCCATATCAAAAACTGGAAGCTCCTGAATGATACTCAGCCTGATAGTTTCTAGGGGAACTCATCCACAAGAACAAGCCACTGTTTGCAGAAAGAAGAAATGAAGATGATACCATAATTTCGCGGCTGCTATGTACCTCAATTCTACCGCAGTATCACACCATGGATAGCGGCAAGGTCATTTCCAACTATTCATCGGTAATGGCCGTGCGTATCATCATTCACCTATCTCATCGCACTTTTGGATGAGATATTTCTCGTAACAGTTAGGCACTAAGATAAAGCAATCCACTGGGTTCTCGTATCTTTTACTGCTAAGACAGCCCCCCGCAAACTAGCCTATTCTGCCATAAGTTGGTGCAAAAGATACCACGGACGTTGAAGCCCAGATCCCAAGGCGCTAAGCACCCCCTGTAACACATGATTTGCTTGTGGGTCATCCAGCGGAAACAAACTTCGGGAGGCCTCTATGTGGCTGTGGGAGAGACCCCACCTCTGTACTTGGTAGGGAACACACAGAGTGGGGCCCGACCCACCTTGTCTTCTTACCTCGTTTATCCATTTCCAATGTGTTTGTCTTTGTGCATTGTTTGTTTGAGTTTGTAAAGTTGTTTCTGTGCAGCGCCGTAGGTTGTTGTTTGTTTACGTGGGGGCTGCCGTCATTTCCCAGCAGGCAGGTACTGATTTAATCTCTTCAGTGCGGAGAGGATGCGAATAAGTGGCCAAGCATGGCTCACATCGAGGATATCACGTTCAAACCAATGTCAGCGTCCAGTTTATCACAAATAATTAATGGCGAAGAGTTTTCAGTGGAAGAAGGCGATGCGTCAGACCTCCTATCTTCTCCCTCCAAAATCCATGACTACTGGGCTCCTCTACGGGCAGGAGAAGTGGAAAAGTTTCATAGTTCCATCAGATTTATCAGACAGTTTGTCTACGCCGCAGCGAACATACCCGGAGGCATTCCTATTGCCATCAGAGACACAATAGACCGGGCGGGTACCCAACTAAAGACACTATCAGAAGAATGCTTCGCTGTCCAAAGGGTCCACGACCAAAGCCGAGGCTTTAGTCGAGGATCGTTAGACGGAGCTAAACCAATACGGAGGGTTTTAACCAAGAAGCAATATCCAGTGGAACAGCTCGAGAGGCAATGCGACGTCAGAGATAACACCGCTTTATCTCAGCAAAGAAAGCGAACATGGGACGAGTCTAATTGTGAAGAGTCCGGATCGGCGAACCGACCCTTCAGAAAAAAGCAAAGGCACAGATATTATTTCCGGAACAATCGCATCCCTAAAGCTGGTTCATCAGTGATTAAGACTATGGAAATAAGGTCTCTAAGTGCGACTATGCAGCTTGATATCTAAATAAGGATGCAATACGAAGGAGATATCAAACTTCTATTCTAATAACAAATATTGGGTCGGTAGCTCTTCGGAAACGCATCCTATTTAACCTTGACGAACTTTCGTTGAATGATACTGTAGTGTAAATTATGATCCGGACCCATACAGGCATCTATGTCTTTCAGAATGTGCACTTCTAATTAGAGTAAGGAAGGGATATTGAGCGAGTCAGCCTTAGAGAAAGCCTTGGTGGCACAGCTATTAGGATAAGTGGGGGTTATAGTGGACACCTGGTAACGTAAATGCATAGCGAGTGGGCCAGCATAGCGAGTGGGCCAGCATAGCGAGTGGGCCACCTCCACCACATCTCGAGAATCAAAACCTCGTCAGCAAAACCAAAACGTCTTGAATTGATATAAACTAATCGCTATCTTCGAGTTCAGACCCTAGAGTAACTATTTGGCAAGTTCTCGCATTATGGCCAGTCATCCCGCAGGTACCACAGCGGCGCTGCGTTGGCGTAGTGCCGCCTGCATGACCTCGATTTTCTTGCGTTTCCTGTGTTATTTAAGTGTTCACCTCTCTCTGGGCTATAAGGTCCTGTCCCTCGCCTAGAGTCATGCTCTGGCCTTTCCGGAGACGTGTTTTCTTAGCTCTCCGGCGCTTACTAAGTACTGCATTCTCGTCTTCAAGCATCTTCATCCTTGCCTCCATTAGGGCGAACCGGTGCATGATCCCCTTTGCTCCCTTCGTGAACTGCTCAACTGCTTCAATAATTGACGTTGGAGAGCTTCCCTGGTGACGAGAGATCCGACGTTTGATGAAATTAGACTGTGAACGGGCTTCCATAGTGGTGGTGGGCGTTCGGGAAGTCCATGGCTCCGGTGACGTCCGAGGCGTCCACGAGGGTGTTGGCGTCTTGAACTTCACATCGAGCTTGGATAAAACGGCTTCAGGGTCATAGGGTACAAGTCCCGCCCCTCTGAAGCCTCCCTGGATGTTTTTTTCCGTCATTGTCTGCTGGAATGCCGCTAAAAACGAGGGGAGGAAGTCCTCCTTGCTGATATGCGTTGTACCCGCCTTCGTCTTAAGCTCAATTTGCCGACCGTATGCTTTCTTCAGCGGACTAAAACAGCTAACATCGAGAGGCTGGAGTATATGAGACGAGTGAGGAGGCATACAGAGCGTAATAATGTTGTTGTCCTTACAGTAGAGCTCGAATTCGACCGAGTGGTGACTTTCGTGGCCGTCGAGGACGAGGAGGCGATAACCGCCTTTTGGTCGCGACTTTGTGTGCTGATCGAAATGTCGAATCCAATCTAGACCAATTTCGTTTGTAGTCCAGCCGTTTGCGGATGTTACGATTCTCCAGTCGCGAGGAATCGCGTTATCTTGGTACCAGGTCGAGAGGTGATATTTGCCGGCAAATACTACGAACGGCGGGACGTAGAATCCAGTCGCGCTAACGCCCTGGATTACCGTAACCCATTCCCGATTACCTGGTTGCTTCATCTTAACGTTCGACCGTATTTGCGCGTTTGTAACGACCATCACGGTCGCGATAACGCCCATCTGAAAGCCTGTCTCGTCGAAGTTGTAGATATCGGAGTCCGCTACGCCGTTTTTCGCGACTACGTTCCGCACAAGCCGAAACCACGCGTTTATCGCGTCGGGATCCTCGCATTGGGCTCTCTTGTAGTCGTACTTGCGAAAGAAACGCGTCTGGAGCTGTGGTTGTCGCTTAACGAAGTTTGACGCCCATCGTGGACCGACGCGTGGCGCAGCCCGCTTATCGAGCAGTCGATTCGCCATTTCTCCAAGCTCACTTAGCCGAGGAGGATATGCTCGCGCATCCAAGTCGAGAATATAGTCGGCAGCCTCGCACGAGCTAGGGAAGCTTCTTGAAGATCTCAGGGATTTTCCTATCAATTATAACCACTACTACACTGACGTGATCCAGCGTCGGCGGCAAGAGAGGCTTGGAACGAAACTGAGAGTCCTCATGCCAGCCAGGTTTCCGCATGAATCCCATGAAAGATGCAGCCGTGGCTCCCACTATGACAAGTAGGCCGCCGAGCTCGACATGAACCAGGTCGTCCAAGCTGTGATGAAGAGCAAAGCTACTACCATTGACATGGACACATTCAGCATCGAAGACGCACTTGACTGCATGCGAGCGATCTACAAGGTGCAGTACAAGACCTTTGTTGCCAATGTGACAACTCAGGTGATTGAGAGGCATCTTGTGAGGGGTCTCGAGAACATTGTTTCGCCGCTTGTGGTTGTGAAGATGTCTGATAGTGAGGTGGAGGCTATAGCCTCGGAACAGACGACAACCAAGCAGCAGAGGATCATGCTGGTGAGCCGGGTCCGAATATTGGGAGAAGGCCTTGCTATCTTCCAGGAATTGATTGGGTCTTAGCTTGGATTTGAATCACTTGACTGCCAAGTCTTTTGCTATGTCTTACCAGGCTCTAGCAAATGTCGTAATCCTGGACTTGATCGCGGACATGGCTCCTCTTCCGCATGGGCCTGCGCGCGGAAAGTATCCGAGGGCCACTGGCAGCTCACCTGCACGACCAGCACAGCACTCGAGCGTCATTTTGATCACGCCCGTGGCCCCGGACACCGGCCGCGCTGGTTCCCCGTGACTCACTCTTATTCAGCAATATCAGATATATCGCGTGAGCTCCGACGACATGGAGCATAGTTGGAATTTTAATAAGCACGCGCTACATTCTGAACAACCGCAGGAGCAGCCGCTCACGGCCCGCACGTTTCGCATGCGATGCGTGAGATTGCCAGCATCAGCACCATTGCCTGGAATGGAGTGTTTACGCTACAGTGCCACCAAGACACCATATTTAGCCTGGCTGACGGCAACGAGATTGCCGACAGCCAGCGTCAGCTAGGCTAAGACCTCGTTGGATTTGCCAACCACTGTGTGGCTCACTCTAATAGGGTCGCTCATGGAATACCGACGGGGTTGGAAGACGAAGGTGGCCGGCAAGTACTGCCAAGGAACGGTACAGTATTGACAAAGTCAGGATAGCGAGACATCAGTCACAACGTGCGAGCGCATATCCCTGCCGCTGGTACCTAAATGATACTTGGTGGCCTGTGGGCTGCTCAGATCAGGCTGGGCAGTGGTGCCGCCGACTTGTTTATCCCCCACTAACAGAAACAGTCGAATTATGTCTAAACACCACAGCGCTCCAGGCTGAACTTGCTACATACCTGCACTCTCAAACTCTGCTTGCAGCTTGAGGTGTTGTGTCTGTGCCACGGCAGCAGTCTCAGATGGCGACGTCGCGCTCGGTGAGACTGCCCTTTGCCATCGGACGGGTTTAGTCCACCAGATGCCCCTGCGTGTCAACCAATGCACATATAGGTGGGTGGGCACGACATCACTTGCGGCTCTCCATAGTCTATCAGCAAGGTCAAGCCATCAAATGTTACCAGTTGCGTGCCGCGCAGTAGTAATAGAAGTGGCTCGCGCTGCAGAAAGCGACTTCACCTTACAATTCGTCCCTGGTATTGACGGCACAAGCCCTGAGAGTGGCCAAAACTTCCGAGCCAACGAGACCGGTTTGGGGTAACAGCATTCTCCAGCAACACGCATCTCACGATTGTTTTGTGTGTTCAGTCACTTCACCCGCGACCTATTCTACCTACTCTACTGGCCTCAAGCCAAGGACAATGCCAGAAGGGCCCTCGCCCTCCCCGGAGACTCAAAGTCCGGCTCACCGAACAGCTTCCACACCAGACCAGAAAGTTCTGCCTGTTTTCCACCACGCGGAAACAGCTGCTCCACAACCGCCGACAAACTGTAGGCGACAAAAAGTAGCCTCGCAATGTCAGCATCCTCGACAGTCCAATGCACGCCCACCAAGTGGTCCCATGTCCGCACAGCATCGTGCCCCGGACACTCCTCACAAAGCGCCAGCCTGCACAAGTACTCATCCGCCGCTACCCCATCAGCGCGGCTGTCCTCCGTGCCCGGCAACCTGCCTCCACGAACCAGGTAACCACACAACGCCTGTCTCTCCAGACTCCGGCCCAACAAGTAGGGGTCTTCATCACTCCATGCCCCCCAGTCCGAACCACTCAGTGGTATCCCGTGTTTGACCGCCCAGCACAACAACAAGACGCCTCCCTCCGTCGCCGTCACATCACTACCCGGATCTGCCTCATTGCAGTATCGCACCACCCTCTCCAGGTCTCCACAGGCCTCCGCCTTCTCCCTCTCTGTCAACGCCTCCAGCGCGGCCCAACCAGCCTCACCTACCCACATGAACAGCTTCGGCCCGTCCATCCCGTCCTCCCTTTCGTCCATGCCCAACATCGAACAATAAGCCCGGCACAATTGCCTACATTCATCGTCCATCCTCTCCTCCATTCCCTCGTCACCACCACTCCGTATCGTTGCGCACCGTGTCGTGTTCCAGTAACCCGGAACCCAAGAAGCAAAGCCCTTCCTTCTCCACTCCTTTGTCGCACTTACCTCAACTATTCGTGCACGGCCCGTGTGTCAATCCTCTTGTCTTTCGTCCAAAAGTGTTATGTAGAAAGAAGAGAAACCATTTCCCCTCTTTGTCGGGGCACCACCCCTCTTTATCTCTGTGTGCACAGAGTGCACCATGACGTTTCATTGGTGCGTGTTGTTGTGGGCCCACTGGGCGCACTTCCATTTATGGTAGTCGGTTACGACCACTGGTCCGCCCTCCAAAAAGTGATGTACCGGTGGTACTTGAGGTAGTGACAATAAATACTGATACAGGGCTCTTTTGGGTCTTGTAATTGGAATGAGTACAATTTAAATCCCTTAACGAGGAACAATTGGAGGGCAAGTCTGGTGCCAATGTGGGCCAAACATGGCGTCGAAGCGCCTCCGAGGTCTTCGACGCCATGTTTGGCCCACATTGGCAAGAAGGTCAAGATCTGTCCAGCGACCATCCAAAGGCAGTAGAACTTCCAGATGACAACTTTCAAGCGATGTTGACCATCTGTCTAGTCATACACCACCGCAACGAACTGGCGCTATGCGCCATCGGTCCTGCAGACTTCCTACATGTAGCCATCGTGATTGATAAATATGACATGACCGTCGCTCTCAAATTTGCTCTGGCGCAATGGCTACATGTTGACGACAGCATGGATATGACATCAATAGGATACATCATGGCTGCATCATATCGTCTTGCTGACGAGGAAGTCTTCGTGAAGGCAACAGTACAGTAGCGCTCATTCTCGACCAGAAAAGTTCGTTCTGGTGCCTTTTCGAGAATGACGAAATCAGCCAGGTGGTGCCAGGGAAAGCGATATGTAGGCAGAAACATCCCTATCGGGTGTGAAGACAATCACTCACAGTATCCCAGACTTACTTGAGAGACGACGGAATCGACTGCGGGCCGAAGTCTTGCAGATGCTTGCAACAGCCGGAAATTCTTGTACGCATTGTGGCTGGGGCACAAAATTTGAAGCAAAGCGCGCGGTCCTCCAAAACAAGTACCAGCCGCTAACCATGCTTCAAATTCCCCTTCGTGAGGTTATACATGAATTGGAAAGGATCCCAGTTGACGACATAATGGGCAAGGCCTTTTGTGCCTTAATTCATAGCAAACCGCACCGCGCGCTTTCTTGGGACGAGCTGCCTATTGGGAAAATAGCTAGCCTGAAGAGCAAGGCGGCGGTTTGTCTGGATTGCATAAACAGTGACAGGCTGTCAGAGTGTCGTTTTGCCCATGATTAGCTCGGAGCGCTGAGAGGGCCATCTCGAGGACCTTTAGGGCGACTTCACGAGCTAGAGCAAAAATTAAATATTGTGCGAGAAGAGAGAAACAACCATGATCGGTAGAAATATCAAGCCTGGGACATCCTGTACATGCCAACGGTCTATGCACTGCTGATTGTGTTCGGCTTGGCTTGACAACTCCAAGCCAGAATGCTCATCTCACCCGGGCAAGCAGCCCCGCAAGGACTCCTCGTGATCTGGGCCAACTGATCTCCAAGGTCGTGGCGGAAGGACTGAGCATCTGCAGCGCGAACAGTCCCGCTCGACCATGTGTAAGAATTTGTCCGCAACATTGTCGGATCGCAATGCGGGCTAATTCGATCCACCAGCACAGATTGCAAGTCTCTTTCGTGGGACGTCTAATGGTCTCGGAAGCTAATCCATAGAAACCACCTTGGCGGGAGCAGAAAACCTTGAGGAAAAGAAGCGACAGACCCAGATCCAGACCCGTAACCGCACAGTGGAGGCCATGGCCACGCTTGCTGGATCGAAACCGACCAAAGGTATTCCGAAAACTTGCGACGAGGCGACTCAGGAGCGGCGCTTGTGTCAGGGAAAGGTTGAAAAAATGTTGAACATCATCTATGAAAAACTGATGGAAGCTACGCACGAGGACTGGACGCGACACTAATCAGTTGGCATCCCTGAATTGCCCCGGACGACGAGCATGGTTCTGCATTGGACTTCTACAGCCAAACAGATGTTTGATGCTGCTACGGAGGACATCACGGACGCGAAATACAGCTTTCGCAAACTCGACGGGACACTCAGGAACATCACCTGTTGGATCGTCTTGCTGTGTGCTTTGATCCCCAACAAAGGACGTCTCCAGGCACAGGAAATTCGGGATCTGGCTGAAAAAGGCCAGAACTGAGCAGCCCTGCCACACGAGGAGGCAGCAGATTCGTCACGGCGACTGGAGGACGGCGATGCACGCGGGGCAACCGGCAACCATCATCCCATGCTCAAGCAGGTAGCTTCGCGGGTGAAGCCCGAGCTAGCCTACCTGAAAGCTGATGCTCAGTGCACATTGACCAGTCGTCTCGAGTACGACATTGTCTGTGTTAGTCTGCGGGAAAAGTCCAAATCCATCGGAAAGGGGAGTAGAGTACAAGCAAGACTTCCGCAATGCATGCTTGGATGCAGTATGCTAGAAGCGCAGCAGCCCGGTCAGAACAGAGGACTTGGCGCTTTGGAGAGCATCCAAGTCACGACGTCGCATACCTCAGGAGCTCGCGACAGTCTGAAGAGAGCAGAGCATGTATGTGCTGCTTACAGAGACGAGGATCGGGTCGAGGCGGGTGACTGGCCGCTCCCCGCAGTCATCCACTACCTCCTGGACTACCGTGCCGACTAGTCGCCTCGAAGATGCAAAGTTTTCCAAGCCTCTGCGCTGTCGATTGTGAATACGTGGTGAAGTGCAAGAGCATTTCGCTCAGACCACGTCGTTCACAACTGGCAACACTGCACCTCATTTGACGCTCTAATGACCGTTTGCGATTTTTTGAGTCGATCCAGGTGAGCTTATGCCGAGCGGTCTCGAGATCATCATCAATGCCCCAGAGGCAAAGGCCCTCACGTGGGGCTGCGACAGTCTGCTCACAGACTTTTGAGCCACCATTCACTCGGCTTGCTTCGTTTTCCCCCTTGGTTGTCATGAACTCTCTAAGAGCGCAGCTGATGATGGCCGGGATAATGAGGCGCTCTAGCAGTCAATTTCGCGTTGCCAGGTGCGCTTGCCCGCAGGTTTCAGTCACTCCTCGCTTGCTACATCTAGACCAGGGACCAGGTCATTTCGACACTATTCGAGTGGTTAACCACATACGACCACAAGACGGGAGACCCACGATTACCAGCGCGACCTCGCATTCTTTGTGGTCTTCCCAAGTACAAGGACAACGGCTCCAAGCACGAGGACGATGACCGAGTGTCATGAGGCTTGATCACCCGTTCAGACTGGGCATCGAGGAGGCGCAAGTCGTCAGGCTGTCCCTTACGATACCTATACCGCTGCCACAGACGAAAGTACACTGAACCCTGAGAACCGAGCAATCGTTGACATTTACGTCGACCGTTTCTAGCGTGCGAATAGCAGGCATCAGCCAGCAGAACTGCATCTCGAAAGCGACGTCTCTGCCGGCTGTTGCAAGTCTAACACGCTCAACATTCTCCTTACCGACACGGCGCGGCAGAATGCCCTGCCTAGCACCATTCTGCATTGTGCTCAATGGGAGTTGGTCCAACGAGATGGACGGACTTCCACTACACTCTATTGTCCAATTGCCCGTCAAGGGAGGCGCTACGCTAACTCCTCTACAGGGTACAGCTAGCCTTCCACTAAGAACTCAACAAAACGCCCTCTACAAGCACAACATCGTCAAGGCCCCTGTCGCCAAAATCATCGGGGCTCTCGGGTATCGCAATGCGACGAAACGAGTATTCGTTGCTAAGCGCTGGCGCTCATGACTCAAATTAGCTTCGTGCTGACCAGGGCTATGAAAACGGGTACTATGACGCACGAAGCCGAGAAGGGACAGATCAATGCCGAGCAACTTCTGAAGTTTCAAGGTGGAATTGGGTCTCCAGGTCCACAGATGCTTGCTCGAGCGCAGTCTGCAAGTACGTCGAACGGTTAGATCGTCGTGCTACGAAGAAGAGAGAGTAGCGCTTTGGTGTCGGGGATACTGTCGTGTTTGGCACCACTGAGTTACAGTAGCTTGTGTGTCTGGCATCATCAATGGCTCGACCCTTTGTCGTTGATGCACCGGCGAAAGTGAGGTGCGAGCATTGGGGACATGGCTACGCTATGTAGCTGCTTCATCCGGCGGTGAATTAGTCTCCAAGGGGCTTTGCGAAAGTGGCCAGCTCGTGCTGTTGCGGAGTGTGGACACGAGTGGACATTATTGAGGCACAGAGCGTGGCACAAATAATTGAGACACTTTTGGTGAAGGTATGCCGCGCCGCAAATGCAAGGAAGAGTGACCCAGGCCTAGTTCGTAGCCATTGCTGCCTTGAATCGAAAAGGTTTAGGGGCAAATGTGTGGTCAGGCGGCGAGGACGCACTTGGACCGGCCGCAACTTCTGTCATAGCCACTTTGGAACATCGACGTCCTCATAGCCTTGTCGTCTTCCTCGACGCCTATTCTCTTATCTCCAGCCATTTCGGTGACCACTGATGAGCACGTCATAAGTCAGCGCGGGCAACGTTTTCAGGACCTGACGTGCTTCCTCCATGTCCAGTAGTTCAATATGTTCCTGGAAGACTTCCACTACAACATCTCTCATGCCGCGATCCGTCTCAGGGGTAGATGTGTAGACTTTCTGTGTCGAGTCCAGAAAGTGGCGAGCACTCCAACTCCCTCTGGCAGCAACCCTAAACTTCGTCACTGCAAGAGCTTTGAGTTCAGGCACGAGATACTTGTCAGCAAGCGCGTACATGGCCGTGTGGAAACTGAGAGCAGAGTGCATTTGATCCTGCAAATTGTGGTCAAATGACTCATCCAGACTCTCAGGGACGTCTTTCAAGGAGCTCTGGTGGTAATCATGCTCAAGTAGGAACTCGGCTTGGTCATCCTCGAAGACTCCTCCGATAGTCGATCCGGGGACTGAGCCGGAAAGGGGTGGTTCCCAGGTATAATCACGATGGTAGAAATAGAACATCATCCTGCCGACAGCCTGAGGATCATCGCCCAGAAGGCTTATCTCCCCTGTTCTCCCCTCCTATGTTTTTTCGTAAGCGACGTTTCGCGTTTGCTCAAAGGTGTTGGTTTACCTTGAAAGATCCTTTGCAAGCTGTGGCGAAGTACGCAGACTGAGGGCATACGATGGCCTTGTGGACTGGATACGAATCTTGACCACAGCGGACGAGAAGGTCTGAATACTCTCCGCTGCGGTACAGTCTGGCATCTCTCAGTCAGCGCGAACGTTATGCACCGAGTCACCTGGAAGTGCGGCCTCACCCCTGCACCAAGCTGGTGAGCCCCTTCATCATTTCCACTGATGCTTCTGGCTGAGGAGGGAGCCTGGAGTTGCCCAATGAGCTGTCTTGCTTCTCGTGAGAGACCTGATCGAAAATGTCGGGAAAGACACGTCGCGCTGCCTCATCTGATAAAAACACATGGTCCTCCAACAACGACCCAAGTATTTTAATAATGTTGGGGTGCCAGAAATAGTAATGCAAAGGTGCGTATTTGCTGACAACGGCCTGAATTTTGCTGGGCTTCCTTAATTGCCAGTTGCTTCCAAGTGTAAAAACTGGCTTCCATGACAGGTAGACCTCCCTGCGTACAGCTGCTTCGTAGGACATGTTGTGTGAAGTGGGGGGGAATGTCGCGACAGTCGGGCGAGGCAAGAGCGGTCTAACCTATGCGGTGGTCCCAAGCAGAAGCGGGGATTGCGGGGTTCAAGAGCTTGATTAAGCGCACGGCCGCGTGTGAAACAGTGAATGATTGTCAAGCGAGTCTGGCGCTGACAACGGCCTCGGTAGTAGCGTTGGATTAGAGGCGACAGCCATCGACTATTACTGCGCGTGGCGTCCTACATGTCACTCAGATGTATTGGTGGCTGCTCACGCATGCTATCATTTACAGTACGGTGCTCAGGTCAAACAGGTCCCTTGACCAGGGAGACGATGGGTGAATCGGCAGTGATGCAGGCGACCCTATCCGTAACTGCGAGAATGATCTGTTCAAGCTGAGTTCTGTTGACAATGTGCGCGACAGGTGTGGCTTACCACCTGGGACTGGCGGCTCCTGCTGCGCTTGCAGCTCATTACGCCGCTAATTGGAAGCCAAGGAACGCACCCAGGGTTGTATGGTTATCGTGAGCGAATCTGAGGTATCGGCGTGCGACGTGGCCCACAACAAACACCGCTGGCTCGGACAAGAGAATACTTGTATTCGAATCAGGCTAGTCCGAGTTCACACGGCAGTGCATCTCTCAGTGCTGTGTTATCGCTGTGATAGTGGTGTTCGGCACAGTTTCCGTCCAAGGTTAGCTCCAGTGACCGTGACAAAAGTGGGATGGAGCGTGCTCCATCCAACCTGGTGTCATTGCCCCGCTTGCGGTTCCTCTCCCCACGAGGAGAAGCAACCACAGCGATAACCCCTCGAGCAGGCATCTTCGACCATCTCGGCTGTCACATTCCTGATCTCCGTCCGCAGGTAAGGGAGCACCAGCAGCTACACAACCGCCTGTGTTGTGTGAGTGCGTGCACAGCCTCCAGCCCACTCTTCAGCCATCCGCACCCAAATGTCGGCCCTGGGTTGCCTGGGTCCAGGTTGCCCTTCGAAGTCCTCGTTCGACATTGTTGTGTCAGCCCACCTCGACCGTTCTGCGTTCTGTGCTCTTGCCGCGGCCCAGTGCCTTTCTCCGCTGTCGTGGACACGAACAATTCCATAGGGTCACAGCCGTACTAGGCAACCTCGTCATTCCGCTTGCCGTCTGACTGGGAGCTTACTGCTTTCCCATCATCATCACTCAGAACTACGACACTTTCTGCAGACGACCTCCACTCGCCTCTGCATCTGTGCACGTTCTCAAAACATTCACCACTACGTGTTGCGCCGGCACTGAAAATCCTCAGATCTCCGCGACGATTCAGGTTCACGGCAACCGTGCAGAGCATCAGACGCCATTGTGTTCAACGTCAATCCCGACGCGCCAGACATCAAGTCTAGCTGATTTGCGGCACGCAATTCTTTTACGAACCCATCAAACTGGTCGATTGTCCTGCTGGCACATCGCTACTGAGAGGCTCGTCCCGGCGAAGGTCGACGGGCCCTTTCCCGTTGCAACAGAACCACTGTGTTCTCGAAGGATTTTCCACATCATGTCGATTTCAACGACATCCTCTTGTGCCCAAGCGGCAAAGGGGAAATCTGCCACTCCCAAACCAACGACCCAAGGGAGCCCAGCGAATAGCCAGGCGGGTGACAGCGCGACTGCTGGTGCCACGATCGAGGGATTCGCTCTGCTCCGTCGCTCCGCTGTCTGGTCTGTTGTCTCCAACTTGACCTTGTCCACACTCTGCTGTGCGCTTGTCTTGATCAGCTTGTCGCTCATCATTGGCCCCACTGGGCTCCGACTTTTGCTCAGAAGCCAGTGAGGTCGTTGTTTGTGTGGTGGTATTCTTAGCCTCGGAGCTCGGATCGTCTGGCACAAATGGTATGTTTTTGCTCACAGGAATTTTTCTCTCCGCCACGCCACTGATAAGTGATTAGGGCGATCACATGAGACTGGCTCGGGCTCTCGCACACCGAGCGAGACGATTAAAGCTCCCCAAAGCGAGGCCTCGACGACCCATGAAGCTCGCCAGTCCAATGCTTCAATTACTGCCGAGCCTGTTAAAGCATCTGGTGATGCTTCGATTCCCACACTCCCAGATAGCGTGAAGCCGACTCCCGGCGTCCCTGAGACCGCGGGTACAGATTGGATTATTGTTGAACATGAATGTAGACCTGGACCCTTGAGCGATGCCATACGTTCTTGCAGCATGATGGAGAACGCCAGGCAATTAGCACTGGAGTGCCCTGAGCTATCTGCACGGGTGGCCCCCAGGCAATTTGCACTCGAGGGTCTCAAGGCGCTGGAATTACACCTCAGCACGAAGCGCCCGGGGGAGTATCAACTCGTTAAGAAGAAGATTGACGAGATGCTCACGCATTCAGTACGGCAGAAGACCGACTGTCCTCACAAGATTCTTGCCGCAGCACTGGCCTACATCGGGCTGTGCTGCAGTAGTTTTATCGCCTGTGACACCACCAATGGTGGGGAGGACGTTGCATTAATATTATTCGTAGAGCGCGGGATCCGACTATGGGCCCTCGCTCAAGTCGAGTGAGTCAATATCCTATAATGAAGCAGTACGAAGTAGAAGCTAACGCGCCGTAGGCTCGAACCTGGCTCACTAGGACCCGCTGGGATCATAGACCCAAGGGTTTATGTGGAGGCTTTCGAAGATCTCTGTACTCACATCAAATCCTTGCGGAAGGCTATTAGTAAAGAGACCGACCTGAAAACTCGCGGGAAACTCAAGTTCACGCTAGGGCTCCTCGACGAAATCCTGGAGGGTTTGGCCCATAAACTTAAACCAACGGGCTAAGTCGGTGTTACGCACTCAAGACGGATGCGCCATTTGAGACGTGCAGGAGCACAACTTGTTTACATTTTTGTTTCATCCACATGTGCGTCAATTAGCAAACCGTGTAAAGAGACTTGTTTGGATACACAGGTACGCCTGGATGCTCGGCTAGGGTCTCCGGAGTTCATTTCGTCGGAGAGTGCTTCGGTCTGAAGCATTTTCTTACCAAATTTATTGTCCCTGATGGCTCCATTCAACGGTGCACAAGCCTGGGTCTTGGATGGAAATATGGTGGAGTTCAATCCGCTAGAGTCTAGGCTGGATGTGCACGGCTGATCATGTGCTGGTCGACGCGGCTGGGAAGTATGTCGAAACTGATATGTCGACAATGTGGGTGGCTAAGGTTCTCCAATCGAGAATGAATGGGCGTGTTCAGTCCCCTGTGCGCCATGGCTTTCTGTGCCTGGATTGTAGCCCCGTGGACATGGATGGCATACCTGACTTGTGGGTGGATGGGGATCGAGGTGTCCGAATCTCTACCTTGAGGTACATACGTATGTACGTGCAGAGCGTACCTTGCGCGCACCCGATCCCGGTCCTTGGGGCATGCCGGGTGCCCTAGCTCCCTAGGTGCAGCGCTGACTGCTCGCGCGTCAGTGATCAGTCAGAACAGACACAGGTCAAGTGCCCGCTGATCAGCCCATCCCAGTCACTGTTTCTTCAAGAGACAGCGCATTCGTGCACATTAACCGCCTGTGGCGTGGTTACGCAGCACCAGCACCACCCACATGCAGTCCACGGTGCCTTTGCACCTGTATGACTTTCCACTACTGAACCCAGTCGAACAATTCCACACTCGTCTTCGTCTTCGTCTATATCAAGGCCCGTGTCCTGCGCTATTTTCTGATCCAGGATCGCGACTGCCGGCCACTCAATAGCTCAGTACCATCCTGAACACGGACACTATCGTCGTTGCGAGTATGTGTTATCGTGTAACTTAAATGGCAGTATGAGGAGGTTCTCACAAAATTGCCAGGCCGCCAGCCTCAAGCCACAGGCCGCTGCCACCGGTGTAGCCGGTTAACGGTTGATAACGGCACGGTTTATAGGGCTGAAGCGAGTTATCATTTCCGGGCTCAATCGATGACAGCTCGTAAACTTGCCCTGCGCACAATCCGATCGCAGTCACGCTCGAACGGGCTTTCAGAAGCATCTGGGAACGATGTTCCACCGCTGTGCGTGAGGGCTTCAGACTCCTCTTCGACTGGCTCAGTTAACCGCCGATGTACAGTTGACAACGACCACCTCAGCATTGGGAAGCGTGCTCTCCACAGAAGGGCCTTAGCCAGGTCTCTACCCAATACGTAGTATGCTTTGCGCGCTATCCACAACCGTTCGCTGCAACTTGGGCGTCAGTTCCGTCGTAGCTTCGGCCCACATCAAAGAGTCGGGAGACCACGTTGTCCCCAACTGGGATATAAGACACCGTTGGCACCGCGGCACGAACATCTCCCTATGGGCGTCGATCAGCGCACTGCACATTGCTCGAAGACACTGCCCGTGGCAACAATGGGATCGTGTCGCGGTCGATTTCGTAGAAGCACAACAGTTTGACCTCGTCGTGGACCTTGCCTTGCTTAACGTCTGGCATACCCGTGTGTGGAAGCTCTGGCTGGCTTGTTCAGGGGTGATTGTGAAATGGCTGCATAGTGTCTTGATGGTCTTCTGTTCTTCGCCATTTCGGAAGGCCGCGAGGACGTCAGTGAACCCTACTGCGGCTTCGAGCATGCCGTGGTGGTCCGGGATTCGCATGCGACAGTTTGCTCGGGCAAGACGACTGAGGCAAGATCCGCGCCGCGCAGTAAAGGGCAGCACATACCACCACGCAGCGCCAGCTACGAGGCTATATGTACGTCGACACCATAACTAGGCTGATGAATAACTACTTGCCGTTCACGCCGAGCCGGCCACGAAGACGTGTTTGCTCTTGGAGGGTTAGTACTTGAAGCCTTGCCCTCGCATCTCTGCAGGAAATGGCCTTCAGGCTGCAAGGCTCATGCTACAAGCTCACAGAATCCAGCGTGGCCAAGAATTTCGAGACGGAGTCTGGGAGAAACTGCTTCATCCTAGCGTTATCTTTCCTGAGTTAGGCCGGAAACAACAAAGACACCTTCTCAGTACCCTGACTCTGAGACACCCTTCCACGCACGTCTGCGATTGTGTGCTGCGAGTTGTCCTTGATGTGCTGGACTACCATGCCACAGCCCCCCTCGCTGCGCGATGGCAAGTCAGTTTTGAGCGAGTTTGATACGGCTTCTATTCCTAGAGTATTTTGTCAAGCGGGCGGTTGTGACGGTGTAGATGCATTCCTTAAACCTATTGACTTAACCTACCTACCACATGCCTGAGAGGCGAGTGCGGCCCTGAGACAGGCACACACGCGGACATCGAAATACACCGGTACAGCCCACGGCGGCGGTCGTAGCTCTTCGCCAGGACAGGTACTAGGTCGGGCGAGCATCACAGGCTCAGGCAGAGGGGCGGTCAAGTTGTCGCAAAGCTCTGCCTCAAATTAATTCCGTTGCCCGAAAGGCTGGGTTGCCCGACGGCTGTCCCAAAAACTGCCGCTGTGACTGGGACGCCGGCTGTGTCTCGGACATATTGTGCTCAAAGCGCAAAAAAGCTCTACTTAGACGTACATCAGATGCTTCGCGGCGCCAGAGAAGCCTTTGGGTTCTTCCACTGCTATGCCTAATCACAGCCTTGAAACATCCTTCTCTTCCCTAGTAACTCGAGAGATCACGACAGATCACGACAATGTCTTCATCGGACGCTTCCTACTCTCTGGTCGACTCGATCGAGTCACTCATCTCCTTCCTGGAAGCCATGAAGGGCGTCTCAAGACGGGCCAGTCCCTGCATATCCGTAGATCTCGAAGGGGTCCGCTTGTCACGATACGGCACTGTCTCGCTCATTACCATCTTCGACCAGGTCCCGAACCAAGTATACTTAGTCGACGTACACACCTTGAAGGCCACGGCATTCACCACCAGCCTCCCACCAGACACAGAGACGCCGCCAGAGGCATCCTGGACGCTCAAGACCGTCCTCGAGTCACCCGCGATCACTAAGATTTTCTTCGATGTTCGCAATGACTCGGACGCGCTGTTCAGCCACTTCGGCATTCGTCTCGAAGGAGTCGAGGACGTGCAGCTCATGGAGTGCGCGGATAGGCCGCCCCGTCGCCGGCGCTTCGTCTCGGGACTACAGAAGTGCATCGAAAAGTTTGCGCCTCTAACTTCCGCGCAAAAGATGCAGTCGAAGGCCATTAAGGAGTTTGGTGTTAAAGCGTTCGATCCTAAGCAAGGAGGCTTGTACGAAGTTTTCAACAAGCGACCACTGATACGCAAATGGCGCTGTACTGCATCAATGACGTGCAGTATCTGCCCTCGCTGAGGAATTTGTTCTGGGGGAGGCTGGATTCATCGTGGCGAGATAAGGTTGCCGCCGCAACGAAAGCGAGGATCGTGCTGTCCCAGAATGCAGACTATCAGCCGCACTCGAACGACAATGCCTTCAGTCCTTGGCGATTCGAGTAATGGTCGCTTGGCTGTTTAAATTCTCAGGGTCAACCGTGCATTGGTGGCTGTCAGCGTCCTCGTACATTATCCGGGCGGTCCTAGGTGGAGGCTGAAAGCACCGGTATTTGGCGTGCGATGGTGAACCTGAAGCGCGGCTCCCTCGAGGATCCGCGATGGTGGTGCATTAGACAGTTGCTTGAACATTAAGGTGTTTTGACTGCATTCTGCACGGTCGCATTTGAACCCTCTTGTGACAGGTTGCTCGCGTATTTAAGAACGTGCAGGTCGGGTTGACGGCCTAACTTTCCGACGGCAGTCCTAACAAGTTCTCTTATCTTCATTCGCGTCTTCCGTGTTACGGCAGATTGATGTTTCGCGTGCATTCGTAGCCTTCGCTTGAACAGTCTTGAAGACTGCTACCCATCAATAAGCATGGCCCCGAAGCTCTGAAATGGTAATCGGCCATCTTCACCGTGTGCAGGCTATCTCCGAGGCCGGCTGGAAAAGGACCAAATCCGGGGCAAGGAGTTCACTGAATGCATCAGAGCGATGCGGGGTACGGCATACGTGCCCGTTACGTCAGCAACCAGAGCTCGATTAGCGGACACGGCCTGGAGACTCTCACCGCTGTAGCACACGACTGTTGTCATTCATTGCATCATCCGGGCGCTCAACCCCCGAGTATTCCACGGCCAGCATACGTCGTGACGCGTCACATACCAGCTACGCCACTTGATCCCATCACGGATTGAGATTGTGATACAAGTTATGGCCAAAGTAGCTGCAAGGTCAACTGGGGGCACGGCCCCTCGAAAAACACCTCGGCCGCCGCGCCCGGTGCCACGTTTACAGGTGCTCCGGGATGACCATGAGACGAAGAACTTTTTGTGCTCGGACGTTCAAGGACAATCTTCGCAGAGTTGCCCCATAGAGGCAGTTGATATCTTTTCAATTCGGTTGAAGCAGGAAGATTCTGGAAGTGGCCCGTGCACAGAACAACCAGAACACCTACTGGGTTAGGCCCTCCAGAAAATGAACGAAACCGAGTCGGAGAATTTGTCGATATTCTTGCGAAGCTCTTCGATCGCTCTAATGCCATGAACACCACCACGGCTCGGACGCAACTATTATTATTGGACAATCACGAATTCCAGTACACATTCGTGTTGTCTCAGCTCACTCCCTGCTTTTCAAGGCAGCACTTAGCGGCAAGTGGGCTGGAAAGGATGCAGTCACGGTAGATGATACAATCTCAGAGTCTTGTACGAAAACCACGCTGGACGCCTTGTACGGAGGACCTTTCGAACTTCCTGCGGAAGGCTTGGAGCTTACGGTGGTAGGCAAACAGCGGGGTTTCTACAGCTGAATGATATATTCGAGAGTCTGCTTTCAGCGGAAGAATGTCAGATGCTGAAAAGATCTGGCCGAGATTTATATGATGAGTTCTACAATACAATCCCAGGCCGGCGGACCGACTTTCTGCTTATTTATATTGTGTTGTCACACCCACGGTGACGTTCATCGCCCCATGTTGTTGATATGCGAGCGCGCAGCCGAGTCACGGTCCTCCGACAACGACCCGCTGCCGCTCCGATGCGACATCGTTACCTCGATAGCTGACGCACCTAGACTACCACGACCGTCCTGTCGCGCCGGGGTCTTGAGCGTTCCAAGGTCACCCACAAAACTCCCGCACTTACGCTCATTGTTCTGTGGATCACCGTCTGAAGCATGCCCTTCATATGCATTCGTTGGTAACCTCGCCAACCTCCTGAATACCGGCGAGGACTATCCCGCGATGTGCAGGCGGTCTTCAAGCTGTTCAACACACTCCCTGCCACAGTACGAAACTCAACTCAAGGACGGAAACGCCGAGTGGAAGCCGGCTGGGATGTACCTCAGGTGAGACGAAATGCACTAGATGAATATACCAGAGATCGGCGATCTGCCCATCGTCATAGATGCTGCAACACGTGCCATGGGTATCACCACGGACAGGCACGATAATGCGCAGGCTGCAGACGCAAGGAAGAGTGCCTTTTCCAAGGACACACTGAGCAGCGAAATTAGTGGTCCTTCACCACCCCAACTCACTGTGATCGACTTTCCCGGACTCATCCAGTCTTCGACGAGAGGGGTATCCGAAGAAGATGTTGTAATGGTAACAGAAATCGCAGATCGCTATATCAAGCTACGTCGGACAATTTGCTTGGCCGTCATTTCCGCGACCAATGACGCAGCCAATCAGCCTATCCTCCAACGAGTGCGAAAATTTGATCCGGCAGGGAAGCGAGCACTTGGCGTCATCACCAAACCTGATCAGCTGCCTGCCGGATCTGGCACCAAGTCCAAGTTCCTTGAACTTGCCCAGAACAAGGACGTGTTCTTCAGTTTGGGCTGGCACGTCATTCGGAATCGTCGTTTTGACGAGAAAAACTTCACTTTCCACGAGCGTAACACTGCGGAAGCTCACTTCTTCCAAGAGTCCAACTTCAGCGTTCTCCCCTCGGAAATGGTCGGTATCGCGGCGCTAAGAGAGCGGCTGAGTCTCCTTTTGTTCCAGCACGTCAAAGCCGAACTTCCGCAACTCAATACGGAGCTCGAGAGAGCACTCGCAAGGGATCTTCATCAGCTGAAGATGTTAGGAGATTCGCGACAAACACCTTCGGCATGCCGCATCTATTTGACACAGCTCAGCATGGAGTGCCAGGAAATCTGTAGATCAGCCATCAACGGCAACTATGAGCACGACTACTTCAAGACTCACGACGATGACATTGACGAGGACTTCTCGCTGGAAGATGAAACGACAATCGCCAGACTGCGGGCCGTGGTCCAGCACGTCAATAGCAATTTCAGCGAAACACTCCGAATGAAGGGTCACAAGTACGATCTCGAAGCACCAGGGGAGGGCCCAAAACAGGTAGACAGCATGAGTCTTGGGGAATTCCTCTCCAAGTCGAGCTCGCCAAAGCGGCTCTCCAAGACAGAATCGGTAGCTTGGGTGAAAAAATTGCTTCGGCGTTCTAGGGGTCGAGAATTAATGGGCAATTTCAACCCGCATCTCATCGGTGAGCTGTTCTGGGATCAGTCCGAACCATGGGAGCATTTGGCAGAGGATCACGTCCACAAAGTCAGTCAACTCTGCGAGAAGTTTTGGACAACCCTTTTGAAACACAGAGCCCCTCAGGATATCAGAAATCGCATATGGTCAGTCAATCCTTGAACGCATTCACATCGAACTTCGGAATACTGACCGCAAGTTCGGCTAAGGGCGAGGATGGTGCACAAAGAGCTGCAGCGGCGGAAATCGGCAGCCTCGCACGAGCTAAGGAAGCTTCTTGAAGATCTCAGGGGTTTTCCTATCAATTATAACCACTACTACACTGACGTGATCCAGCGTCGGCGGCAAGAGAGGCTAGAAGGGAAACTGAGAGTCTTCATGCCAGCCGCGTTTCCGCATCAGTCTCATTAGAAATGCAGCCGTGGCTCTCACTATGAGAAGTATGCCCCCGAGCTCGACATGAACCGAGTCGTCCAAGCTGTGATGAAGAGCAACGCTACTACCATTGACATGGACGCATTCAGCATCGAAGAGGCACTTGACTGCATGCGAGCGATCTACAAGGTGCAGTACAAGACCTTTGTTGCCAATGTGACAACCCAGGTGATTGAGAGGCATCTGGTGAGGGGTCTCGAGAACATTGTTTCGCCGCTTGTGGTTGTGAAGATGTCGGATGTTGAGGTGGAGGCTATAGCCTCGGGACAGACGACAACCAAGCAGCAGAGGATCATGCTGGTGAGCCGGGTCCGAATATTGGAGGAAGGCCGTGCGATCTTCCGAGAATTGATTGGGTCTTAGCTTGGACTTGGATCACTTGACTGCCAAGTCTTCCGTCATGTCTTACGAAAGCTCTAGAAAATGTCATAACCCTAGACTTGACCGCAGACATGGTTCTCTTTCGCATGGGTCTTCGCGCGTGGAGAGTTCCGAGGGTCACTAGCAGCTCGCCTGCGCGACCGACACAGCACTCGAGCGTTATTCTGATCATGGCAGAGGATGATATCTGGAGTCAGAAGAACTCCCCAGGATTCTCTGAAGCTTTTTATCAAACAAATTATATGAGGCAGACGCAGCACGGATAGTCCAAGGCGCCAGTATGATTTACGTGTATTTAGAGGTCAAATGTAAGCTGAATACACGGCAACTCGGGCACCCAGTAACAAGTTTTGTGTCTGCGTTCGTTGTGGCCCCCAACAACTTGAGAACGGAGTTCTGGAAGAAACCAGAGGTCCGGCTGGGAATTTCTCAAAATCCATGCACCATTCGAAGTGACACCGTAGCGTTGGCGGCGGGCCATGACGGACATGTTTGGATACGGATCCAAGATGTATCGCATGGTATGCCCGACACTACAAACTCGAACACCAGCACGAACATGCTTATGAGTCGTGGCAAAGGAGACCGGCCTACTGGCCATCGACTGCGTACGTCGCCTCGCACGTGCCCGCAGTCGCATCCCATAGCTTGATTGTATTATCCCATGATTTGGAGACAACGCGGCGGCCGTCTTGGGAGAAGGCTGCTGACTTGGTACCGCCGGTACTGTATAGCCCTCAAGTGTTCAGAATCATTCTGTGGTCTCCCCACAAGCACTATCTCATCAACGGCCAAGAAGAAGGGGAGGGGAACGTGGCCTGCAGGGATGGAAACCACCTGGCCGAGTCACTTCTCTCTCAGCACAAACGTAGCCCCCTCCCATCCATAAGACCGCGTGAGCCTCCTGCCGATGCGCCGTGCCATGGTGAAAGGCAATTTCTTGTGCGGATGAGGCTCGTGGAACAGGATGCGGCTCTGGTCGCCCCCGGCCGTCCTGGAGAACTGCCACGCGGATCCATACAGCTTCTCGACGGTGAACTGCCCAGCAGAGGTCATGGCATGCAGGAAGTCTGTCCAAGGAACCTCTCCGGGCGAGGAGGTAACTTCTGGGTTGTGGAAGAGCACCCGGAAGACCTTAAGCGAGCGCGCGTCAACGGGGATGGTTTCAGTCCTGGAAGCAGGCTCCGGTGCTGTAGTAGGTTCTGTAGGCTCCGCTGGGGCTGGTGTTTGCGACTTGCTGGTCTTGATCTTTTGCTTCGGGGGTGCATATGAGGGTTCATTGATGCGCTCGCCAATGTATATGTTTGACATTGGTCTGTACAACACGGCCAGCGCCGGGTCCAGAGCTTCATTCTTTCGAGCTTTCGCCTGTGATTGACTGGCATACTCGCTGCTCTCGGGCCAGTCTGTGGACACGATAGTCCGTCGGAGGGTACGCGGTTGATCAAAGAACTTGCGAATTGCAGACCGGTTTTGACAGCCAGTGCGTGCGTCCGACCCAGTGGCTGAATCAACCTCGTTCCAAAACTCGTCAAGGTGATGTTCTGCTTGATACAAGGCGTCGATAGTCTCACGTGTCCGTCTTTTTTCCGATGGATAAAAAAACCGCCGATCAGCAGGATCGCTTAGTCGACCTATTCGAGACAGAACATGCTGTTTGTTCAGGTCATAGCGGACTACTTGGACCACGGAAACGAGTTCATTTTGATACTCCGTCTTGATCTCTTCCTCCTTGTCCACCATCGCATTTTCAAATCCTCGCGCCCACGGCTGGAACAGCTCAAGTTGTCCCAAGCAAACAGAGATAATCGAGAGATCACCAACTACTTTGGCGATCCGGGAGGAGACTAGAGTTCGTGCCTCGGCCTCTGTAGCTAGAAGTCGCTCCAGTTCGTCCAGGACCAAAGGCAATCGAGCGAGAAAGAGGTCATTGCCATCGTCCCATAATGTACTTAACAGCCACAGTAGCTGTGTTTGTACTTTTGTCTTCTTGATGGGTTTGAGCATGGTTTTCATCTTGGTAGTAGTTGCATCCAGGGGGGCTTCTCGAACAAACATGGATCGCCAAGGTGGTGACGCCGAAACCCCAACCTTGAGTTCGCTGAGATGTCTTCCGACGACGTGATTCAAATAGTAGCGAAACCTGAGCAAAGCTGCCATATATTCGTCGGGCAAAGTCTTTGTCTCCACAGAGATCTCATCTTTGTATATGGCCTGCATGTCGCGCAGAGCTCTCGCTTTGGCAGCCAGATTTGAAAAGAACTCCAGATTTTCGTATGCTTCAATGACCATGTGCCCTGACACACGAGCCCAAAACGTTTCGATTCGCCCGCGGCTGAGAGTTGGATGATCATTGCCGCGAGTGTCCTTGATCAACTCCTGCCTGTGCTCCTTCATTTCAGCTTGATACTGTACAAAGTAGGCAGGGTCTTCCCTGAGAGCCCAGACGTGGTCCTCAGCAGCTGACGCACGAGCTTCCAGTAGTGAAACTATCCGGTCCATGTTCAGCTTCGCAGGAACTCGATATGGCGCTTCTGCGACTAGGGCGACCAAGGAGTCTAGACCGCCCGGGTTCTTGCTCTCATGCAGTGGCTCCGGCACGATGGGGAATTGATCTGATGTCATCTCCTCCGCAGGGATATCGTGGAGAATCTGCTTGCAACAACCAACGAGGAAAGCTAGCAGACGGTCCTGGATTTCAAGGATCATCAGCCCTTCGCCTGGATGGAACTGTTGGGATGTATGCAACCATTCAAAGTCATCCTCGTGGTCTTCCCAAGAAAGGAGCCTGCCATATTCTTCGGCGTTGTTGGCCCCGTGGAGAACCATGACATGTTGGTTGAGAAAGACGGGCTTGAGGTTCTTTGTGACGCGGCCGAGATGCGTTGCCTCGAAGTCGGCGCCAGCAAATGCAGCAGGGGCGTGGCGGCCACGGGCATTGAGCAGCAGGGGCAAGTTCGCAGGCTGGAGCAGGTCCTCCTGGTTGATATATGGCCACATGAAGCTCTCTCTGTGCTTGCCCTCCGCGCGGGGCCCGCCAGTGCTGCTCCGCTGTCGGAGAGCCGCGAAGTCGGGGCGGTGGGAGGCAACCATGGAGGGCCAGGCGGCGAGCAAGATGACCAGCCGCTGAGACCTGGTCTTGCCAGTCCACCGCTTCTGGATTTTGGCCTCATGGCGGCAGAGGATGGCGTTGAGCAGGCTGTAATGGCGGAAGATGTTTTCAGCCCGTGTCCGTGCCTCTTTTCGAACAGTCTCAGGCCGGCCAAAGGGCGTGTGAGGGTCCATCTGGCGGATGGAGGCCTCTGAGTCGAAGCCGCCTTCAGAACCATCGTTGTCACCGCCACTCAAGGGCGCTTGCGAGTTAATCTGGCGCATGAGAGCTTCCTCGAAGTCGGGCCCGGGGCCACCGAGTTCCTCGCCACCAAGTTGAAGGATCCCAGGGCTGTCGCCAAAGAGCTCTTGGTGAAAGTCTGGGACTCTCGGGTCGGCTCTCGGATCAGACCTCGAATCGGCCATCTTTCTGGTATCTGCAAGCCGAAGCTAGTCAAATTGAGAAGGTGTCGTCTGTCAGGATGTGCACAATCCGGGAAACTGCGTCAAGTCCTGTGAGGAGCACAGGCTCGGGAGTGAAAGACTGGCCGGTGGGGACCCTGGGGTCCAGCGAGGCAGCAACCCCGCTTTCGTGAAATCCCGTAGCTGTTGCGGTAACTTTATTCATAAGCCTCCCTCCATCATTCTCGCGAACCATTTTCTTCAAGAAGTATCACGCTTCGAGGATTCTAACTGACTCCTCGATTCACGGACTTGCCTTTTGTGATCCCCGTGGCTCTAGTCCGCTGTCTTACCTCCTCTACCAACCCCTAGCACGATGACGTCAACAGCACCAGAGATCCTCCTTCTGTCGCTGCGGGACTCATCGCAATGAGCTTCTATTCAACATGGCTATAAATCTCTATTACATCCGCTCGCCTCCAGGTCCACTGTCACCTGGGCATCAGCTGTTCATGAGGCTTCAGAGCATGTCGACCGCGAAGCACCACCACAGGGGGTTTTAGTAGCAGACCCGGCGGTCGTTGACCGTGAACAGCCGCGGGAGCGGTTCCCGGCCCGCACATTTCGCATGCGATGCGTGACCGAAGTGTTTGCGCTAGACACCGTAATTAACCTAGCTGGCGCTGGCTGACGCTGAGTGACAGCAATCTCTCTGCCGGCAGCTACGCTGAGACCCTCGATGGATTTGCCAACCACGGTGCGGCTCTCTGGTGGGTCGCTCATGGAGTATCGACGGGGTTGGAAGAAGATGACTGGCAAGCACTGCCAAGGAATGGCATTGGCAAAGTCAGGAAAGCGAGACATCAGTCACAACGTGCGAGCACATATCCCTACCTCAATGCTACTTGGTGGCCCTGGGCTGCTCGGATCAGGCTGGGCAGTGGCGCTAACAAAAACAGTTCAATTTTGTCTGTGCCACTACAGCAGCAGTCTCATATGGCGAAGTCACGCGGGTCTGGTCCACCGCATTGCCCCTGCGTGTCGACCAAATTGTATGTGGGTGGGCACGATATCGCTTGCGGCTCTCCGTAGCCTGTCGCAAGGTCAAGTCATCAAATGTGAACAGTTGCGTGCCGCGCACTTGTAGTAATGGAAGCGGCTTGCGATGCAGAGAGCGACTTCACCTTACACGTCGTCCCTGGTATTGACGGACGAACCCGAGAGTGGCCACAAAGTTGCAAACGCCATTGGAACCTTTGAAGAATATATGCCCGACAAGCTGAGATCTTAGCTATGCTGCAGACAATTGCCTATATAGGGCAGCACGCCCTTGCCCTGTCTCTGCCATCCTGATGCTCACTTGTAGACGGAAGGAGTGTTGAGACAAATACTCAATTGCGACTGCCCCGATTCCGATGTTTGGGACCCAACCGACGCGTTCTTAAGCAAGTGTGGTACCGCCGACCGTAGTTTGCACTCCTGCATCAATTTGAAAATCCACGTGAATTATCGTTACGATCTCTAGACCTTCTCACCTGTGAGGCGATACGTTCGATACAAGGTGGCCCGAGAGCAAGTGGACCAGGTGAGCCACTCCTTGCCGCTATATAAGTTACCAAACCACTTAAAGTCACCATCTAGCTTTAAAAGCCCCAGGGACTTCACACGTTTAATTCAATTGCAGAGCTTCTATTGGGCTTTTCTACTGAAGCAAGTGTCAAGCTCATCTTCAGTGCTGAAGGGAGGTTGAGACAGGTGGACCAACTATGGCATAACAGAGTGCCATGACAAGAATCAAATCGTGATCAATGTCCTGCTGGAGCCGCACCTGAAATAGCATGAACAGCCAAGAAAAGGACTGCCACCCTCCCCGAACTGGGACAAGCAAGGTTTGGGCCGGACACTACAAGAAATGCGCTTCGGAAGGCCCTCTCTGTCTGGACACACATTCCATCAGCGAATTAACGAACTGATGAATGAACCCTAAAAGCAAGAACAACCCCAATAACCTCTCATCGCACTACCTTCTCGATAAGCTTCAAGGGCAGCCTTGTTTTAATGCGCACATCCGTGTCATATAACAATACCTAATAGTTCGGACAAAAATCTCGGAGACCTGGGATATTGTGCGAAATCCTCTGTTTTGAGGATCGTCATCACGTTTTATGTTCAGCCTTCAATATCTAGCGAGGCATTACCGCGAGTGTCGTTTTCCTCGCGGCATTGAATCGGTAGTAAAGCAACTGGATCATCTGGTTTCAAAGGCGTTAGTAAATGTTCACAATAGGATTTCATGCGACTTATAAAACCACGCGCTCTGCATCTACTAAACGGCTGTAGCACTGTATTCCTCTTGCACAACGCCGGCGAAATGCCTAATATAAAACACGGAAACCAATGATGATCAAATCACGGAGGGTGCACTTTACGAAGCCATATTATAATAGTAAGTCCTCCTAAGCATTCATAGACTATTAAAAGTATACAAGGTGCGAATAAGTGTTGTACAATCTTTCTACTTGAATGCGCTATAGTGGGATCGTTATTGGTTGCTTGGTATGGCCTATAAACTATAATGTTGCAACCAGAATGTTACTTGTGAACAACCTGTTATCAAGACCAGGTCGCGAGTATATCATGACACGGCAATCAATATGAAGCGATATGATCACATCACTTACTTTGCCTCCCTCGGACACAGAATCAGGTGAATAGCAAGCTGCGTTACCCATGCCTGAACGCCTAAGGATGGGAGACAACAGCTACATGTGGTGTGGATGAGTGGCCTCGATTGCTCAATTGATGTAGCGCATCAACTCTACTGTGGTGCCAAATGCATGTCCGGAATTCCAGCTGCAGCTATCCAAACTTTTTCAGTAGATTAAGAGTGCGCGTTTTTTCGACGTCGCGTGCTATGATGACTTCTCAGGGATAATGTGATATTACCACTCTTTATCTGCAATCCTATCGCTGCTAATCATTTCCATGTGAATGAGATTTACACGAAATATCCTCTTTGGATTCACTGGAAATGAGCTGTCTCTCTCGAAGGTAACGTCCTTCACCAACTCGATAAACCGGTCCGTAGGCTCGCCGCCATGAGCTGAGTCGTGCTGGGTAGACCCTCTTCTAAAGCTCTTCGTTATCATCGCGAGTCGTGAATAGTGTTTCCAGAGCCCCCGGAAGTAAAGAGGGCTTGGCTTATCCCGCGTACGTCGGTCAACGGCAGTATCATGTAAGTTGATCTAGAGACACTGATCTCACTCACTCAAACCTCTCCCTTCTTGTTCCTTGCATTGTGTGCTGGGAGGTGGAAATGAACCTGCGCGCTCCATCTATCCCGGAGGCGGAAACGATTCGGTCCGTCCGTGAATGTGATTCAAGTAAGGACAGTTTAGACTGAAGGAAGAAGTAGAAAAAACAATCCCATCACAGAATTCTACGATTGGTTATAAGTGTACCTAGGGAGGAAGAAGCTCTACGCTAAATGTGTTGAAACTGTCGTAGACAGATAATTTCATTTACGAGGACGCTACCACATGTGTATGTCTAGAGGGATAGGTGCATATAGCGGTTTTTTTTTTGGGGGGGGGGGGGGGGTGGGGGGTTTCTTACGGTAGAGCGTAGGTAGCCCGTTGCTAGTGTCGATGTTGGTGCAAGTACAATTCTATCGTAAACTCAGAGTCGCTATCCTAAGCCAATGACTGGAGAATAGTTGTTTCATGTCACACATCTGCAATTGGAATGATAGTCTTGAACCTTGATGTAATAAAAAGATACCTATTATTCATTGATTGGTGAAACGCTCTAGAATGTCAATTCTCCAGAGACGAGAATCAACATCCCGCCTTCCCATTTACGAGGCCATTCCTATGCCCCTACTACAACTACATAAGTCAAAGTCCCTGGAATCCGAATCTACCAAAACACCACGTTTTTGACAGCGAATAACTTAACATATTTCGACTCTGGACATCTGTAGTTCTCTATATTAGAGAGAACTGTATCTAAAGTATTCTAGCTGATTTTTACTGTAACCTGTCACGTAATCGGTGCATGACGAGTTTTTTTTTTTTTGAAACGAACCATCCCCTTTCCAGTTTCGCAAGAACACTCCTGGGAAATCAATGAAAGCAGATAGAAACTTTTCTAGCTCGGACAGTCGATAGAACTAATTATACTCTTTTACCGAGACTTTCACCGACGAGATTTGGCAAATTTTGAGCATGGAGAAACTAGCAGGTGAAGAAATCACATAGTTATGGGGGTGCCGTTTTGGTGACAAGTGTCGGGACTTAGAGCGCGCCGGCATCCGAGTGCCGCGACTTATGCGTCATCCAAGAAAAAATCAAGCAGGAAGCGACTCATGATTATTGCTGGAAGAGAACGCAGAGTTGTACACTTGCTTGTGGCCGGTATAGCCACTGACTAGCTGCCGAACCTAGGTTACGCTTACATCCTTGAAAGAAATTTAGTTCGAAATGAGAATCTGACGATAGATAATTAAATAATAGGAGAGAGATTAGTGATCACTAGATCCAAGGTCCTGGACGTTCAAACAGGACAACATTTCCTGCCCTTCAGGGACAGCAATTTTTTTCCCCAACGCCACGATCACCATCCCATTTCAATTCTGTTCCACAAACAAAGTTCCAGACCGTTGATTCAGTGTATTTCTTATTCTTCTTTTTCGCTTCTCGTTCCAACAAAGGCCTCGGTATGTCTCATTCATGTCTATCTAGCTATTCCTTTCTGTTAAAGTGATTGAAGAAGTGCTCGAATTCAATGAGGTTTCTTTTTTTTTTTTTTTTGAGTAGTACTGAATTGCATGATCAAGCAAGCATGTACTACAGCTTTCGAGATTGGGGTCAATGCAACAACCTCAGGCAAATGCATCAGTCAATTCTACATTTGTTCATCATTCTCATTTTTGACAAAAGCAGACCTAGAATTTGGCAAATTCATCGCTTGGGTAAAAAAAAAGTTTGTTCGGGCGTCTGGGGCATTCTGACTATAGTATGGTAGCACAGACATTCAAATCCCATTTTGGAGATTAACTTCGATTAATGGCAGAAATGTGATTCTCTGCAATGAAAGTACCAGTAATCTCATAAGAGATCATCTGGAAGAATTTCACCGTGCCATTGAATTATTATTTCATATGGAAATAGAAGAGTAAAGTCACGCCAGGATATCAATAAGTTCTATCATGCACCCAATGGGTGTGTAACCAAAGTAGCCAGGCTCTGCATTTATTCCGAAAACGGCGGTTGACTGATATCGTTCTATACATGTATGTATGTGTCTAGTATTTACTGAGATGGAATGATGATTTTCAACCCAGTTATACCTATCAAGGTCAGGGAGAGCTATTGCCACTCACTCACAACGGTACATTCTGGGGCTTCGAGGTTTCAAGAATGTTTGGACGTAAGCACGCTGGCCTTGAAACATGGAGTTTCAGATCGCCGTATAACAGACATGGACCAACGAAGGGTACTACTACTACCAATATGACGACCCGTCGGCATGATCACTAAAATTAAGCCTGCTTAGCATTTCTTCGATGACTATTTTTGAATTGATATTGATTCGAGAAGCGGTACCCAAGCTATGGTAGCGAGCTTAACCTCTATATCTCCTATATCGATCGTCAAGTCATTTCTATGCATCTACCTTGTTTTATTACCTGGAGATATCAAAGAACTTGCCAAAATCACGTATTTAAGCTATCGTATAGCTTTGGCCCCCAACGTTCGATACAGTCGAATTAAATCTGGACCACAAAATTAAGATGTGCTTTCTCGAGCTCATGAACCTATTTGGAAAAGAAGGGCATCGATATCTCTCACATAACAAAGTGC